CGGAACATTGGATATCTGCCTTTAAGCTCGTTCTCACCCCTAAAAGAACGAGCGGTAAGGTTTCGTGCCAGTTGCCGTTTTCGTGTGCTCGTAGAACACTTTTAAGTTGGCAGTGAAACCGTTCACTTAACCATTTGGTGTTGGGTGGTAGACGGATATGCTTATGCGTATGCATTTCGTACCAAGCAGCCGGGTTAGCGAGGAGAATCGTTAATAGAGTAAAATTTCTCGAATAATGCGTGGGATTTACCGTCACGCGAATAAAAAGTGACAAGGATTCGGTACACATAGGTGGGAGTCTATTATTTTAATACTATTCTTATCGTTTTCCGTCATGTCGCGTATATTGTATATTAAAAGATAATATGAAAATATACGACAGACGTGGATCTATAAACAATAGACTCACGAAATTGGCTTCTTTCGAAGGTTTGACCAGAGGTTGTGACGTGTTCCAGACTTTGGGATTATCAATTGTAGCATGGCGTCGAGAGGAGATTGACTATGAACACCGCTACTAAGAAGCTCGTGCCAAACGACTCCATAAAATCACCGAGAAGCCAAATATCAGAAGGCAATTAATGGACCAAATCGAGATGTATTCGCTGGCGATCCCGTGGCATCGAAAGGATACCGAGATCGTGCCAGGATAGAAGCTTGGTTACAGAACGTAACCGAATTCGCACGAAGTTACAATCGAAGTGTGTGAATAAGAATGGAAGCACAATATAGCTGTCATTAGCACAGTCAAACAAAAGCACATTAAAAAAAGCACTGGTACAGTTGGTTATAATAATAATTGTTTTTATTAAACCAGTCGTGTTTTCGTGATAAATGTGAGTCACTACATATGTCTGTATTTCCGTTGTTACCAGTTTGTTTGTATTCCACCCAGCAGTGCCTTTTGCGGCTTAGCAAAAGAAGAGTGCTGTTCTTGATGACTATATGTTGCTTATAGATTTTGGGGAACAAACAGCTTTGTAGCAAATAAGATCTTGTGAAGTAAGAAATCCAAATGAACACCCACGTCAAGTTGAGGGCGAACTTCCCAGTCCACATGCTGTAGATTGTCGTGTAATGCTGATACATCCAACCGTTTGAAATTGCAATACCTTTTATCAGTAAGATGCCTTAGCCCAGTCTTTCTGATAATAGTGAAGGCTGTGGCGACGTGATCAGTTCTCCCTAGGGAAGTCAGGATTGAAATGTCATCAATTAGGAATTCTTCTTTTGTAAATACCCAGTCTAAGTGCGACGACGTCCGACTGCTTCTCTAATGAGGTTCTGACTTCACATTTCCGAATGATCTCAGGTCTTCAAAGGGGTTAAAGAGCTGATCTTCAGTAGAATTTTCACCTCCAATGTTCATATGCTCAGTGAAAGTGAATTAAGGAAGATTGAAGTGTTCTAGAATCAGGATATGGGTGAAATCAAGACAAGCAGAGCAGGATAACTCTATCAGCATCAGATTGTCGTACTCGATGTCAGCAGTATTCTTCTTGTAGGTGACTCCAACTAGACACCTTGAGGTAGTAGACAATCTTACTGAACACCATATGGATTCTTAAACTTCTGTTTGTGCACATGATGTACCACTAGACAAGATCGCAAGTATAAGGCTACTCCGCCTCCCATTCCTGTTTTTCTGCCATTGCGAAACAAATACATCTCGGGTATTACTAGCTCTTGGTTCGTAAATTGAGAAGCATTATTAGCTTTACTGAGTTCACACAACTCACCCATTTCATTCTGTAAACTTGCGGCTTTCATTCATATGCATTTTATGCTTTCGATTTCAACCATGTAAGCTTCCCCATCCTGCTTATCTGTATGATCTTTATGTGAATGGACAGGTAACCCACCCACACAGGGTTTTCGGAGTTAAAATCCCTTGACCTTTCTACGCTTTATTTATGATCTAGGCAGTTCACAAGCTAAATAGTCAGCCTCAACTTTTTTTGTGCTTGATACTGTCAACATGTGACCTATATAGACGAGAAGGTCTAGAATCCATGTCCTTCTTGGCTAGTCTCACAACTTGTTGAATCAATATATTTTTGAGCTTCATGGACTGCTTGATGAATTTCCATTCCCGAACATCAGAGTTTGTATGGTCCGGATCCATATTTGCCGGTACACATTACACAGCGACATTTCTTACGCCGATAAAGTTATCGCGAGATTCCTTATGGATGTTGTGGATGAGATTACGCTCAGAATACAATGTATCAGGCAGCATTCTTATACTCCCATCTAGTTCCAGCAAATGACTAACCAATATTATATCATGTAAGTCTTGTGTGATTTTGAAGCTTGGAGTACCGTCAAAAGATCTATTTTCAGAAGGTTGAGCATCTTGTTCAACTTTTCACAGAGCATCCAATCGTCTTTGTCCTACAAGCTGAGATGAATGTCATGGTTGTCTTCAACGTTCATGATTATGAGAGAATCATCACAAATCGTGATTGTTTTCCCTGGTTTTCGGTTACATTCAGGTTGAGTACCATGTTGTTCCTTGGTTGAAGAGCGTTTCAGATTCCTGTGATCTTTGATGACCGTTTGGACAGTCTTGAGGGTAGAATGTACGGTCGTATCACCAGTTGATTTCATCACAATACCTGAACGTTCAGCTTCTTAAACGGTGACGCCCGGGGGTTCCTGTGTATGGACACAGCAAAATTTGAGAAATGCAAATCACATTAGAATTAAACTTCCGGTTTGTAAAGCTCACGCTATCAAGCTCAGAATATCTATGGGATTCTTTACTTTTATACACTCATATCCTTATCCGGATAAAAAAGAGAGGTCCGTGACTTCAAAAAAATGAAGGTTCGTCATACAGAAGATTCTTTTATTTGTTTGCACAAGTATTTAAATCATTAGAAATGCAGCAAAATTATTTTGGTTTCCATTTTCAAAGAAAGCAGAGTTACTGTAATATTTTCGTCTTTTAAAAGAATGTCTTCGCACTGTCGAAATCATAATACGAGTGTGAAATAATCAGCTTAAATGACAGTGGTATGTCATAACGATGTTGTTTGTTGGATTTCCACCTTGTTAGTGACCTTGTTAGTACCTCACGATAATGCAATTATCGATAATTTGAATTTTCTCGACTTGGTTTGTCAAAGTTTTTAGCCTATATAGGGTGTTAAGTCTATGTATTTTGTCTGTCATAAAGTGTTTCTTTGTTCCAAGAAGTTTATCCTCTATTAAGATTGCAATCCTATTGCTGTTTTTAGACATTTTTAGCAATCCACAAATTATAATCTTGCACTATTCAAGAACTGTTTTTCATTATTAATACGGCTTTATTTTTCGGACTAAATATTAGGTATTGTCAAAGTATTTTGTATAAATAAGGTGCAATCTTTGATATATCTACTTATCAGAGGAATGATTCACGACCACTATTCCTATACGAATAGCGCATTTTTTCCCGAGCTCCTAAGTTTGAGGTATTTTGGGGAAATTCTTGAAGTTAAATGACCTTCATCAAGGATAAAGAGTAATTTCGGGGAAATCTTGGGGGATTTTTACAGGTCTGGGGAAATCTTGGAGTTTTAGTGCCATTTCCCCAAAATTAACTATAGCGGCTTCCTCAAAATGGGTGAAATTTTCCCCAAAATTGTGAGCTCGGTTCGTTCTCTAAGATCTCGAGGAGTACAAATATGAGGTAAAGTTTAGATGAATGGTGGCTGAATGAGGAAAGTGTGAGAAATCGGGCCGGAACTTAGCTTTTTGACTGCATTTTCGCGAGATCTATATCGTATATTGCTTTTTACTATTTTCATGCAAACGAAAAATTCTTTGGAGAGTTTATTTATTTTGTGGTACTTCTAACCGACTATCTTTTGGCTAGATGTCTCGAGAAAAGTTCATCTGAATCTAAATATGTCACAGGTGTACATCAGTCGAATGAGAATTCATGAGTGAGATCACTCGGAGTTCATACATATCAAATGAATTATGTAAACAGCAGCATGATTATGCTACTCTAAACCCAATATTTCATATTATAATAGTATATAAAGTTTCCATCTATAACTTATGTGAAAAATCGCATGAATCTTCAGTATTTCAATTTTTGCTAAGTAATATTTATATTATGGCATGTTAATATTAAAAATATTATTACAGCATTACTATGGACGGAAATACACAATTACAGAACAGTCTAAAAAAGCAGTTATCCAGACTTCATGATATAGACGATTTTGATTGTAATCGATTTATCGGCAAGTAAAAATTTGGGGAAAAAACGGTTTCTATAAAAATCACTTGGCACACAACTTTAAAAAGGTACTGATAGTGAAAGAAGAAATGATCGAAGACCAGGCCCGGACGTCTGATTTTCATCTAGTTCAGTCTACAATCGAAACGCATGTACGTTGCTGCATAGCTACTGTTAGTTTATATACGTTCAGTGATGTACTATAATCGTGGTATTAGTAATATTAAGTGTCGTGCATTTAATTACTTATGACGATTGTATCTACATGATTGTTGCTCCCATTAAGTTGGGTCTGTGGATTAACAACTGAGTATTAAAAGTACACAGGTTTTGTTGTAAACAGTTTATAAAAACTTCGAATAACTTAAAACCGTCTGATCGTATCTTGGCCTAGACAACTACAAATTACTGTTTAAGATATCTTATGTGCTATGATTTTTACTTTAGTGATTGAATAACAATCATTCAAATTCAGTACATTCCTTCATCACACGTTGTTCATTATGATGTGCAATTGATGTTTCTTATGCGAAGTACCAATCTTTTAAGCGCGAATCGATTGAATCAAAGCGGTTTGCCACTATACTACACTTTGGATTGGTTCAATTTTTACAGCACCTCAGTCTACAGTGGATGTATATGTCCTCCTATTTATCTTAATGTAATTTTGTTTATTCATGTCTTGTTTTTTAGTTGTTCGGATTGGTTCACCTTGTTACCTACCCTATATTTGTATATATATTGTGCAATTTTTTACTCAAATTGAATGTCGATGATGGATTGTATGAATTCGGTAGATTCTTCATCTCCAGTAGTGCGAAAGTCTGCAAATGACTTGAGAGAATATAAAGTGATGCGTTTATGTAATAGGATGAAAGTGCTTCTTATAAGTGATCCGGCGACAGATAAATCTGCAGTGTGTTTATCTGTGAACATTGGTATGTTGATGATGGTTGTTTCAGTGTTATAATTCTAGGTTCGCTTTCGGATCCGAAAGAACTGCCTGGTCTCGCACACTTTTGTGAACATATGTTGTTTCTTGGTACAAAATCATTTCCAACAGAAAATACCTATTTGAAGTACATAACCGATCATGGTGGTCACTGTAATGCTTTTACGAGTCCAGATAGAACTTCTTATGTGTTTGATGTTGCACCTGAAAGTTTGAAAGGAGCATTGGATATTTTCTCACAGTTTTTCATCTGTCCTCTTTTCACCGATTCAGCAACAGAACGTGAGGTTAGTTTTAATCTGGTTATTGTACATGGAAAGCGTTTGTTTGTTAGTTAGTTGTGAATGGAATGTGGTTTCAATACTACGACAATGATTTCCGTCTCAGTGCACATGTTTTTCTCAAAGAAATGTTTGATGTATCTGAGAGTTTCTATCTGTTGTTTCATTAATTAGGTGCGAAATTATGAAAACTCAGGTGTTTTCAAATATCATATCCCGATCACTGATATGTTATATGCTGAGTTTTATCTTTGAGCACATAGTTGATGAACACGACCTATAATTTTACAGTGAAAAATGATTTTACATGATTTTGATTGATGTTATGAACATGTTGACCATCGAGTAAGTAATATAGTTATTAGGAAACGGGTACTAGGTAAGAATGGCAAATCAATTGATGAATTAGTTGAACTTCATCAATTGAGATGGCTGGGATACGCGTTACGAATGCTCAACCACCGGCTACCCCGACTTGCGATGTTTTATGGTGTAGGAGTAGGTTGGGAGAAAGCTAGGGGCGTCCAGACCAAAACATGGCACAAATCCATGAAGTGGACCGAGCCATGTTGGTAGGTGTAGACTACCTGGTTGGGATCCGCCTGGTGATAGTAACTGATGGTTAGAGACCTTGAATGACATGGCTCAAAATCGTTTGCAATGGAACAGTTGCATCCACTCTTTATATTCTCCCAAATTCTAATCTGAATCCTCCTTGTCTCTTTTTTCTCTTTCCAAATGTATTTCACAGGATCATAATCTTTAGACAACATCTTCGAAGCCTGATGTTTCCGATTACTTCTTATACTCTTACTACCTCTACCACTACGGGGTTTGAATCGACAACTGCATCTCTGTGCTAATGTGGTGTGGCAACTCGAACTGATGTACGTATGTACGAAGTTGTACGTTGTTACTGAGTATGAACACGTGTCAACTGCATTTCGGCTGTCGAATCAGGTTTGTGGTAGTTATAGAGCAATTTCTGAAGTGGTGCATTAAATGTCCTGCTTCGGTCCGGATACCCGAGTAGTATCATAGCTCCCACACAAATCAAGTAACTTGTGTGAAGCATATGTATTCAGTGTTCCTTTGTATCAATATTTATGTGATCAAATAACAAACATTAAATGTATTAAAACTGGTTTCACAAGACTTTGTTTATGGAATATTGCTATCCACTATGTGTGCACAGATTGGTGTTGTAGGTCGTCTTATTTCTTACTCTATTGAGTACATCTTTCTCCGTTCGAGAATGAGATTATGTGTAAAGTATTGTAATATGCAGCACGTGTATGTGATGTGCCTCTTTCATTATATTCAAAGTTGTATTCTGAATGCAGGAGTCCAATATTTGCTTCTGCTTCACTTCAGTACAGCTGCAATCGTAGTGACCGACAAGCTAGATGGAGAAATATAGATAGTCTCATCAGAATGTTTTGTATTGTGTTTATGAAAAATAAACCAAGGTACAGCTGTCTTGTATATATAGATAATAATTGATATTGAGAAAAGTTCGACTTATATATTAAAAGGATAATCAACTAACGAAAGAGTAGCTATAATCATAATGGATTTCCAGGTTATAGTTTCGAAATTCCGTTTATTCACCTCATTTTAGGTAGGTTGGTAGTATCTCTCGTTTGCAGTCACTAGCTGGTTATTATAATGTAGATATTATGCAACTTTGTTCTAAATAAGACTTTATTTTATGACGGAGGTGTAAAGTCTTTTGACTTCATGAAATATTATTTTTGTGATCATTTCATCTTTTATTGTAAAATGTAATAGTTGGATGCCTTGTACTGCTTAAGATTTTGTGCTTGTGTGGGTAATTTTGTTTCAACGAAAACAGTTATGGCGAAGCACCAGTGCGTGCCGATCCACGTGACGGTGTTAGTGCATAATTGACGTCAATCAGAAACTAAAGCTTACGACTGCAGATAACGATGTCAAGAGTATATTGAAGCTAGATTGGGAATAGGGGATAAGAGTGAAATCAAAATGTGATTTAACTTTATTGGTCTAAATAAACGGCTGTCCTGTGCTTCCAGGTTTTCCATGGTGGTCCAGCTTCAATTGATTCATGATTTCAACCAGTGATCTAAATATGTTAAAAAATGGAAATTCATTTGAGTTGTGGTCCATTTTGAAGCATATATATATGGTTATTATTGATAACCTTTGTCATTCCAATTCTTTACATTCACTTATGTCAATTGTTTCACACTATATCCTACCTCAATGTAAAATTTAAACACATATTTGGTTGTAAGCAGCTTGTAAGAAACCACAAAATATGATGAATTCATTTTATTCTGCATCCATGTTCGTTCTCGCTTTATATAAATTTTGAAGCGCATTGCAGAACTGATCACTGATATTATTTTATTCGCACATCTTGGTTGAATAATGATCGTTAAAAATTGGTTTGTAAAGGGACTTGTTAGCCATTTTAATGCGAACGCGGTATTAGATTTTGAATTTCGTAGCGAGCTGAAAAAATTTCTTACGTTTTTTTATTGTGGTTGTATCACTATTCTCAGGTGAAGGTCGTTAAAATACATGCTCCCAGACCTGATATCGTCATCACTATATTTGTAAATAGAAGGGACTTGATTGTATTTTCTAACCGCCTATCAGTTTGTCAATAGACGTTTTCTAAATCAAAGTGTTTTTCTTAGATTTATCGGGAGCCCTGCATTTGTTTTCTGTAGTTATCAAAATGGAGTTTATTAGCTACTTTATTTAAAACACTTAGTAATACCTGTTGGCTTAGTCAATTATACTTGTTTGGTGGTACTGGTACCAAGTGACAACGTCATAGATAATTTGCCATAATAAGTTTACTGTTTGGACCACCACTAACAAGCTACGTTTTAATTTTAGGTGAGTGCTGTACAGTCGGAACATGAGAAGGACATTAGTAATGATGCTAGACGTCTTTTTCAGCTAGAGCGAAGCTTGTCGAAAAGTGGTCATGATTATACGAAATTCCTCTCCGGTAATCGATACTCTTTATTTGAGTCCAGTTGTGCAAAATCGGTGAATACACGCGAAAAGTTGTTGCAATTCTATTCAACATGGTATTCGTCAAATGTCATGGGACTAGTTATTCTTGGAAGAGGTACATAACATGTAATATTGTTGAATTGAGATCGATTGGTGAGGTTGCTGACTTTTGAGATGTACATTTCTTTTAAAAAATTAGATGTAACTAAACGATTTTATACTGTTCACCTTTCTCATCAGAAATCGAACACAATGATTTTATTTTAATTGTGATCTGTCAATTACAGGCGACAAAATGTGTTAGTGATGATGATTTCAGCGTACTGTAATCGATTACCTACAATTATGAGTAGACGATAAGGTTGGATATTTTCAAGTTATTCGTACAGATGTGAATAGTTAGTATGTCAATGTTTGTAGGGTCGAGAGCATTTGGAGAGAAGGTTCTTCAGTTGATAAGATCCATTCATACGTTTCATCACAATACTAAGGATGATTGGCTTCCACTAGACGACTCTGGAAATGTTATCATACTAGTTGTTTTTGACATGTTGCCTCCTGATTGATCATTAGGTCAGAATGTCAGACTAATATTTATTCTGTTCATATATTAGTTAGAGCATCTATTTTACGTGTTAGAGTGTTTGACGCAGTGGCCATGGAAATCAAGGTATTACCAAGTAAACTCATAAGCTACTCAATAATCAGATTGCTTTTAACAGCTGTTATATCTGGATTATTTTGCTGTTGGTTACTAAAGATGATTCATGGAAAGTACTAGATAGGGGAGGAAGAGATCCTGTGTAGAACGAAGCTGGTTAACAAATTGACTGAGAAAGTGGTACAATGCTCCATTTTGTGACTCATATCTAACTTGTGAGTCAGATATTTCCGACTTGTGCATGTTACAAGCATAGAGACTACAAAATCGTTTAGTTTATATTTCGTCGTTTAATTGGAATTGGTTTTAAATACTAGGTGTGATCAGTATTTACGTTTTCTTCGTGTTTGTGATTGTTTTTTATGAAATGTTTTCAGAATCCATAAATGACCTAGAGAAACTTGCAGAAGATAAGTTTTCGGAAGTTATTGATCGTAATGTTGTGCAACCATCATGGAACGATACTCCATGGCCTGATATATGTCTCAAGGTAACACTTTCATTTGACTTTTATTATATTTAATATGTTTTGTGAGTAAAACTATGCATATATTATTTTGATTGTTGCGTATGTGTTTAGTCTAGCAGATAGTTAGTTGATTCCAAAAATTGTTTAAGTTCATATTCTTGATTGCCACTACTTATGCCGTTTGGATGCTGCGTTTTTCACAGTTAGAGTAGGTTACTGTAAATTAGATGTTGAATCATTATAAAGAATCGTGAAGCAGGTTATGTGGTAATATAAGGAGTGATAAGAAACAGTTTTGTGAAGATAGTTTGTGTGTGAGCAATGTGACTGTTGATTGCCTATAGTATGAACATATTGAGTGATATTAGTCTTTTAGGTGTTAATTAGTTTCTAGTCTGTAGAATGTCTCGTGTGAAGTTAGTCTTTCTCTGATGTCAAATTTGTATCAGAGGCTTCATGGCTGTAAGAAGCATCAGTACATTGTAATACTACTAGGCATAACCGGAGATCAGTGAGAATAATATGACTGAGTAATGCCAATCACATTTCAGTTAGTGTTCTATTCAGAAATAAAGTCATGCATTTTGAATTTTAAAGAAAATTAGAATGTGTATGTGCTAGAATGTGGATTGCTAAATTTTCCACCTGTAGAATCGGAGTTGTGCAGTCACTATGTTTGTAAACTGCGAATGAAACGAGTGATTTATTTTCCTTGAACTATGTAATGTTTATCAAAATGTTAATAAATTGTAATTTGGTAAATTAGAGAATTAAGGTGGAATAAATGTGCATTTTGATTTTATCATAGAAAATGGTATATGTCGTCCCACTGAATGACGTCCATCAAATGAATATAATGTGGCCTATTCCTGACTATATTCCAGACTATACAGCACAAGTAAGTTATTCTTTTGAAGTGGATTGATCAGTTATGCACAAATGCATATTCATTGTTCTTTTTAATTTTTCGTCTATATTGTTTCCAAATGTTGACGAGTGTCAATCAGTTTTTACATTTACTAATAGTTGAGAATGATTTGCACCATTAGTTTTGATATTGGTGTTTTCGACTGATAAATGTTGGTTCTGTGATAGAAGATGTGCGTTAAATGATGAAATAAGTTGTAACCAGAATTTTGTATTTTTGACTGAATAGAATTTACATCTAATTTCTAAGCATTATATCGTATATTTGGACGTCGTTCTTATGTCTTTCATTCCGCTTAGTTCAGTTTTAGATTTATTCTTCATATAGTGTGTTATGACCTGTAGTTCTTTCTGCTCTAACGTTAAATGATCAAAAAGTTTTTTTATTGAATTTATCGTTTTAGTATTCGAAGAGATTTGTGTTTTGAGTAATGTTATTTGATATTTGTACACCATATCTAGTTAGTGCTTATGTTTATAAATTTTATTGCATTTTAGTGTCGTCAAATACACTGACAGTATGCTATGCCTGGTTAAAATTTATTCATGAATACCAGTAACTTGGAAACACAAATCGTAAAGAATAGTTATGCTCAATTTAATTGTTGTACATATTCAAGATAACAAGAATGAAGATTTGAGCAGAATAGCATGAATTCGTTTTATTACGTTTATTTCTCATCAGCTGCTTTAAACCTGTTATATTTAAAAATGGGTTCAAATTACTTGTATGAGAGAGTTTAGTTGAAAGTCGCTACAATCACATATCAATATAGTATAGCAAAGGTGTAAATAGCTTTAATAGACTAAACAAAATATTGTAAATTTATGACTTGTGTTAAAGATCATTCTATAAAGGTGATAGCAACAAAAGCTTAAAGGTCTTGAAGCAAGTGGTCTCTAACGATAGCCAAACGAAATAAAATGAATTCTGGCTATTCTGCTCAAATCTTTGTTTTTGCTTCCTTCAAGATTATGAAAGGAACTATATGTTGTCCTTATGTAATCGTTACCATTACGAAGATCGTTTTCCTGATTGATCGATATCAACTAAATAATGACTGAATATAAGGTTGCTTTCATGCGTTGTTTTGATACATTTTTCTAATACAGTCAGTATCAGTCTATGTTAAAATTATCTACCAACCACAAACATATCATTTTAATAATAATAATAATAATAATAATAATAATAATAATAATAATAATAATCATTTAAATATGATTTTCATCACAAAGTATCGAGACTAAAGCTTTTGACTTTCAACCACTAAGTTCCGGATTCAAGCGTCGCTCCACTCACTTTGGTTGAAGCAACCCATTAGTATTATCAGACCTTGCACACAGAGTGTGGCTCATATTCCAAGCACCTAAAGAATGCGCTAATTTTTAATTAAATGTACTGACGTTTTCTTTCGAACCACTGCTTACCAAAAAGCACTAAACACGCATTACATTCTAGCTCATTACTTCTTGATAGTTTGCACCCACGGTCTGATACAGAATGTAATCTGATAATTCCTGTCTGATGGTGAGTGCTCTACATTCAAGTTGTCGAGTTTGCACTCATTGATTCATACTCCTGATTTACTACATTACACATAGTTTTATTATTATCGACTCGAAGATTTAGTAAGAAGTCATAACCAATGGAAAGTAATATTATCTATCTTAGTGAATGATAGTCACTCTATATCATCGATTGAATTAAGTGAAAAATATAGAACACTGAGTCTTGTCCCAATGATTTGAAATATATCATTGTCTACTAGACACTTGAAAATCCTCGGCACGATTTCGTATGCAGTCATTCTAGGCTACTGCTAAACAGATATAAATTAGGAGTTAATAGCATTTTGATATCTCTTGGTTTTAAATAGTTTCTAATCTGATATCAGTTGTAGATAAAACCTACCCTCAGATGGAATAAGTTTCTGAAATTTCCTATCTTCATTTCAATTATTTGTGTGATTTTTTTAACTCACATGTTTACAGGCCACTAGTTATGTGACTTATTTACTTGGCCATGAAAGTCGTGGAAGTTTACTGAGTTTATTCAAAAATGCAGGCTGGGCTAATCAACTAACATGTGATGTTAATAGATCAGGAGCTGGGATTTGTTATCTGAATATGTTCGTTCATTTAACTTTGAAAGGACTTGGTGAGTTAATTGGTGATTAGATTTCTTATTTCCTAATGTTATTGAGAATAACTATATATATATAAAATTAATTTCTTGAAACTTATTTTTTTGTAGACAAAATCAATGAAATTATAACAAATATATATCAATACATCAACATGCTTCTCTCTGATGAACCAAAAAAGTGGGTATTGGATGAAATACAGGTAGGATTGGGATTTTTCTTCAACCATTTCGAACTTCAACTAGACAGTATTACATTATTGAGATGTCTGTGTTGTATTATTGCTTATCCAAAAAAAATTAACAATTGTGTTGTATCTGTGGATTATGTACAACAACACAGACATATATGCGCATCGGTTTAAGTTTACACAACTGACACATCAATGAAACCACTTTTAGCTCTCACTCTTCTATGCCTTGATGACTTTATATTAAAAACACCGGTTTTTGAAGATGAAGCTTTATAATGTTGAGCCATCATAATCCATCAAAAAGCATATTAAGTTTATCGATTATATATATCAAAACAAATTAATCAGAATATTGAAACTTAGTATTTGATATTAGCACAAATCATCGAGAAAATGTATTGAAATTCCCTGAACAAAGTTCTCACTTAATAATACACTACAACAGTATTTCAATCGAATCGATATTGATCTGCTTCTCATAAGTTGTAATTTCAGACTGCAAATCTCTTGAACAACATCAATATAATGATAAATTAATAGGAAATTTAAAGTAAAGAAACAATTTAATTGTGAATCTAATGCAATTATTGGGGCAAAAATAAAACTATGCAACTACAGGTTATAAAGACCAAATGATTATTTCTTTTTTTGCATTTAGAGAATATACAAATCAGTGTTTAACTAAGTTTAAATGTCAGTTAACCTATCCAGTGGATTCATTTTATATAAATTGTTAACTTGTAGACTTTATGGAAACTAGGCTTTCGATTCGAAGACAAAGAGACACCTTATGAATACGTGATTAGATTATCCCGCAATTTGTTGGTGAGTACTATCAAAAACAAATACTTTATATTTTCAAAGCCTTTGATTACTTTTAAAAACAGTATAACACGTCCAATAATCTATTTTCTAATCCTTCAGATAAATCAACTTTCAACATTACCATACTGGCTTTTAAGATTAGTTAATAGAAAAATAATGTGACTAACATATACATAATTGTTTCCGACTTTTCTACTTTTTTTTCTAGACTTATAAGATGCAAGATGACCTAACTAATCCTTTTATGGCAATTGTCTATGATCCTAATTTAATTAAGAAACTTTTAACTTGTCTCACTCCTGATAATAGTCGGTATGTTTTACTGGTCATTTTGTGAAGTTTCAATTCGCAGCGTCATGTTAATTTATAATATTTACAGTTTTGAATTTTTTGTTATCTGATGGAAGTGTAGCTTTTTCATTGTAATGTGGTACTTTTGTTCCTTAACTAACATCAATTGTTTTCGTTAAATTCAGTTATTAACAGTAATAATAATTTAGTACCTTGTGTTTTATTACAGTGAATAAATCTCAGCATAAATTTTCGATAGTGTAACAAATTCCTCTTTAATATCCACTTAACGTTTTAAAATTTGGAGTTTTTATGCCAAACGTTTTTAGTATGGAGATTGGGAAAATTGGTCGGATCGATTGGAGTTAGATGCGTACGCCAATGAATTTAGGTCTATTGGTCTAGAGATATTTTGCATTTATGAGTATGACCTGTCTTTAGTCCAATCATCGGTTAGTGGGTCATAGATGCACTCTACTGAGGAGTCTTATCCAAGAACGAAACAATCGTCCAGTGATTTTAGTTTTTTAGCATTTATCTAACTTAGATCAGCTCATGATTCCAACAAACGTTTTACAACCACGTTAATCGCCGTTTATATGTATTAGATTGACATTTTTCGTCGTCTAATAAAAATTTTCATATACGGTCTCTATTCTCAATCGCTTTTCGTTTCTTCAAAAATTTACGAGATGACGAATAAACTTGAATTTTACACTAATCATCCTCGTGATAGACTGTAACCTGTATATATTATACCGTTTGGTTACGTAATTTGTCAGATAGAATAAATAGGAAATCGGAAACACTTATTGTGGTATTTGTAAATTTAATGAATATGTAGCCCCATACTTTGTCAGAGGTGCTGTATGCTCACTGAACATTACTCGTGCCGATGACAAATGTGGATTGTTACAAGTGCAAAAATATTTACTTGATTACTTACTCTTATCCATCGTGGAGGAGCATAGATCGCCCACCAGGATTCTCCAACCAACTCTGTCTTCAGCTCACTTTTCCAGTTGTTTCCAATTGCCATTCATTCTTTTGATGTCTGCTTCCGATTCCCGACTCATTATATTCTTCAGTCTTCCTTTTTTCCGTTTCCCTTTAGGATTTCAAGTTAGCGCTTGCTCCATGATTCAGTTTGATGATTTCCGCAATGTATGTCTTACTCACCTCTAGCGTCTTTTACTAATTTCCTCTTCAAATGGAAACTGACTTGTTCTCTGTCGCAGCATGTTGTTACTGATAGTATCCGACTAACGAACATGGAGTATCTTGTGTAGACAATTGTTTACGAATACTTATACATTTTTGATGATGGTTGTGGTAGTTCTATAAGTGTTACCTCACTACAGCAAAACTGTCTGGGCGCTTGTATTGAAGATTCTGACTTTGATGTTGGTTGACAGTTGTTTTGAGTTCCATATATTCTTCATTTGTAAGAATGCTGCCCTTACTTTTCTAATTCTTGCCTTTACGTCTCCATCACGTCCTTGTTCATCGATAATGCTTCCCAGGTGCGTGAAACTGTCCACATCTTCCAGAGCCTCTCCATCAAGTCTGATTTAGTTGGCATTCTCTGTGTTGTATTTCATGGTCTTGCTTCGTCTTTTTTGTATGTTGAGACCAACTACTGCAGTGTCTGCTTTTGCCTCACTGCTTGTCTTCATCTGCATTTATTGATGTGCTCTTTCACGAAGGCTAACATTTGTAAGTAAGTAAGTAATGGGATAGAAGAGCTAGGTCACTTGTGAAGTCATCTAGCTGCATGCAAGCTATCCATTGTATTTCGTGCTTTCTTTGAAATGTGAAGGTTTCCATAACCCAACCAACCACCAGAAGGAAAAGAAAGGGGGATAGTAAGCGGCAGCTTTGTCTGACTTCTGTCATCACTTGGAATATGTCTGTCAGCTGTACTCCACGGACGAATTTGAAGTGTAGTCCGTTTTATGAATTCCGGATGATGTTGACGATTTTTTCAGGTACACCATAATATCGGAGATGGTTTCATTAGGTTCTCCTATTCAAACTTTTAAATGCTTTTTCATAGTCAATTAAGTTGAGTGATGAGTTTCATTCAACTGATTGTTTGACAATTATCTTTAGTGTCGCAGTATGGTCTATCTACGACCGATTTTTACAGAATTCAATCTATTGATCTCGAAGCTTGACGTCTACTGAATCTTTTATCCTGTTCAACAACATTGCTGAAAACGTTTCCAAGTAATAATAATAGTGTGATATCTCTGTAGTTTTCACAATTTCTGAGATTTTTCTTATTTTGATGAGATATCCTTTCTTCCAGTCCGTCGGTGCTTTTTCTTTCTACCGAATCTTTGCAGTTACTTCTATGCGTGACTTCAGTGCTTCAGCTCGTATATTGCCAGATCCTGCTGATTTCTCGCTCTTGATTTGTCTGATGGCCATCCTGATTTCTTTGATCATTGGTGGAGTGACATCTCTAGGAAGGTCTGTATGTGCTGTATGTGATGGGTTCAGTGAATCTGGTCTCTTCAAGAGTTCCTCCAAATGTTACGCCCATCTATTCCTCTGTTCTTCAATTTCGCTGATTGTGTTGTCTTCTTTTTCCTTGACTGATCTCTGCAGTTTATTATATTTTCCTACCAGTTTCATCGTTATGCTTGTTTGCTTCAGTGTATTCAGTTAGTGCCTTGACTTTCTCCGCTTTTGTTCGACTGTTGTTAATTTCTGTTCTCTTGTTCTCTCTTTCTTGAATCCTGATCAGGGTTTATCTGGAGTTCCTTGCCTTACGATAATGTTTCTTGATGTCCAGCACCCCTTGGTTAGTTGAAGTTAGTGTTTCTTCGGTCTCTTTCTAGTCGTTCTCTGTATTAGTTTCTTCTTTGAACAGATCTTGTGAGACTTGGAACCTGTTCTTAAAAGCCATCTCGAATTGGTTGGGCTTGTCAGTATATCGAAAGAAGGCTGTGTTAAACCATTGTAATGCTGTCTCTCCAGATGTCCATTGCTTCTTTAGATTCGGTTTCATCTTGGCAACTCCTTTTCGGTGATCTCCAGCTCTGTCAGTTCATCTCTTGATTCTCGAGTCTTCAATTGACCTTTTGAACTCATCAATGATGCAAATATGATTGATCTGTTTCTGTGTAGTGTGATCCTGCTAGACCGATGTAGATTCATGAATGAGTTTGTGAGTTAGTACAGTGCCACCTATAACCGTTATGTTGAGGCTGCATTTTTTGTCGCCTTTCTCGTCCCTTTCTAACCAGTCCACGTCGTACCATAATATATTAATATCCGGTGTTGTCCATTCCGACTTTGGCGTTTAGGTCTTTCATCAGGATGGTCAGGCCTTTTCCCTGACACTTCTCTACAATCAGCTGCCATCTCTCGTTAAAGTGGTCTTCATCGTCGTCGTTTTCAACATTGATGCGTGAATAGCACTGGACACAATTAATTGTTATTCTCTCCTTCTTTGTTTTGAAGGATGCTTTGATGATTTCCGGACACACGAGATTCTCATCCTATAAGTACCTTACGTGCTTCTCTGAACAGTATCAATGCAAATCCTTGTGTGTGCAAAGCATTTTCATCTTCATGATCAGAGTACAGCAACACCTCTCCCGAATCTAAACTTTTCTGTCCAGCTTGAGTTCAATTACTTTTACTCATTCTGAAAGCCATCAAGTTGTATCTGTTCAATTCTGTAGCTATTTTGCTGTTCCTCCCAGTTTCTCACATTGTTTAGACATTCCATGTACCTATAATGATTGTTGCTTTGGTTGTTAGAAGCGTCATTGGTCTCGTAATTTTCGAAGAATCTCGGGTTAATCCCTGAGGCGTCATAATTCTTCTGAGTGAAGATCCTTGAAACGGGGGGGGCGGAGCAGATTTTGAATGGTTTTAATTATTTTTTCTGGTGACGGTTTTTTAGCAAGTCTGTCTTCTATGGAATGGGGTTTCTGACCTTATTTCCAGCCCTCCTTCTTTACCCGGATTCGAGACTGGCAATAACTTTAGAAGGGCTGCAAGTGGATGCTTGTTCTACGCCGATAACCTCAGAATTGTTTGCTATTGTTCGCATAATGTAGATGCTTCCGTAAAAGATATTTAATAAGACATTAGTCGAATGTAGATCCGGTGCAGGTTTCAGAGAAAAGATCTAAGAGTTAATTTCTTGAGATGGTGAAGATTTGTAGCTCAGGTGGATGATTTTGGTGGAGTTTGTTCTCTGATCTGGATGGTTTAATCGTGGAGCTTTCATCGTTCTTCTGAACGACATCATCAGCACAAACTTCGGATAGAAGTGAAGTGTTCGAATTTCTCCATATGTGTTTCACAGCTTGTTCTGTGCACCTCAATGTTGATTGGTTCTTGTTGACCTTAAATTTATCATTATCATCAAAGAAGTAAACAATGATAAATTTAAGGTCAACAAGAACCAATCAACATCGAGGTGCACAGAACAAGCTGTGAAACACATATGGAGAAATTCGAACACTTCACTTCTATCCGAAGTTTGTGCTGATGATGTCGTTCAGAAGAACGATGACAGCTCCACGATTAAACCATCCAGCTCAGAGAACAAAACTCCACCAAAGTTAATTTCTTATTTAGTTTTATACAATTATTGTCACTTTAAATATTCAGTGATCAACTATTCTTGATTCAGTACGAGATTCAGGTGTAAAATCGTCTTCAGCATTTTGTCAACTTTATCTATTATAAAAAGTAAAGACTCATGGGCTTTGTTATTAAGAACTTGGTAGCTTGAATATACGTGTAGAAAGCTTCAAACTTGAAATGTTTGGTTGCGGTTTGTCTTTTAGAAAATAAATCATAGGAGTAGAATGGAAATATTTTATGCATAAAAGTGATATTATTTTGCTGACAACATAAAGTATATTTCACCACTGCTTTAATATTGTGTTAACGTTGTTTTACAGCATCTTTTTACTTAGTAAAACGTTTACCGACAAATGTGTGGAGGAAGAACCCTGGTATCACACTAAATACCTTGCTGTTAATATTCCTGAAAATACCTTGTCAGTAAGTCATTGTTCTTAGCAAATATTTAATCGAGAATCTTATTCTAATTAAATATCGTTGTTTAAATTGTATTTGATAATGCGAAGCTGTTGGATCTTATTTAAGACTGATCAGCATGTATACGTGCATCTGAATTTTATGAAGGTTTTTCAGTTAAAACTAGAAATGTGTTTGATTGCTTGAAATCCTGTAGTTATTCGAATTGTGAGTAACAATATCCATCGGTTGTTTAGCAAAGACTAAATGTAAAACCTTGGTCACGCGGTCGCATGCCTTCACATGCGATGCTGGTTATCATATGAGTGTGATAAAAGAAGTTTGGATACGATCAAACTAACATATGGTATCATTTCATAAAGCCATGACCTCCTAGTGTGAGACGTCATATATGTTAGCCTTCTCATCGTATTTTATATTCGTAGACACTAGAATAAGTGTATCAAAATGGCTTAGAGTGGCACAAAGACGTCCACTTTTGTCTTCTTTGATTCATGTGTTTTTTGTTAGTACAAATTTTACTAGCTGTAATCAAAGTACATTTAGTATTCCTTACACCTCGTTAATATTTTTTTCAAATATGCTGGTTTAAAATGATTGATCGGGATGATAGTTGTTTTTATCAACTAAGCAACAACAGCGATTAAGTACAACAAGTCGACATTCATTCACACAATTTAATCCTCATCTCCGACAGATTCTTACTTCTTGTGAGGTCTTTTTTTGCTCTCCTCAATTTTTTAAGTTTTTGGGGGTAATTCGGTCGAATTTTATCGAGACTTTTTGACTAGGACACCAAACATAGCAAACAGAAATTGTCGTAACAATTGAGAATACTGACTTTATCGTCCAGAAAGGCATTTGTACACAAATCCAGCTTTTTTATTTGAAACATGTTTTTCAGGTACATGATGTTTTTCTTTCACTAGACTTTGTGGTCTGATGAGAACGAAAAGCCTTTCCGAACTTGTCACTTATTTTGGGCGGAATAGGAATTATACAGTGATCAGAAGTGATAAGCAGAGCTCTTTTTTAATCTTATATTATCCTACATAACAAACTGACTAAGTACACAATGAATAAAAACTAGATTTAATGTGAAAATCAGGATGAGAAGGGAGATCAACTAGTTTTCGGTGATGTGAAAGTGAAAGCTTCAACTGCATGAATTAAAGTCATCACATACCAATGAGGACAGAAGTAGCAAATTTAGTGAATTCATCGACGAAAAGAATTTGTATAGATTAATTGGATTCCGAAGTCTCATATATGTTGGTAAAGTAAACTTGATTATGTTTGTTCAAATATATCGAACTATGTTTCAACGTTAAACAACTGATAAAATCTTCCGAAAATCTAAAACCTCTTTTTTGGCCTTTTGTTCTGATTTCTGTTTCGAAGAACGAATGAATATACTATAAACATAAATCTCCCATTTAACTCCTTTTGTGTGACAGCGGTATTAAAAAGCCAATTACGGGTTGCATTGGATGGATTTACTTCAAGCGCTCGTTTGTCCATACAAACATTCAGGAAAAGAAGCATGAAAGCGAAGCGAAGGCGAGCCAGTCAACTCGTTTTGATAAAGTGTAACTCAATATTTATAGCCAGATAAAAATTAGCTACAGACTGTGATGAACAGTGTAAGGAATACACACACGCTCATATAAGAACAGTCAAGGTTAATAAGCGAATGGCTGACAAGGTCAAAATAAGGCCCGAGAAGAATAAAGAAATTCGTCTATCCGGAAGCAAGAATAACCCATGCGGGCTTGACATCGCACTAGACACTATAACCTACATGATCAGACTGATACCGAACATAGCAGCATAAGCACACTTTTTCCATCACTGGAACGATTCTTGAAACCATGTTGTCATATATTATTGTGTAAGTCATGAGACTGATATTAAAGAGTGATTATACCACAATGAAAATCCGTGTTTAGCCAAAACAAAAATATGTGATGATTCACTTTCGTAATGACAGATTTGTGGTTATTTAGCTCGAGTAGACCTCTTATTTATTATTACTAGCTTTAAATGTTGTCTTCGGAAGAAGATATAGATTTCGCTTCTTTTTCTAAGTCCCTGTTGAATTTGGTATCAGGCATATGTCAATTTACTAGTCTTTAATGTTAGGATGTCCGGTACTGATACTGATACACAAGCCTCTCTAATCAAGGGTGAGAAGGTAGCTTGTATTGGGTGACCGATTCTGCTTGGATGTATACTCTATATATATATATTCTCTACAATATGTAAGCATTTCTTGGCCATTTACCCGATATTTGATTGGCTTATTACACTGTTTGTACAAAACTTTCATCTGAAAACCAAGTCGAGAAACTTTCTTATGCCTACTGAATTACGCTACACCACTTCTTCATCAATTTCACGTTGTGAAAATTAAAAGTTATTGATATGAATTGTTCATATATTTATGTGCTTTAATCAGCACTTCTCGCTTTGTTTTTTGAGTTTTTCATTTCTAATAATTTGCTTCTTTGCCATAGGCATGGCGAAATAGTTCTTCTAATCCAGAATTGAGATTCCCGGAGCCAAATTCATTCATTGCTACTGAATTTGATTTGGTGCAAAACAAATGCCCCACGAATGTTGAAATGCCAGAATTATTAATCGAAACAGAGATGTCTCGTATTTGGTACTTTCAAGATACAGAATTCAATCTTCCCAAAGGTTTTATCAAATTTCACATTGTCAGGTTAGTTTCTCTCTCATTTATAAATAGTAATCACTATTATGCTGGATAAGTGGATGTTGTTTCTGTTTGCTTATTGTAACTTTTTCACGAATAAATGTTTGTTATTTCTTTGCTTACATTAACCAGTATTAACTTATTTAGTATAATCTACTTAAGTTAATGAATTCATTTAGTTACTACTCTTTTTACCTTATTTAATGTCACATGTCTTACTATTATTCAAAGTAATTAATGACGTTCTTAACCATCGTTTTATTTAATTAATATGAAATTAGACGTTTATAATATTTATACACTAATGTTATTTATAACTTACTACATAATAGTACTTATAAATATTTTATAAGTAATTGTTTGTTTTCTATTTTTCATCATAGTTTGTCAACATTTTGTAGTCCTTTACATGAAATACTTCGTGCATTTTATGTAAACTTGTTTTTGGATCAAATTTATGAACTTAATTACTCTAGTGTGCTTGCTGATATAACAGTTCATGTGGGATATACTAATAGAGGTATCACGGTATGTTAGATTAAGATTTAAATTAATTTGTTTTATTATGAATAATACTTGTATACATGTGTCGATATATTATTTGGTTTATAATATACTTAAGAATAAATAAATATTTGTAGAAATAAATTTCATCATTGAATTTAGTCATAACTCCTTGTTATAAACATTGAATTTTATTGTTTATTTACCTCACACTCTGACACTGTTTAGCTCCACTGATAACGACGCACTTCAAAGAAAGCGGTACTATGACAAAACGGTTGTACAGTGCTTCCAGGATTTTAATGGAGGTCTAACTTAGATTGGTTTATGTTTTTGATAAAATTCAACAATCTTCACAACCTCATACTGACGATTATTTATTTAGTTATGTTGTGCTATTTAATAAGGGCTCTAGATGTACATCCATTAGTTCAAATTTGAATTTATAGTTCATGAGGTTTATACGTGAAAATCGTTGTTCGCAAATGTAGGTTGACTAAAAAAAAATCCACATTGTACTTGTTAAGATTTTCAGATCGTACAATTGGTTCTTTCTCATCGATAAATGGAATTTAATCAATACTGGATGTTTGAAGCATATATTTAGACTGTTATCAGCTTGTATGTTCATTGTTTCATGTTTATCGAGATCAGTATTAAAAGAAAATTGAACAATTACTATATTAAACTATGAAACAGTGAAAACGTTGTGAATTAGTTGCTGAAAACCAGTAGCTGTTTTCTTGTGTGCTAAATCTAGGGAAATAAGCATAGTTAATTTCTTCAGGTTGTTAGAATAACAAAATACTTTTAATTTTTAACACTGTATTCTGGATTTTTTTTTTACATACATTACTGTTTCGTTAAGAGAATTCCAAGTCATATAGTCTCTCATCACTTTTTATCAGATTTACAATTAACATCATGGGCTGTAGTTTAGCTTGGTCATTCAAATATCTTAGTTTTATAACACGACTGGAGAAATTCATAAAATTTAATTCACCAATTGTATTCAAATGCATCTTCGAGAATATTATCACTCCTTAATGATTATCTGTTCCTAATTTCCAGCTTTTGTTTTCAGGATTTACCCATAAATTGAAAACTTTTGTCCAAAAAGTAGTAACACAACTTGTCGATTATTGTGAACCAAAAACTGATCGTTTCGAATGCATCCGTGAGAAAATTTCTCAAAATATTACCAATTTTTCAGTCAAACCAACTCATCATCAGGCTTGTACATATTTAACGAATATTACTTTACATCATTCTTGGATTAATGATGATTTTATTCAAGCTCTAAAAGGTAAGTACTTGTTCTTGCTTTTTGAGTAACTTTTCATTCGAATCATTTGCAAACAATCTAATTCTTAGTACTGATGTTCAACTACCCAAGTTACTACATCTCATGTTAGTTAGAGCTTTGTGTTCTCATGATTCCAATCAGCGAAATTACTAAAATCTCCACAAAACTCCTTCCGATACTTATCATCTACCCACTAGTGACTGACTTCAAGAGGCGTTTCCTGAAGTTCTGGTGAGAAGCCGTTACCAGTGGAGTTCAACCAGGTCTGTTGTGAGATATCAACTCACTGAAGACAATGGTGTACGGTGGTGCAACTTCGTGGACTGTTCGAATTTAGACATTAACACCTTTGGATGCCGGCTCAGTGGTCTAGTTTGTTAAGCGCCTGTCGCGAGACTGATAGGCCCCGGGTTCGAATCCCACGGGGTGCGGGATCGTGGATTCGCACTGCTGAGGACTCCCATACTAGGGTGAAACGGCCGTCCCATGCTTCTAGGTTTTCCATGGTGGTCTAGCTTCGATTGACTCATGATTCCAATCAGTGAAAATGCAATTTGTATGTAAGTGCAAGAACAATGAAATCTGAGTCAGTTCGAAACAATCGATGAACAATGTAAATTAAGCATTTACTTTATGATTGTTAGATTTTATTAACAAGTACTGTAAGTTTATGTTAAATACATTCGATTGTACCCCACTGGTGTTCTTGTTCACTACAGTGTTAATGAATTTTAAAGGTTACTTAATATTCACTGTAAAAATCGTTACTGAAACTGCTCCACTGAGTTTCGATTGAAAATTCTTTAAGTGACTTATTCATTTTTTCATCCTAGATATTACCTACGAAAAGTTGGTTAATTATATCAAAGAGTTTTATGAACATATTTTTATCGAAGGCCTTATATATGGCAATATCACCGAAGAGGTAAGCATACAGTAATGTGGTTAATATCATTTTTTAGGTTAATTCAGTAATGAGAATATGACTAGGATTACTTTGTAGAAATTTAAAAAGTTAAAATCATTTATACTTATTGATACATGAATATTATAAATTGTGTACAGTAATACACAAACATTATGAACAGGCTTTTCATTTCAACTTGAGTAATTAGGTCATAACATTAAAAAAAAAGACAAGTAGGTGACAGAACAATTAGAAACAGTGAAACAATGCCATAAGTAACTGTTAGTTACTGTCATTATAAAGCTCAGCACAAGTATTTATCGTCCTATTTCGTATTAGCCACTATGAATTAAAACCAAAAAGAAGATTTTCAAAGGTATTATAATTAACCCCAATAGACATAATAGACATAATAAAAGACTAAATAAACATTGATCAAAAGGGATAAAAATGTATTTAAGATGGAATACTCAGTATCAAACGAAAGATAAAGAGTGATGGCATGTGATCTATGCTCACCGACTCTAAGACATGTTACACAACGTTCCCAACGACCGATTAGAGTTATCATACGGATCTCAAACAGGAATTCTAGATCTATCAGTATGACCTATACGGAAATTAAATAATTTTATGGACTGATATTATGGAGCTAACATATCAAGAACTGTTTGTCTTTGAATGTGGTTACACTCAAGGGAGCTTCCATTGTTAACTTACTACAACAGAAAACTGCAAAACGATTGCAGTTGACTTCAGTTAATATTTAAAACCACTCAGCCACATCTGTAGGATGTCAGTCAATAAAATTTACTGCTTCGCACATTTTTTATTCATTGGAAATTCATTTATTCTATCTCCAAAATCATATCTTCTGATATTAGAATAGACTATATGGTATTCTCACCAAACATGATATATGTGCATCAATTAAACTAAATTATTTCGAGAACTTGTTACGCAAGTGTATTAAATATGTTTATTCATGGAAGTGATGTATACATCTAATATAGCCAAGCTAACATCTGAATATCACCAAAAGTAATGTAGACACGTATTTGAAGCTGTTAAATTTCCTAAGCAAGCACTAATTTCACATCTATTTAAACAACACAAAAACCTACTGTGGTTTACAGACCTCCGAACGATTCTCTGTTTTTTCATGCTGTGTGGTTTAGATCATATTTCACTTATCACTAACCTACTGAATTGAGTATGCTATGTCACGATATACATTCAGTGATTGATTAATAGTTTGTATATTGACCGTAGATTAACCTTTTTATTTCATAGTTCGATTATTGATCACATTAATTGTTCTTGAGTGTAAAGGGCAAACTGCTTTCTGTATCACTTGGACTATAACTTAGATAAATTTGTCGATTATTTTTCTAAATTATGTTTTTCAACTAGTCATATCGATGTTTCGAATTTCCATCTACAGGATGCGATAAATTATTACGAAACGATTCGAGATCTGATTATACAAAAATTTGATTCTAAACCACTTTTGCTATCTCACATCGCAACACCTCGAGAAGTTATAATTCCTGAAGGTAAACACCTTTGTCCATCAGTTTTTTTTCAGAAATATGGTATATGAATTATATATATAGGCTATGGGCCGTTCACTCCGCCAAATCTTGGCACACATCTTTATGGTAAACCTAAAACAAACTGTCATGAAATCGGTGATTAATATCATAGCGTTTTATGTCAGGTAAGTGAGAGGAGGCAAGATCGACCGTAGTTGAATGTTGCTTACGTGAGAACAGTTATTCTCGAAAAGTCATAAATAAATATAATACGACTAGAAGAAAATGAAATATCCCACGGTTGAGAAAAAACCTGTCTTTCTAAATTTGGTTTCAGAAGAAATACGATAACTGGGAGGATTGACTTTAAACTAAAGGTAATGTTTGAAAGAAAATATTCAGCGACCAATTTGATGTCTTTATAGCAAACCAAATGCTCGTTGTGACAGTCAAATGTGGACAGATACCCACCTAGTGTCATCTCAAATGAGTTTACCAGCTTACATGCACGTAAGAAAGTACATACTTTGGAAGAACAGAAGGAAGCACCCGTGTCCATATCTCCGAACATAATCCACAAAAGTTGAGCTTAAACGGAAGGTTTTGAACAGCTCAATCGCTTGTCATCTACTCGACAGTAGGCATGATGTCATAGTTTCGAAATCTTTCAGAATGATTACTAAACATAGGATTCAAAATTGTTACGCTTTACCGAATCTATTGCAATAAAAAAGATTTAAACGCGATTTATATATCCAGAACGAATCTTTTCTAGCCCTGTTGACCTTATCTTTATGAGATTATTACGTAAGACCTTTTTTGTATAAACTTTGAATAAAATTTCTAGTGTCATAATTCGTACTTCTGAGCTTACTTAACTAGCCTATAGGTTAAGCGCTTGCGCACGAAACTGATAGGTCCTGAGCTTGAATCCTGCGCAGGCGGGATCTTGGATGCACACTACTGAGGAAACCCATACTAAGAAGAAACGACTGTCCAGTGCTTCCAGGTTTTTCATGGTGGTCTAGCTAATATTGACTCGTGAAACCATCTATTAAATTAGTCTGTACTAAATCATCTGTCTTCGGTTTTGTAAATAAAATTTCTATTTCCATGCTCTTATAAAATATTCATATACTTAACGAGTTTCAGTTGTGTGATTTGTTCCCTATTATTGTCTCCTAGTATTATTCTATCTCCATATTGAGTAAATTCATCCCAGATTTTTGAAGTATTTACACTTGTTTCATTCTAATGATTAATGCCACGGTTTTAAGGTATGAACAGCTCAGTAGAATCCACGAAAGAAAACAATTCATGTTATTTTACTACAATATACGTTCTTTCTTTATTCAGTTTTATAAATTAAAAAAATTGTATGAAATATGTTTGAACGTCGATAGAGAACTAGGTGACATTTTTAGAAAAATTTATGTTTTGTTATTATGGTCAATTTGGACAAATAATGAACAGATACAGTAATCATAAAGACTAGAATTTTAAACTGCTGTAATTTTCCACTTTGTAACTTAAACAATCTTGTTGTCATACAAATTCAGATTATTCCATTTATCTGAATTCTGATTCTTTAAATTTTAATGACTAAATTAATATTTTATTACAATATGTTTATTTTTATTACAATCTCTTACTGAATATTATCTCACAGTGTACTGTAAGATGTGAGGTTTAAATTGAGTCATGTTAATAGGTGTAGAATACCTTCACGCAATTATCATAGACAATATGTGGTTACCGTAGCGTAATATCGCTTGGGATTGGTTTCAATGAAGCAGTTACATTTATTCTTTGTTTTTTTCTTAAATCGAAATAACCTTATACATTTTTTCTTGAATCAGATTGTATGTCCTTAATGTTTTCTACTATCACTGATACTTATATTACTTCTACTACTTAATAATTCTTTCTTGGTTTACTGATGTAGTGTGCTAGTTTAATCTTCTGCATGTGTCAGGTTCTACTTTGCATAAAATCTGACTGACAAGACGAAAATAAGTTTTTTTTATCCGAATTGTGTACATTATTTATTTTGTTAATTATTCTTATTCCAATCGTTTTTCTTATTTTATTTAGATTCCAGTTTTCTTTATCAACGATATATTTCTGGTCAACCAGCTTCTGCACTTTACTATTACCTTCAATGTGGTGAGCAGTCTACGCTTAATAATACATTACTTCATCTGTTTTATCAGATTGTAAGAGGACCCATTTTTGATAAACTATATACGGAAGAACAATTGGGTGAGGAATTATTATTGAGTATGAAACGTAGTAACTATAAATACCATTGAATTATAAGAGACGCATTAACGATATCTTAAGATTTGAATTTAAATGGTTTGAATTATTTTTTCTAGTTAGCGTTTTTTAGCGAGTTTATTTTCTACGGGATAGGGTCGATAAGCCCCTGCCCAACCCTCCTCCTCTTTACGGGCTTGGGACCAGCAGTAACCCTAGAGGGGCTCCAGGCCCTATCAGACAAGTCAAGAGCGCGACGAGACAACATTCCAGCAGATGCACTGAGATCAGATGCAACAGTACCTACAAAGATACTCGGCATTCTCTTCTGCAAGATTTGGGATGACGAACAAGTACCAACAGACTGGAGAGAAGTACACCTGATCAAGGTACCAAAGAAAGACGATATAAGCAACGACGATAAGTACAGGGGTATCACTCTTCTCTCAATACCAGGAAAAGTCTTCAACAGGGTATTGTTAAACAAAATGAAGGACTCCGTAGACGCCGAACTTCGAAACCAACAAGCAGGATTCCGTAAGGATCGATCGTGTACAGACCAAATTGCAACACTACGGATCATTGTGGAATAATCAATTGGATGGAATTGATCACTCCATATCAACTTTATTGGCTACGAGAAAGCATTTGATAGCGTGGACAGGGCAACACTATGAAGGCTTTTTCGACACTATGGCGTGCCTGAGAAGATTGTCAATATCATACAGAATTCCTATGATGGTTTAAACTGCAAAATCGTGAATAGGGGACAGCTGACAGACTCGTTCGAACTAAGGACCGGTGTAAGGCGAGGTTGTTTACTCTCACCCTTTCTCCTGGTGATTGACTGGGTCATGAAGACGTCAACATCTAGGGGGGTGGAGGCATGGGATACTGTGGACAGCTAGGATGCAGCTGGACAATCTAGACTTCGTAGACGATCTGACTCTTCTTTCGCACACGCATCAACAAATGTGGGAGAAGACGACCAGCGTTGCAGCAATAGTTCTCAACATAAATAATGGGAAAAGCAAGATTCTCCGATGCAGCATAACATGCTTTAATCGAATCACACTTGACGGAGAATCTCTGAAGAGTGTAAAAACCTTTACATATCTGGACAGCATCAATGATGAGCACGGTGGATCTGATTCAGATGTGAAGGCGTGGATCGGTAAAGCAAGAGCAACGTGTCTACATCTGGGACTCAAAACAATTGTCAACCAATACCAATGTCGGATTTTTCAATATGAACATCAAGAAAGTTCTACTGTACGGTGCTGAAACTTGGAGAACTACTACAACCATCATCAGGAAGATACAAGTATTTAAAAATGGTTGTCTACGCAAGATACTCAATATCCATTGGCCGGATACTAATGTATTGAAGAAAAACACGGGTCTATCTCAACAAAATCTGAATACCATATAGTCAGTCGTCAATTTGCAAAATATTCATGCATCAAACCAAACTGGACTGTTTCTGTCGCAAACACCAATCCATTGTCTCCCATTCCATTGTTCATGCATTTCCTTATAAATTTCAATGTGTTCTCGCTCTACCTTTCTCGATCTTCGCCATCTTTCGCTGCCAGACATTACGTTCCTTTAACGCATGTCATATACTACTTATATCAATATAAGTAGATCACACCACACTATCAACAACTGCCTTTTGTGGGAGAGAACAAACCAAATCCCAGCGTGGGGGGATCAGGAAGAAGCGCTGAAAGCGGACAGGACACACATTAAGGAAAGAACACAATTGTGTCATAAGGCAAGCCCTCATCTGGAATTCTCAGAGCCAGAGGAGAAGAGAAAGATGAAACAACACATTATGTCGAGAAATGGAGACAGATATGATAAGAGTGAACAACAATTCGATTGAACTAGAAAGGAAGGCCCAGAATAGATTGGGTTGAAGAATGCTGGTCGGTGGCCTATGCTCCCTTGGATGTCACAGGCTTGAGTAAGATATGAGTAATTCTCAGTTATCTTAACTATCAAATAACTAATACGAATATGTGTCTTTGGTGACTAGTTCATACATTTTGTTGGCCTTATATATGTCTCAAAGTAACACTTTCATTTGACTTTTATTATATTTAATATGTTTTGTGAGTAAAACTATGCATATATTATTTTGATTGTTGCGTATGTGTTTAGTCTAGCAGATAGTTAGTTGATTCCAAAAAGTGCTTAAGTTCATATTCTTGATTGTCACTACTTATGCCGTTTGGATGCTGCGTTTTTCACAGTTAGAGTAGGTTACTGTAAATTAGATGTTGAATCATTATAAAGAATCGTGAAGCAGGTTGTGTGGTAATATAAAGAGTGATAAGAAACAGTGTGATGTTCAGTGGTATAGGAGTAGGTTGGAAGAAAGCTGGGGGCGGCCAGACCAAAACATGGCACAAGTCCATGAAGTCACTGACAAGTGGATTGAGTCATGTTGGTAGGTGTAGACTACCTGTTTGGGGACCGCGAGATGATAGCAACCGATGGTTAGAGACCTTGAATGACATGGCTCAAAATCGTTTGTAATGGCGCAGGTGCATCCACTCTTTGTGTTCTCCCAAATTTTGATCTCCTGATTCCTCCTTGTCTCTTTTTTTTCTCTTCTCAAGTTTATTTCGCTGTATTATACTCTTTAAGTAAAATCTCCAAACCCTAATCTTTCCGATTACTGCTTATACTCTTACTACCTTTACCACTACGGGATTTGAATCGACCACTGCATGTCTGTGCTAACATGGTGTGGTAACTCGAACTGATGTACGTACGTACGAAGTTCTACGTTGTTACTAACCGACTAACTGACCGCAGCACTACAATTACTATCAAATTACAATAGATGCAGATTTACTTACGAAGATACGGTTAGTATAGATTAGATAAAAATGTTAACTTAGATCCGAAGAATTTGCAGAGGCTTCCAAAAGATTATTTCCAAAGAATTAAGGATCTGACGCATCAATCTAGAAGTTGTATTTCTGGGTTATCCATCTATATTTAATTTTAATAGATGTTAGGGTTTACTTTTGTGTAATATCAGTCTATTAGTTGATTAAAATTAGGTTTAGAACTTCGTTCTGATTTAATTTTGATTATCATGGATAGTTTAACGAAAATTATTTCGATTACAGCAAATACCAGCATTTCAGCTTTCATGGATCACATCTTCTTGCCACAATCCTTAACAAAGACAACTTGTAACAAAAAAAAGAACTGTCTTTTTATAGAATAATGTTTATGATTCCTTTGGTAAATACTTAAGTGGGGTTTTACTTGCAGCTTATAATAAGAATGAATTGGTTGAATCATTTAAGACTTCATAAAGTTTACTCATTATTAGTGTGTGAGATGATGGTAGTAACTTGTTCAATAAAATGTAATTCACCGGTTATTTATATATATATGTATACCAAGGACATATGTAGTCTTTTATCATGGTCCTAATAATTAATTCTCCATACTTTGTAAATAAGTTGTGAATACTTTTCTCTAGTGTTTCTTTTTTAAATTATATTGTTATCTTTTTGGGATTTTTTCATATTTATGTCTTACAGTTCTTGTATTGATCAAGTGGAAAGTTATCTCTTATATATTTTGGCTTCGTTTAATCATTTTCTAGCATATGATTCATTATGTGACCCTCTTTTGACACCTGAAATTATCGAACTATTTTTTTTAAAGAATCCTCTTTCTATATTTCAACAGAGTAATTTATGTAGTGACACACTGTAATTACGAATGTAAATACTGAGTAAACGATATCACTGTGAAGAGAAATTTTGCCGAAATATCGTTGTTTCTTTTCCAATAATATATATATATATATATATATATATATATATATATATATATATATATATATATATATATATATATATATATATATATATATATATATATATAGTTGTTGGCTTAGTTTATCACAATTAAATCTTATCGATCATGAGGACAGGTCAGTTTTTTATACTTGTTTTTACTGTTCATTTTACACAAACGATTTGAATAGTTCGTTAAATTATAGTTTACTTTTCTAATATTTTTCATTAACTTGAAATCGGTAAGACTTCATTTTTAAAAACATTTGTTGCTATTTGTTTGCCCACCAGATAAAGAAAATGTGTTTAATACATTTCAAGATGATAGGCGGATAGCCTCAGCTGTTAGATATTACTGAGGCTAATTAGGATGATCTTGATATCCTATGTATTTGAATTACCACTTGCAATTTACTTGATATCCTGTGACACTTAATATGACTTCGTAAGCTGTTACGATTGAGTTCAACTGTAACTATTTCAGTCTTACTGGTAGCTATCTTAATGACTCGATAAAGTTATCTTCAATGCAAAAACTGGTTGATTACTCAAAAATTTCTTTTCCAAGACTTAATGACTAGACGAGAATAAAACAGCCGATCGTATATCTATACCTGAAACTCGAAAATCCATACTATTTAGTAATTTAATACCTGGACTGCGACTTATCATAAATATGAAGTTACAATGTATGCTAAGATAGAGCACTTATTATACAACACTGAAATAATAGCCTTATGATTCATTTGCAGTAATTTGTCAGTGGAAAGTATTATGATAACAGTTAATCTGTCAAATAATAGTTTGTAGTCGAGGAGATGCGAACATCAAATGAACTAAGTGTTAGCAGCTAAATATTAAGACATAAGAGCACTCCAAGTGTATTTCATCATTTTATAGTAGAAAAATTATACAATTCTCATGTTTCAAATGCGTTTTGCTTATGTTCAGCTTTACTAAAATTTTACTTACATTTTATTGACCTAAAATAACCCTTCTATAGACGTTTTATTCTCTTGTTTTTTTTATGTTCACATTGAAGGTTATATTGTACAGGCTGGACTTCGACGATCCAACAAACTACAAGGTTTTCGTATTTTAGTGCAATCATCTTATCATCCTAATAAAATTGATAAATGTATCGAAGAATTTCTACTTACTGTAAATGTGAGCGTTACTGATTGTTTTCCTTCCATAAAACTGTATACGTAATGAATTGTTGTCTGTTCTTTTCTGTTCTGTCCCATCCTGTCATTTATGCTCTCATACAATGTATACGCCTCCAATATGATGGCTTGTACTTACGTACAGACTCCTTGATACATGCTACTTACTTTTCCTTACATATTGGTATTTTAGAAACTATTAGAAGATATGTCTGATGAAGAATTTAATGTTCATGTGCAATCCCTCATGACACATTTACTGGAAAAACCGAAAGGTATGCAAGATCGATTTGGGCGTTTATGGTCTGAAATTGCTTGTCGACATTATAATTTCAAACGAAGTAAGTTTATTAATTTTTAATGCAAATATATTTAGATCTACACAACAATCTCGCTGAATACATTTTTATTAGTATTAACAATGGTATCGACCCACCAATACAATTCTAATGAATAAACATAGATAGTTTATCGTAGGGTTATTAATATCCGTGATACGACTAATAAAATTACCGTCATATAGTGAACAAATATTTGAACATATGAAGTATGTCAAAACTGGAAAAGACGGTACCTCTTCAATTGATTTACACTAATTTTCTATAAGTACAAAGTAATTTTAGAAATTATTGATTGACTAAGTTTGTTTATTTTTCATAAGTTTTGACCTTCTTCATAAGTTGAAATATTTGTTTTGCATAATAAGATTGTAAATCACCTATATATTCCATTAGTCATATTGTATATATACTCTGAACCCAACCAAAGTGATTAAAGCATTTAGTATATATAAATATATATTCGCTTATATAAATTATGAATCGGGATAGATTTTGTATTTGATCTAGTGAGAAACAATGTTGTTCACTTATATATTTTGATCTAATTTACGCCATGATGTTAATATTGAACATTTAAAAGTTTCAAAATAATGAAAGTAATTAATAATTCTCTAAATAATTTGTAAATATTTTATTTTAATTTCTTGACTTTATTCTCAGATGTACATGCGGTTAGTGTATTGAAATCACTCAAAAAGAATAATATTATCAATTTCTTTAAAGTATGTATAATTCAAGAAGAAAACTTTATTCAACTAATACCTTCTCTTTGTAAATTTGATCAGTTTCGTCTGACTATTTATAATGATTCTAGCAGAATAGCATGAATTCATTTTATTTCGTAGGTTCTCGTCAGCTGCTTACAACCTGTGATATTTAAAATTCATAATTACATAATGGGTTTAAATTGCTAACTGAATATTGTAAATATATACCTAATGTGAGAGAATATTCTACAACATTACTTGTGACAACAGTTCAAAAGTGGGTTAGAAACAATCGATTACATAATGAATAACATTGAAGGAATGTAGTGAGTAGAGTTCAGTTGAAAGATTATTAATTTGAAAGATAGTTGAAAAAATAAAATAGAGTCAATGATGTAATAAATTCAAAAAAAGAAAAAAAGGAAAGACTTTTTTATGGTGCAGTGAAGGTATATATTTGTCACCAGGGCAAGGAAAGATTAACCACCGTCTCCTTTTGAATACATAGGTCAGGTTTTTGACGCCTGATGGCAATGGCTTCAGCAAACTTCAGAAGACTGGAGTTTGGCTGCTTACTAATCACCCTAAAGGATTGTAAGGCATCTACCTGATGTCCTGTATCAAGGAGATGTTTGGTGATTGCAGCTGACGAGAACCTACGAAATAAAATGAATTCATGCTATTCTGCTAGAATCTTTGTTCTTGCTCTTTTCAAAATGATAAAGAAAACTATGTGTATGATATTTATAATGATAAATAACAATTGCTTTATGAAAACGATTTAAAACAAGTATATACATTTTAATCAATTTATTCGTAGTTGTCGTTTTTCTTGTTTTGTTGAAGTTTCTGATCATATTTATGCTTGAATAAATATTAACTGAATTATCAGAAGGGGTTTTGTGGATGCCTGCTTAGTGGTCTTAATGGTTAAGCGCTCGCGCACGAGACTGATAGGTCCTGGGTTCGAATTTGGCGTGGGATGAAACTGTTGAAGAGTTCTATACTAGGACGAAACGGAAGTCCAGTGCTTCCAGGTTTTCCATGATGGTCTAGCTTAAATTAACTCATGATTTCAATTATTGAAATCAACTGAAATGATTGAGTGTTATTGGATCAACATAAACTTAGTTTATTTCGTCGAGTTCATATCATTTAGTAAACAAATGAATAGTCTGGTGATTTGATAATTCAATAGTAATTTAATAGTTGAGATCATAAGTAAATTGAAGCTAGACCACCATGGTAAACCTGGAAGCACTGGACGTTTGTTTCGTTCTATTGTGGTACTCCTCAGCAATGCGTATCCACGATCCCGCCTCACGAGATTCGAACTCATGACCCCAACTATTAAATGAATATAATATTCACAAAACCCCTTCTGATATTGGCTCAATAGTTCTTAAATTTTGACAACAGATCTAAAAGTTCAAGTTTCGCTCCAATATACTTTGTTTTAAACTGTCACACAGTATTACTATATTAAAAGTGGATAGAACTGTATAGTTTATGAAATAATAAAAGATATATGTCTATGTATCATGACTGATTTACTAATCTTTAGAGTATTTCTTATTTACTGAAATACAATCAATTGAAAGTTTCATTGTAACTCATTTATAATTTAATTCTGAATATAGGAGTATATTGATCCGTCATCATGTACAAGAAGAAAATTAGTAGTTCAAATAATATCAAGTGAGGAACATTTATGTGATTCAGAATTTAGTAATCATAGCAAGAAGGTTAGTAAAATGAAAATTATATATATATATCCCTGTTTGAGACTATTATGTATTTGAGATATTTCAGTTTTTTTTAATTTTTTTTAATCAAATATAGGTTTTATGAAATTTATTAATAATGAGCTTTCAATTATATGTCTTTTAAACTATTTGAGATGCACTTCTCACTTATAGGTAACGTAGAATCTAGCACAAATTTGAATTTCCTTAGATTCCCAAATCCTATCAAGATAACCAGAATGATCTAACAGGATAGTAATCTCGTTAGTCGAAGTAAACGTATCATTAATAATACAAAACATCTTTAAAAAAAAACAATGTTGGGTCTCTAGACGTAATAAATGGCTTTGATGATTCCTTGAATAAGATTCTGTGAACATGTGTTATATACGCTAATCGGTTAGCTTTCGGAGACGATAGACCATGTTTTCATAATCCTTATAAGATAATTCTCTATTAATTTTAGCATATATTGTACTAGCTTCGAGAATCTCAGCGCCATATAGTCCATAGGTACACTTGTTTGTTGTATACGGACTCATTTTCAAAGTAAACTTCTTTTCATTCTTCCCGTCGTTTGTTTTCAGCTAAAAGTTCAAATGCAGTAGATATTTGATAACTAGAAAGCGTATAGGAAGTCAATACCCAATCGATTGAACACATGATGTTTCAAGAGGGTAGAGAATAGAGCCATATACGTAATTACAACTAATCCAGTGGATCACATAGGCTTTGAAATAAAAAAAATACTCCAAAACACTAAATGTCCTAATTCATAGTTGATGTCATCTTATAAACAGGGATATTGAATCAATCAGTTTGTGCGGCTAGTTTTCCAGAGCTACCAATCGGGCAAGTGATTAGTGGTAGTCTTACAGCCAAATCATCCAGTGATATTTTGTTCATTTTGACTGCAATGATAAAATTATGCATCACACATGGTCATTATTGATTGATTCATAATTGTGTAGCTACATATTACTCATATGTATTACCGAATCATAGCACTATTTTGTTGGTTAATTCAGTTGGTTAACGAAGCTCTCCACTAGATTTCGATTTAGTGGCTGAGAAACAGGCGGCTCATCGTTTGCGGCCTGCTTGAATATCTGGGATACCTGTTCTTGTCATCTAGATATTTCAACATGTTATCTGTTTCCTTTTTTGTTTTAACAGATCATTATGTTAATTAAACCAATAACCAATTCAGGTGCGTTTGTGAAAAGTGTACGACCTTTCACTGCGCAAGCTACAAAAATTTACAATCGGAAACATTGTGATGACTGACAATATACATTGAAAAGAATAAATATTATTCAGATGTCGACTTCAAAAGTATTTATATCTAACTGGCGATCATTCAATATTTATCGTCAATATCGATCCAGAAATAAGAAACAGAAACTCGCTGAAATACTTTGTACTGAGAATTCTATATTGTATCAAAAATATAATATGCAAAAGAGCTAATAGTAATAGCATGCAAGTAAATTTAATGAAACAATTGCTCCTTTCCGCTGGGTTTGAGTCCTTTTCAGATAATCGAAAGTTGTACCAAAATCAGTCCTCATCTTAATCGATTGTATTTAAAATCAATGCGAACATTAGCCTCTTCTCAGTTTTTACTTTACCATTTGTTGTTTATTATTTTTTGATTATTATATAGATTAAAGCGAATCTCCAATGCTTTTTACTTTGATTTAGGTAGTCGTCTTAAAAAATCATACGGAATTGAAACGTTACTGTCCGTTGAGTTCTTTAACAACACCATTCATGATGTTCACTTCCAAATATGAAGGGATATCACTACGATTTTAATCCGGTTATCTGGATTGAAGATTTAGAAATATTCAATATACGCGTCACTTTTTGAGATTACCAAAACGTGTCATTTTTCATGCACTAAACGCTTTTGATTTTTTTAATGTCTTTATTTTTCTCTTGGAGAGATTTGACACTAAGCATGTTTTATAGATCTTGCTTTCATAAGACATAGAAAATATTTAATTATGTATATGCTTTTCTACTACTTTTTGATGCAGCTGTTCATTTGACTGTTTTTTTATACTTTTCCTTGTGAATTAACTCATAATTATTTCTAAATATATTTTCGTACCTCATCTCTGTAAAGTAACTGAAATTCTTCATGGTAATTTTCAATCATTTCAATGTATTATGATCTAAGATATTCTTTAAATACATTTATGAAATTACTAGCTATCTTTTATTATATGTTCGTTGATATGTGATGACAAATGAATAGTTGGAGAAACTTCCATTGTATTTCTTCATAAATTTTTTTTTCCTTGTTTGACTTCTGAATCAATAAAAACTTGTAGCTTAATACTGTATATTTCAATATTTTAAACATTCGTCTTTGAGAACAATAGACTCTTAACGTTAATGTGAGTGTTTATGTATGTCACTACGGTTGGTCAAAGAAAAAAATATATAATGAACATTTTTGCATGTACTTTCACCATACATGTTAATTGTTGCGTTCAAAGTCTAAAGATTTACATTTTGGGAAGTGCGGAATAGAATAGATGTTACAGAAAGTATTGTCTATTTATTGCTGGTTCAGTGTTTTAGGAGTAAGTATACTTGCTGAAAACATCAGGCTTTTACTATTTTTTATTTGGATCTACATAGGGAACTTATCACCACACTACCTTACAAGCATCTTCGTGCTTTGCATATTCGAAGAACAACGTATATCATGATAATAAGTAATTATGAACTCAGTTTTGTGTCTCAACGTCGAAGCAAGCATTGATTAAGAATGAAAAATAGGTGTTCCATAAACTTATAAAAGTGGAATCGATCCCACAATTTAGTAATTCACTGAGTTTCGAAATGACAATAGTAAGTGTTATACATACCTATGGCTAGAACAATAACCTAACCTGATTAGTAGTCAAAGAGGATAACAGGTTGAAAACTTTCAACTGTTCAGTAATAAAACTGATTCATGCTGCTACAGAGGTCATAAAATCCCAACAAAAATGCTTTAACAGTTCGAATTTGCACATAGACTAGCATGCTGTGCATTTAGCTAGATATTGTAGAGTAAACGGTGTAGCTAGTTTACGAATAATCTGAGTTTCATGCACTCTGGCTTGTAGCAGTTTAATGAACTGGAGCTGCAACCTTGAGCTGATAAAACCAGCATCAATTTCGAAAGTCTATGTAGCCATGTATTTGAGGGACAGTCAGTTAATGTTTAAAGCATACAAGATAAGGGTCGAATTCGAAAATCCTCGCACATATTTGGCGATATGTAGTGTATATATTTCACCCCATGACTTGAAGATGTTTGAAACGTTACTGCTAAATCCTCGTTAATTAACGATGTCAGTTGTTCTTTCAATCTTTCAAACGCTACTGATCAGAAATGGAGTTATTTGCACCTTGAGATTTGAATCTCGACGGTAGTAGAGAGTTCTAGGTTAAAGTATGGCATGAATCTTATTTTAGTTTCTCAGCAAACAGTTATTTAAGCTGAAGAGAAGAAGGACAATAGTAAAAATGTGTAGTGACTCACATTTATCACGAGAACACGACTGGTTTACTAAAAACAATTATTATTATAACCAATTGTACCAGTGTTTGTTTTAATGTGCTTTTGTTTAACTGTGCTAACTATAGCCATTTTGTGCTTCCATTATTGTTCCGCGGTTTTTGCTACTTTTCGCACGTACTCCATTCTCCTGCTTTCGCTTGTACCGTTCTTGGCACGATTTCAGTATTCATTCGACACCATGAGATCGCCAAACGAATAAATCTGGTTACGCTCAACCTACGCCTTCTGATTTTCTTGGCACGTGTTTTTTGGTAGCGGTGTTTATAGTCAATCTCGACTCGACGCCACGCTACAAATGAGCCAACGACTCAATAAACCCATAAAATGAACTTGGCTGATAAGGTAATCAATAACAGTCGGCAATAACACAAGCGAATAATGAGACGAATTGATAATGGGAACTAGAAGTTGATAGCGTTAGATTCCAGATGTCTTTTACACAACACTAAAGACAAAGACGGTGTACTACCACTTAGAAGAAAAAAATTCTTCATTCAACAGAGAAAATAGGTAATATAGAGAAGACGGTCTGACAGAACTTCCACTTCTAAGCCATTTCTGACTAACCGCGAGTTTGACAAGAAATACAGATTTATACGTAGGAAAATTGTGCAAAGTTTGGGTGATTATGGAAAACGCTGATGGTTAGAGTGCGCTAGATAGTTAAGAGCAGAAGCAGTATCACATTTATTGCTGGTCAACAGTCATGTAGTAAAACTTTTCTTGACGATTGTTTGTTAAACCGCTGTGTCACTGTGCCATTAACACCTAAAAACTCTAAATACAGGCAAAATATTCAAACCGGTGGGTGCATGATCACATTTGGTGTTGGGTATATTTTACATCCTATAACTAAAGAGTAATTTTGCGAAACCATTAAACGTCTGTGAGCAAAGCCACTCTTGACGGTGAGACACACACCCATCTTGTTGGCTGTGTAAGCAGCAAAGTCACAGATTAAATGATCACTGTACATCGGGCCACCAAAGCATCCATTAGTATCGCAGTAGACAAATCCGACTCGGCAACATGGGTAGTTTTACCACAGTCAGCAAATAACACCGAAAAATCCTGTGCAGTCTCGAGATGAATATGAGCAATTGAATCGAGGTATAGCACTTTCGGTAGAGAACTCCTACTTATCAATTGTGTTGTACGTCATTTTTAAGGCTTTGGGGAAATTCACTCTGTTCACCGGCCGTAAACCTCCAAATAATTCTGTCGACTCATCTTCAAACGAGTTCTCGACACGACAGTTTCGACAGCTGAACAACGTCTCGCGATTTACTTCAGATATTCAACTTATTTCAGGGAACACAATGTAGTGGCAGAAGCATTCTCTCGTATCAATTCCTTAAACGAGTTTCAAACTCCTTGAACTCGATTAGTTTCAAAAGCAAGACGATGCTCGTCAGCACGGGGCACTCTCGACAACCCCAAAACTGCCAATCGAACAGATGGCAACAGTTTATGAAATTGTGCTATGCAGCACGTCTTCCGATAAAGGTAGTTCGATCGTGTCAAAACACTATGGATGCCATTTCTTCAATTCGTTGCTTCAACTTCCTCTTCAACGTGTCCGGGTGACTACCAATTTCGAAGCAGAACGATTTTGCTGGCCTGCTATAAACAAGGACGTGAGGGAGTAAGCACATTCATGTGTGAGCTGCCAGACGTCTAAAGTGACTGGACACAACAAATGTCAACCGAGATCTTTCGCGCCTACAAACTCTCGTTTAGACTATTTTCGCCTTGATTTGTCGAGACCCCTAACAAGTTCAAATATACACTTTTATCTCCTAACGTGTGTGGCAGCGCTTCAGGAGGTAACGAACGTAAATCGCAGGTCAAAAAGCCAAAACGCTGGTAGCACCACACTTTCTTTATTACGGTCTGGGACACTATCTGAAAGCCTGCTCAGTGTATTGCTTTAACAAGAAGCGAATAAATATATGGCTTACCATTGTCTGCCTGAAAGATTTGAAATCACTGACTTCTTGCCTCTACAGTTAGAATTGATTTAAACATCATCATATGTCCCTCTTTTCTTTTTTTAAGGGATAAGATAGTTTTCACGAACTCGCGAAGCATATACTACTCAAGTGATAATGTGTGTAATATCTAGCATTTTTACGTGACTTAAGTGAATGAATGCAACAATAGTGAGCACATTTTACCTTGAGGACATAAATTAGTAGCAACATTTTAACTTACTTTGGTTTTCTCCCCAGGTAAGTTAATGCTTCTTTGATACCTTTAAAGTTGTCCTTCATGGTAGTTTCTTCTATCATTAGATCCTTTGAGGCTTGAAACCTGTTGTTGAGAGTCATCTTCAAATTGTTGAGTTTGTTAGTATCTTGAATGAAGACTATGTTGAACTTTTGTAATGCGATTCCCCCAATTGTTCAGTGTTTCTTAAGCTTCGGTTTTATCTTGACTACAACACGGCGGTGATCTGAAGCTTCGTCAGCTCCTCTCCTGATTCTCCCGTCTTCCAATGTCCTCCTGAATTTTTTATTGATATAAATATCATCTATCTGGTTCTCTGTGGTGTGGTTTGATGAGATCCATGTTGCTTTGTGTACGCGTTTGTATAAGGATACTGTGCATGGATTTGCAGATCTCTCTCACTACTTTCGTTTATCTCCCCCAGTCCGTATTATCCCATGATATCTTCATAACCGGTGTTGTTCATTCCGACTTCGGCGTTTAGACGTCAAAATGGTGAGGTTTTGGTGTCTGTCAATCAACCTAAGCTGTTACAAGGTCCTTTCTTGGGCACTTTGCCATGACTGATTTCAGCTTCTCATAGAATTAATCTTTATTGTCATCGCTGCTATCATTGGTGGGTGCACAACATTGGACAACATTCGTTTTGATTCCTTCCTTCTTTGTTTTGAATGATACTTTGATGATTCTGGATCTATGAGATTCCCATCCTATGAATGCATTTCACATTATAGCAACTACCTGGGTGTGTGATTCACTTTCCTCTTCGTGACCGGATTACAGCAGCATAACTCTCGTATCTAGTCTTTGCTGTCCAGCTTGGATTCAATCGGTTTCGATGATTTCATGTACTGTCATTTTTTTCGGTTGCTATTTGACTGGTCTTCCCGGTCTCAAGCATTGTCCGGACGTTCTACGCACCTATAAAAGTTGTTGCTCTGATGGTTAGAAGGGGCATCGGCTTCGGGACTTCCGAAAAATCTTGGCTTTCATCCTGAGGCGTAATAATACTTCCTTCAACTTACAGGGCATAGTTTAAATATTTTACTTTGTTTTATCTGGTTAGCGCTCTTTAGCACGGTTTTTTCTACGAGGTGGAATTGACGACCTCATGCTCAACCCTCCTCCTTTACTCGGGCTTGGCACCGGTAGTAACTCTAGAATAGGTACAGACAGAATAAACAAAGTTGAGAAGAGTTTCTGAAGTGTTCATAGAAGATAAGTTACTAGAAAAAGTCGTTAAGATTTCATCCCTCAAGCGGTCAAAATACTCATATTATGCAATACTGAAGACCCTAAAGTATCTCGTGCGATGTTTTTCCGCGGAAGAATTATCGTTGTGCAAATTGTACCGGAAAAGACGAACCCTGACCACACTAACCCGGATATTTAGAAATGAAGAGTCACCAAGCAGTCCTTGAAGCTCAAAAATATTGACTCAACAAGTAGTGACCAAGAAGGACGGAGATCCTGGACCCCGGCTGATAAAGATAACCTTCCCATCTTATTATTTGGCGGCTGCAACTTTGGAAGCATGTCGTGCAAAAAGACGCCGGTTGCCAACTGATATTCATATGCATCCGGATAGGTCATTTAACAACAGGATCAAATACAAAAGCAAGTTGGAGCTCACCAGTTGATGTTTGGACTGCCTAGGTCACAAAAAACTGTGAAATAATATGGGCTATCAACTCTGAAAAACCTGTGCAGTTAGGTTACCTGTCTATTCATATGGATCATACAGACAAACAGGACGGGGAAGCTCACGCGTTTCAAATCGAAAGCATAAAACGCTTATGTATAAAAGACGCGAGTTTCCGAATGAAATGGATGTACTGTGTGAACTCGGTAATGCTGATAAAGCTGATCTGATAGGATTATCTGAGACATGGATATCTCAATTTACGAACCAGGAGCTAGCAATACTCGGGATGTCTTTGTTTCACAATGACAGAAAAACGGTAATTAGGGGTGGAGTAGCCTTATGAGCTTGCCTAGAGGTACATCTAGTGCACAACTAAGGGTTCATCAATCTTCAATAATTCATGTGGTGCTCAATAAGATTGTCTACCAACTCGAGGTGTCTATTTGAAGTCATCTACAGGAAGCTCATTACCGACATTGAGTACGAGAATCGTATGCTGGAAAGATTATCCTGATCTACTCGCCTCGGATTCACCCATATCCTGACTGTTAAGGACATCAATCTTCTCAAAGTCAATGTGGTGGAACATATGTACATGGGAGATGAAAACTCAATTGAAGCTTTGTTACTCAACCTAATTGAAGATCTGAGATTATTTGAAAACGTGAAATCGGCAATTCGTTGGAGAAACAGTCGGACGTTGTCATGCTTAGAGTGGGTATTTACAAACGAAGAATTCCTAATTGACAACCTTTCAATCCTGTCTCCCCTAGAGAGAACTGATCACGTCGTCATAGCTTTCAGTATTATCAGCAAGACTGGGCTAAGGCATCCTACCGATAACATACACTTAAATTGCAAAGGGTTGGATGTATCAGCGTTACACGACAATCTACAGCATATGGACTGGGAAGTTCGTCCTCAACTTGATGTGGATGCTCACTGGGACTTTTACTGCACAAGAACATGTGATAAAAGACAGTCTGTTTCACTAACAGTCATCAAGAACCGTAATCTTCGTTTGATAAGCCTCAAAAGGCCCTGCTGTGCGGAATACAAACGAACTGGCAACAACGACGCATACAGAAAATACAAACATATTGGGAACATATGCAAAAATGCGATATGGGAAAACAGGTTTCAGTACTAGATATGCAGTGTCTCCTCGACAGGCCGAAATTGGAGTTTCCCAACTGTTAGATCTAAATGGCCCGATCAACAACGAGGGTGACGCTGTTAATCTCCTGGCCTAACAGTACTCTAGGACATTTCAACCAATCCACATTAACTATATTGATGAAAGCTTCATTTGTAAGTGCACAGGATTTTCTGAAGTGAAGTTGAGCACTGACTTGGTGTACGGAAATCTGCAACACCTAAAAAAGACACTTCTCTTGGTCCGGTTATGGTTAATTCTGCTATACTGAGGGAAGCTTCAATCTTAGCAACACTGCTTAGCGTGCTATTCTTGCACTCGCAAAGCCGAGACAAATCGCCTGAAATTCGGAATCTGGCTCATATCACACCAATTTTTGAAGAAGGTTGACACAGCGAGCCTTCAAGCTTCCAACCGGTAGCTCTAGACCCTCAGAAATTATGGAGTCTCTGATATGCGATGATATACACAACTATTTATTATCCTTAACCTTTTTTCACCCCAACAGCACGGTTTCAGGACGGGTGGACATATGAACAACCATCCTTGATAGCAAGGGGGAGGTTAACGTCATTTACCTTCACTTCTCAATAGCTTGTGATAGGGTCAACCATATATGTCTTATCAATAAGCTCAAACGATTAGTTATCAAATCACCTCCAATTGACTGGCTCACTTCATATCTAAAAAATCGACATCGTGAGGTTAGGGTTAACTTCACTTCCTCTCAGGCTATGGAATGTTCTAGTGAGGTCCCTCATGATCCAGTACTGGAATCTGTTATTTTCTTGATTTATATAGACGATCTTTCATAATAGGTATCGCCTGACTTATTACTTCTTGCTAAAAACTTCTTGCTGAAAACGAATTTTTGGAGAGTTTGACGGAAGAAATTTCCACATAATCTTCAACAGTTTTATCCTTCTCCATTTAGAGTACGAAAACATAGTATTCCCTCTCTCATTCCAAAAGGACAAAGACACCCTATAACGTATCCAAAGGCGAGCCACAAAATCAGCTCGGGAACTCAAATTCAAGCTTTATGAACAGTGCATCTAATAACCGAAACTTTACTCATTAGTGTACAGGCGTCTTTGAGGTGATTTTTTAATGGCTTACAGAATCCTTAAAACTTATTGACATCCTCCTAAATACTGACTTAAGTTTAACTCCAACATAAACCTAAGGATAACAACCAGAAACTGGAAACACAACCTATACACCTTGAGAATAGTCAAATGCTGGAATTCGCTGTCGGCTGAGTTAGTTCAAGAGACTTCCCAAAGGTCTTTTAAGAAGAAACTGGACATATTCTTAAGGACTAAGGATAGTACCTTACTATGACCTACCAATTTCTTTTTCTTCTTCTATCGTTAATATATTTAGGTTCCTGCCTCAAGGTATTGATGATTCATTGCTACTAGACAAGGAAGCCGTTACGCAAAAGCTTCTTCTACTCCTCCCACAATCATTTGAACCATTTTAGCCATTTTAGCCATTTTAACTTGAATAAGACAGAGGAAGCAAATTACCACATTTTTGAATACAAGAATTTCCCCCGTCAAACGGAGCTGCTCTACGTTTTTTTATTGAAATTTAGCCACTATTAGTTCACACATGAATCCTGAAAAGATTTCGCTCTCTGATTCTATTCAGTAAGTTTTCCTATTTAAATATTTGTAGGTTGTGTGACCTTCACGATAACACTCAGTCTACGTACTTTGATTTGTGACGTGTTTTGGTAGTCAGGTTTTCGTGAGAGTTGGCAAATATTGTGTCTCAGTATACCTTGTCTAAAACAAAGCTTTCATATTACTTTTATCTGTTTCGGTTACTTCACACTGATTTGAACTAGTAGAAAATACACAAAGACACTAGTGCCTTTTTTATAATTCAATATTTTAATTCTGAAATACTCAGTCGAACTGTTTCTACCACATCTCAACAGCCTACATTTTTCTAACAATATATTAATTATTATGCTGGTGGTCCGACTAATTATTTTACTGGTTGTCTCGAACTCATCAAAAAAGTCATGTACATGTAACAGTATCATATATTTCCTCCTATTACTTATTACTAAGGTGTGTACTTATTTGGCAGTATCGGTGCAGTTTGTGGAGGTACTATGCATTACTATACCTTCTTGACCAACCATTATTAATGACTTGTCAGTGTTTCAGTAAAGCTGTTTCATTGTTAATCGATATTAGTAAATGGATCATCATACATTGTTGCGTCGTACAATACAGTACCACTGCATCATCTTGATGAGAGGAATAAGAATTTGCAAAGTTATCACCACAGCAAGTTAAGTTGCCTAAAGTGCATTCAGACAGACGTCTGCGTTTTGTTAATTTTATCAGCTAATTTGGTTTTGAAAGTATAAGATATGCAAGTTAGTTTGGAATTATCTCGAATGTAAGTAAGAACGCGATGTCGAAGATGAAATAGAATGAAACTGGTATGTCTGAGTTCGACTCAGTCGTCCAGTGTACAACCGAAGTTCATGTAGGTTATTGCATAGCTACTGTTAGTTTAAATATGTCCGGTCGTGTGCTATAACCATGGTATTTAAAAGCTTGTTGCTCCCATTAAGTTGGGTCTGTGGATTAGCTACTGAGTATTAAAAATACACAGGTTTTGTTGTAAACAGTCTGTGCATTATTTGACTTTCTTGAAATGGATCGTATCTTGGCCTAGACAACTACAAATTACTGTTTAAGATATCTTATGTGCTATGATTTTTACTTTAGTGGTTGAATAACAATCATTCATATTCACTACGTTCCTTCATCACTTGTTATCCACTATGATGTGTAATTGTTGTTTTTTATGCGAAGTACCAATCTTTTAAGCGCGAATCGATTGAATCAAAGCAGTTTGCCACTATACTACACTTTGCATTGGTTCAATTTTTACAGCACCTCTGTCTACAATGGATGTATATGTCCGCCTATTTATCTTAATGTAATTTTGTTTATTCATGTCTTGTTTTTTAGTTGTTCGGATTGGTTCACCTTGTTACCTACCCTATATTTGTATATATATTGTGCAATTTTTTACTCAAATTGAATGTCGATGATGGATTGTATGAATTCGGTAGATTCTTCATCTCCAGTAGTGCAAAAGTCTGCAAATGACTTGAGAGAATATAAAGTGATGCGTTTATGTAATAGGATGAAAGTGCTTCTTATAAGTGATCCGGAGACAGATAAATCTGCAGTGTGTTTATCTGTGAACATTGGTATGTTGATGATGGTTGTTTCAGTGTTATAATTCTAGGTTCGCTGTCGGATCCGAAAGAACTGCCTGGTCTCGCACACTTTTGTGAACATATGTTGTTTCTTGGTACAAAATCATTTCCAACAGAAAATACCTATTTGAAGTACATAACCGATCATGGTGGTCACTGTAATGCTTTTACGAGTCCAGATAGAACTTCTTATGTGTTTGATGTTGCACCTGAAAGTTTGAAAGGAGCATTGGATATTTTCTCACAGTTTTTCATCTGTCCTCTTTTCACCGATTCTGCAACAGAACGTGAGGTTAGTTTTAATCTGGTTATTGTACATGGAAAGCGTTTGTTTGTTAGTTTGTTGTGAATGGAATGTGGTTTCAATACTACGACAATGATTTCCATCTCAGTGCACATGTTTTTCTCAAAGAATTGTTTGATGTATCTGAGAGTTTCTATCTGTTGTTTCATTAATTAGGTGCGAAATTATGAAAACTCAGGTGTTTTCAAATATCATAGCCCGATCACTGATATGTTATATGTTGAGTTTTACCTTTGAGCACATAGTTGATGAACACGACCTATAATTTTACAGTGACAAATGATTTTGATTGATGTTATGAACATGTTGACCATCGAGTAAGTAATATAGTTATTAGGAAACGGGTACTAGGTAAGAATGGCAAATCAATTGATGAATTAGTTGAACTTCATCACTTGAGATGGCTGGGATACGCGTTACGAATGCTCAACCACCGGCTACCCCGACTTGCGATGTTTTATGGTGTAGGAGTAGGTTGGAAGAAAGGTAGGGGCGTCCAGACCAAAACATGGCACAAATCCATGAAGTGGACCGAGCCATGTTGGTAGGTGTAAACTACCTGGTTGGGATCCGCCTGATGATAGTAACTGATGGTTAGAGACCTTGAATGACATGGCTGAAAATCGTTTGCAATGGCGCAGGTGCATCCACTCTTTGTATTCTCCCAAATTCTAATCTCCTGAATCCTTGTTGTCTCTTTTTTTCTCTTCCCAAATTTATTTTACTGGATTATAATCTTTAGACAACATCTTCGAAGCCTGATGTTTCCGATTACTTCTTATACTCTTACTACCTCTACCACTACGGGGTTTCAATCGACAACTGCATCTCTGTGCTAATATGGTGTGGCAACTCGAACTGATGTACGTATGTACGTTGTTACTGAGTATGAACATGTTTCAACTGCATTTCGGCTGTCGAATCAGGTCTGTGTTAGTTATAGAGCAATTTCTGAAGTGATGCATTAAATGTCCTGCTTCGGTCCGGATACCCGAGTAGTATCATAGCTCACACACAAACTAAGTAACTAGTGTGAAGCATATTTATTCAGTGTCCCTTTGTATCAATATTTATGTGATCAAACAACAAACATTAAGTGTATTAAAACTGGTTTCACAAGACTGTTTTTCAATCGAATATTGCTATCCACTATATGTGCACAGATTGGTGTTGTCGGTCGTCTTATTTCTTACTCTATTAAGTACATCTTTCTCCGTTCGAGAATGAGATTATGTGTAAAGTATTGTAATATGCAGCACGTGTAGGTGATGTGCCTCTTCCATTATATTCAAAGTTGTATTCTGAATGCAGGAGTCCAATATTTGCTACTGCTTCACTGCAGTACAGCTGCAATCGTAGTGACCGACAAGCTAGATGGAGAAATATAGATAGTCTCATCAGAATGTTTTTTATTGTGTTTATGAAAAATAAACGAAGGTACACCTGTACTGTACATATAGATAATAATTGATATTGAGAAAAGTTCGACTAATATATTAATAAGATAAGCAACTAACGAAAGAGTAGCTATAATCATAATGGATTTCCAGGTTATAGTTTCGAAACTCCGTTTATTCACCTCATTTTAGGTAGGTTGGTAGTATCTCTCGTTTGCAGTCACTAGCTGGTTATTATAATGTAGATATTATGCAACTTTGTTCTAAATAAGACTTTATTTTATGACGGAGGTGTAAAGTCTTTCGACTTCATGAAGAATTATTTTTGTGATCATTTCATCTTTTATTGTAAAATGTAATAGTTGGATGCCTTGTACTGCTTAAGATTTTGTGCTTGTGTGGGTAATTTTGTTTCAACGAAAACAGTTATGTCAAAGCACCAGTGCGTGCCGATCCACGTGACGGTGTTAGTGCATAAGTGATGTCAATCAGAAACTAAAGCTTACGACTGCAGATAACAGTGTCAAGAGTATATTGAAGCTAGATTGGGAATAGGGGATAAGATTGAAATCAAAATGTAATTTAACTTTATTGATCGAAATATGTTAAAAATGGAAATTCATTTAAGTTGTGGTAGCACATTGAGAAACTGATCACTGATATTATTTTATTCGTGTAACTTGGTTGAATAATGATCGTTAAAAATTGATTTGTAAAGGGACTTGTTAGCCTTTTTAACGCAAATGCTGTATTAAAATTCGAATTTTGTAGGAAACAGGATATTTTTTGGGCTTTTTTCAACGTGATCGTATCGTTTTTTTCAGTTCTCAGATAACGGTTTTAAAATGTATACTCCCAGACCTGATACCGTCATCACTATATTTTTAAATAGAAGGGACTTGATTGTATTTTCTAACCGCCTATCAGCTTGTCAATAGACGTTTTTTAAGTCAAAGTGTTATGCTTAGATTTATCGGGAGCCTTGCATTTGTTTTCTGTAGTTATCAATATGGATTTTATTAGCTACTTTATTTAAAACACTTAGTAATACCTGTTGGCTTAGTCAATTATACTTGTTTGGTGGTACTGGTACCAAGTGACAACGTCATAGATAATTTGCCATAATAAGTTTACTGTTTGGACCACCACTTACAAGCCACGTTTTAATTTTAGGTGAGTGCTGTACAGTCGGAACATGAGAAGGACATTAGTAATGATGCTAGACGTCTTTTTCAGCTAGAGCGAAGCTTGTCGAAAAGTGGTCATGATTATACGAAATTCCTCTCCGGTAATCGATACTCTTTATTTGAGTCCAGTTGTGCAAAATCGGTGAATACACGCGAAAAGTTGTTGCAATTCTATTCAACATGGTATTCGTCAAATGTGATGGGACTAGTTATTCTTGGAAGAGGTACATAACATGTAATATTGTTGAATTGAGATCGATTGGTGAGGTTGCTGACTTTTGAGATGTACATTTCTTTTAAAAAAATAGATGTAACTAAACGATTTTATACTGTTCACCTTTCTCATCAGAAATCGAACACAATCATTTTATTTTAATTGTGATCTGTTAATTACAGGCGACAAAATGTGTTAGTGATGATGATTTCAGCGTACTGGAATCGATTACCTACAATTATGAGTTGACTATAAGGTTGAATATTTTCAAGTTATTCGTACAGATGTGAATAGTTAGTATGTCAATGTTTGTAGGGTCGAGAGCATTTGAAGAGCAGGTTCTTCAGTTGATAAGATCCATTCATACGTTTCATCACAATACTAAGGATGATTGGCTTCCACTAGACGACTCTGGAAATGTTATCATACTAGTTGTTTTTGACATGTTGCCTCCTGATTGATCATTAGGTCAGAATGTCAGACTAATATTTATTCTGTTCATATATTAGTTAGAGCATCTATTTTACGTGTTAGAGTGTTTGACGCAGTGGCCATGGAAATCAAGGTATTACCAAGTAAACTCATAAGCTACTCTATAATCAGATTGCTTTTAACAGCTGTTATGTCTGGATTATTTTGCTTTTGGTTACTAAAGATGATTCATGGAAAGTACTATATAGGGGAGGAAGAGAACCTGTGTAGAAGGAAGCTGGTTAACAAATTGGCTGAGAAAGTGGTACAATGCTCCATTTTGTGACTCATATCTAACTTGTGAGTCAGATATTTCCGACTTGTGCATGTTACAAGCATAGAGACTACAAAATCGTTTAGTTTATATTTCGTCGTTTAATTGGAATTGGTTTTAAATACTAGGTGTGATCAGTATTTACGTTTTCTTCGTGTTTGTGATTGTTTTTTATGAAATGTTTTCAGAATCCATAAATGACCTAGAGAAACTTGCAGAAGAAAAGTTTTCGGAAGTTATTGATCGTAATGTTGTGCAACCATCATGGAACGATACTCCATGGCCTGATATATGTCTCAAGGTAACACTTTCATTTGACTTTTATTATATTTAATATGTTTTGTGAGTAAAACTATGCATATATTATTTTGATTGTTGCGTAAGTGTTTAGTCTAGCAGATAGTTAGTTGATTCCAAAAAGTGTTTAAGTTCATATTCTTGATTGTCACTACTTATGCCGTTTGGATGCTACGTTTTTCACAGTTAGAGTAGGTTACTGTAAATTAGATGTTGAATCATTATAAAGAATCGTGAAGCAGGTTATGTGGTAATATAAAGAGTGATAAGAAACAGTGTGATGTTCAGTGGTATAGGAGTAGGTTGGAAGAAAGCTAGGGGCGGCCAGACCAAAACATGGCACAAGTCCATGAAGTCACTGACAAGTGAATTGAGTCATGTTGGTAGGTGTAGACTACTTGGTTGGGGACCGCGAGATGATAGCAACCGATGGTTAGGGACCTTGAATGACATGGCTCAAAATCGTTTGTAATGGCGCGGGTGCATCCACTCTTTGTGTTCTCCCAAATTTTGATCTCCTGATTCCCCCTTGTCTCTTTTTTTTCTCTTCTCAAGTTTATTTCACTGTATTATACTCTTTAAGTAAAATCTCCAAACACTAATCTTTCCGATTACTGCTTATACTGTTATTACTACTACGGGATTTGAATCGACCACTGCATGTCTGTGCTAATGTGGTGTGGTAACTCGAACTGATGTACGTACGTACGAAGTTCTATGTTGTTACTGACTGACTGACTGAAGAAACAGTTTTGTGACGATAGTTTGTGTGTGAGCAATGTGACTGTTGATTGCCTATAGTATGAGCATATTGAGTGATGTTGGTCTTTTAGGTGTTAATTAGTTTCTAGTCTGTAGAATGTCTCGTGTGAAGTTAGTCTTTCTCTGATGTCAAATTTGTATCAGAGGCTTCATGGCTGTGAGAAGCATCAGTACATTGTAATACTACTAGGTATAGCCGGAGATCAGTGAGAATAATATGACTGAGTAATGCCAATCACATTTCAGTTAGTGTTCTATTCAGAAATAAAGTCATGCATTTTGAATTTTAAAGAAAATTAGAATGTGTATGTGCTAGAATGTGGATTGCTAAATTATCCACCTGTAGAATCAGAGTTGTGCTGTCACTGTGATTGTAAACTGCGAATGAAACGAATGATTTATTTTCCTTGAACTATGTGATGTTTATCAAAATGTTAATAATTTGTAATTTGGTAAATTAGAGAATTAAGGTAGAATAAATGTACATTTTGATTTTATCACAGAAAATGGTATATGTCGTCCCACTGAACGACGTCCATCAAATGAATATAATGTGGCCTATTCCTGACTATATTCCAGACTATACAGCACAAGTAAGTTATAGTTTTAAACTGGATTGATCAATTTTGCACAAATGCAGATTCATTGCTTATTTTATTTTATTTTCCTCTATATTGTTTCCAAGTGTTGACGTGTGTCAATCAGTTTTTACATTTACTAATAGTTGAGAATGATTTGCACCAATAGTTTTGATATTTGTGCTTTCGACTGATAAATGTTGGTTCTGTGATAGAAGATGTGCGTTAAATGATGAAATAAGTTGTAACCAGAATTTTGTATTTGTGACTGAATAGAATTTACATCTAATTTCTAAGCATCATATCGTATATTTGGACGTCGTTCTAATATCTTACATTTTGCTCAGTTATCTTGTAGATTGCTTCATGCTGGTTAAGATATTAGACATATTAGGTGGTTTGGTTAGTTTTTACCAAGATTTGTGAAAGTGCTAACAATAGAAATTTCGCGAAGGGTTCTCTTGTCAACGAATTTATTGTCAAGCTGTACAAGTATATATATATATATATATATATATATATATATATATATATATATATATATATATATATATATATATATATATATATATATATAAATATATGAATTTTTTTTGAAGTACAATTTTCGTCAGGAAATGTGAATAAGGACTAACCAAGATGATGTAATAGAAGGATTATAATACTAGATTGCGTAATATGAAAAAAATTTCATATATATAGGATTGTACAGCTTGATATTAAAATTCGTTGAAAAGAGATCCTTTCGCTGAATTTTGTGTTTTTAATGTTTAAATGGTAATTTTCTGTCATTCGAAATTTGCATATTGCTAAGCTCCTTTATTCATGGAGGTCATTTTATTATTGTGTGACATCACGTAAAGAATGACTTAAGACAAAATAATTATCGTGCGTCTAATTTTATTATTGTTAAGTTATGTAATATGCCATTTAGTTAAAGCTTAAGTTAGAACAAAACGCCTTATTTTAGGCTTTCCTTTTTCTCAAGAGTTTTCAGGCGGCATGTATTTTATTTACATAAACTCTTCAACTTAAATAGTCTTGGCAAACTACTATATTTGTCTTAATTAATCATTCACCTTTTTACTTTTATAATCCAACTATTTACAGGCCCCTAGTTATGTGACTCATTTACTTGGTCATGAAAGCCGCGGAAGTTTACTGAGTTTATTCAAAAATGCAGGCTGGGCTAATCGATTAGCATGCGGAGTTAGTAGGCCAGCAGCTGGGATCTGTTCTCTGATTTTGTCTATTGATTTAACTTTAAAAGGACTTGGTGAGTTAATTATCAGTTATATTTCTTATCTTCAGCTGTTATTATGCCTGTGTGTTAGCTAATGAGTTTAAGGTATAAATAAGTATAACAAAAATATCCCATGGGGATGTTCCATGGAGAATTTTCTTTTCGATGGTATATAGACTTAAATGTCGTTTAATTTATTTTCCTCAATTTTCTTATCTAGATAAAACTGATGAAATTATGACAAATGTATATCAATACATTAACATGCTTCGCTCTGATGAACCACAAAAGTGGATATTTGATGAAGAACAGGTAGGATATTAATTTTTCTTCGACCATTTTGAACTTTAACTAAGGAAGCTTATTTTGTGATGGTTATGCTGCATTACTGTTTGTTTGATGAAGATTAACTATTTTGTTGTCAATCGGTTATGTACATGAACACAGTCATTTGTTTGTTTCAGTTCCCACGTCACATAATGAGAAAAATGGAAGGAGATAAACAAAAATAAACATTAGAGCTTTAGAGCTATTATTATTTGTAAAAACAATGGTTAAACATTTATAATTGTAGTTTTTTGATTATTTGCAAATATGATTTGATACTATAATGAGATATGTTTATATATATATATATATATATTTTTATTATTTTGAGTTATAATAATTGTATAATTAAGTTATGAGGTCGCTTCTGAAGTGGAGGTTATGCAGTAGGTTTTCTACATTTGTTACATAATACATTAATTAGATGTAAGGTCGTTGACTGCGTGGGTCGGAGGAGACATAAGTAAGGTCCTTGATTTGAATTTAACAAAATCAAAGTTGATAATTATTTTCGGGGATTTTACTACAGTCTGATCTGTATTATTTGTCATAATTCCCCAGCTTTTAAATATACAAATTGTTGTAGATGTTAATTCTTCCCTGGGTTACAGTTGTTCAGTACGATTAGTCCTGTGACTAATAATCACTTTATTAAACAGGAATGTAATTAACTTTATTTGACTATTAACTAATCTTTTGGAGTCTAAGCAAATAATTCCTGATCCGGAGATTTATGTTTTTAAGTGGTTGGGGCTAAGAGCGTCGTATCGTAGTTCAAAGAGGTATTAGAAATTTCGCTGTACTCCAAATCCTATCAAATGTACAACCTTTATCTTGAATTGTGATAATTATATTTATAGTGCTAATGTTTTATGTCATACATTATCATACTACTTGTTTCTAATTATGATCATTCACTTATATCCAGACTTGAAAAAAAGCAGTTGCTTAGGGCAACCTTTTTTACGTTAACCATGTATGTATATAAGTTTCTAACTATAAATCAATGTAATTTATTCAATGGATTTTTTTTCATTTATAGGCTTTATGTCAATTAAACTTTCGATTTAAAGACAAAGAACCACCTTATGAATATGTGACTGGATTAGCCGGTAATCTATTGGTAAGCAACTTCTAAAAAGTCAACAAATATGGCCTTGTAAGACCTTTCAATTGTTCGTGTATGAAATTGACTATTTTAAATCAAAGAAGGATTTTTGACATTAATCGATAATCCAGTCGATGTTTATATTTATTTTTCTGTTGTTTTAAAATGCTGCTGGTTTTTCTTATATCCCAACTATATTAATAAAGAAGCAATATGTTGTTCAGTGGTTCTACCTATTTTATGTTTAACTGCTGTATGTAATGGAAAGTACGACATAATAACCGGTATCCATCTGTTCTTCAGAGCAGTGTTCATAGTTAAAGAAACTGCGAAATTCTCAATACATTCTTTCCCTATTTAGTGACTATCTACTAGAACATAACATATTGAATGTGTTCTAAGCATATTAGAGACCAGATTGTACTCACAATTGTTTTCATGAGTTCATTCCTCAAAATCTTAAATAACTTACTGCCTCTTGTTTTTATTTGTTCTGTTTATCCTATACATTTTATCGTCGTAGTTCTCACTATTTAAGCTAACCTATTTCTTCTGCAATGCTATGAAGTGGGATACCTTAAACGGCTGCACTTTCTTGTAAGTATTCACGTTTTACTCTGCTCATTTCGATTTTTCTCTTTTCAAGCTTAAATCATACTGGCTATGTATCAGTTCATTCATTTATGGTAATCAAAAAAGTGGATTTATGCGAACAATCGAAGCATTTTATTTTCCCACTATTTTCTCTTTCATTTCTCTTAGCTGCATACAGCACTGACATTTGATACCGATCTACTTTTCATAATTTTCCGGAAAAAATAGGTTGTTCTGAAAGAAACTATTAAACATACTATAGTGGTGATAAGGCATTTTAAATGCTAAAAGTGTTTTATCCATAAAATCATTCCTTAATATCTGTAATAAACTCTTCCCAAAGCCTGGTAGCTATTCTGATATCAAGCTATCTATTTTCTACCTGCCAATATTTTAACTCAATGAATAGTGTTAGCTAACGAAAGTTCCATAACGTTTGGTCTAAAGGATTAATAAGTTATATAGATTATTGAATTATTCCAATTCATTATATCATTTTTCTTATTTTGTCCAGTTATCATGTCTTCGCTCGACCTGTCTCAAAATCAAAACACGACTTGAACAGGAGTGTATATGTATTTTGAAGCAAAGTGCAAAGTTAATCATCCATATATCTATTAAAATGATAGTAATTTCACGAACGGAATACAAATCACAATCCATTAATTAGTAAAATACCGAAATCCCTAATGAATAAATCGGTACATATATAAATATATTAGAAGTTGGTAAATAAAGTTAGCTTCAAATCAGTTTGTGAATTTCAAAATTAATTTTTTTATAAATGTAATATTTTCGAATTCGCCGTTTCCAACACCAGTCAGTGTTTACCTCTTCAAAATATTTTTTCTAGCTTTATGACATGCAAGATGTTCTAACCGGTTCTTTCTTGGCAACTGTCTATGATCCAGATTTAATTAAAAAAATCTTAAGTTGTTTAACGCCTGATAATAGCCGGTATGTGATATTTGTCTTTTATAATGTTTTTGATTTGCAGTACCGTGTTAGTTCATAATATTTGTAGATTTGAGTATATGGTTTCTCATGTTTTGCCATCTAACAATGAAAGTGTAGCTTATTCATTGTAATGTGGTGCTTCTGTTTCTCCAGTTGATGCAACTTCCTTCAGCCAATACGAATAGTCAGAATTATTTGAATTAATAAGAAATACTAGTTGTTAGAGGTTTATAAAAGTATCTAACAGATCCAGATCATGTATAACTTCTCTCAGTGACATGTGTGTTATTCATTTAATTGTTTTACAAAATTTATAACTAAATTTTTTACTTAATATTCTTTGTAAATATAATATGTTCTAAATTTTGGGAATCTTGATATCATGTTAGACAAAGGACACATAATCACAATGCTTCACCAAAGAGACTAATGAGAGAAAAGGGAATACAAGGCCTCCCGGAATGTAGTTTAAGGTTTGTCTCATCTCTTTTCTAATGACGCGAATTGGGATAAATACTTCTGGAGTTGTATAGTTGTGTTTCAGTACCATAGATTAAAACCCATGATTAGCAAAGTAGTGCCCCTATCTCGATGCACTATGTTAGAATAGTTTCTGGAAGGAACAATATATATATATATATATATATATATATATATATATATATATATATATATATATATATATATATATATATATATATATACCATTATTTCGCAACCAATAAATCCGAAATATCTCTTAACTTTTTATGTAATGTTGTCTTTATTATATAGCGTCTTTCTAGTCAGTCAGACGTTTGCAGATAAATGTGTGGAGGAAGAACCCTGGTATCACACTAAATACCTTGCTGTTAATATTCCTGAAAATACCTTGTCAGTAAGTCATTGTTCTTAGCAAATGTTTAATCGAGAATCTTATTCTAATTAAATATCGTTGTTTAAATTGTATTTGATAATGCGAAGCTGTTGGATCTTATTTAAGACTGATCAGCATGTATACGTGTATCTGAATTTTATGAAGGTTTTTCGGTTGAAACTAGAACTGTATTTGGTTGCTTGAAATCTTGTAGTCATTCGAATTGTGAGTAACAAAAAGTAGTTATAGAATTTTGGTCACGCGGTCGCGTGCCTTAACGTGTTGTAACTAGCTATATATAGGCAATTGAGAATTTTGGAAGCATCAGTATCATTTATCCAGTATTGTTATATGTGCAGAAAATATAAGACATCACTGTTCAAATTTGTAAGGGATTGGCTCTTTCATTAAACTACTTGATATCCATATAGAGAAAGCTATCAATTCCCAATTAATTTCACGTTGTGGAAATTAAAAGTTATTGATATGAATTGTATATATATTTATGCGTTTTCTTCAGCACTTCTCGCTTTGTTTTTTGAGTTTTTCATTTCTAATAATTTACTTCTTTGCCATAGGCATGGCGAAATAGTTCTTCTAATCCAGAATTGAGATTCCCGGAGCCAAATTCATTCATTGCTACTGAATTCGATCTGGTGCGAAACAAATGCCCCACGAATGTTGAAATGCCGGAATTATTAGTCGAAACAGAGATGTCTCGTATTTGGTACTTTCAAGATACAGAATTCAATCTTCCCAAAGGTTTTATCACATTTCACATTGTCAGGTTAGTTTCTCTCTCTCATTTATACTTATAAATACTAATGATTATTATGCTGGATAGGTGGATACTATTTCTTCGCTAGCAATATGGCATTAACTGGCTTATTATTATCAAGCTATTTGTCAGGTGCAGATTCTCGTACCTGTCTTTGAGGGACACTGAGCTTGGAGAGTAGTAATACCACTCGATTGCTGAAATTGAAGTGAATGAAGCAGTATTTGGATCTAGGATTTTATCGAACTTCTTAATGACTGGTCCACCGTTCTACTTGTTTAGTTATTAGAAGTACATTTTTATCCCAATGGGTGATAGCTTTGTACTAATTCGAATATTAAAACCACACTGTTATCCAGGCAGTAGGGTAATATCACTGGAGGCCATAGGAACAACTCATCTCAAACCAGCGTACGCTAATGTATGCTTGATATATTAGTCAGTCAGTCAGCTACAACGTAGGACCAAGCACATATATGCATCGGTTCAAGTTGCCACACCTCATTAGCATAACAAGATGATCACCAAATTCATAAAAGCAGTTGCTTCAATGTTAGTAATATATAAAAGAAAGATTGTATTTAATGATATAATATATGGGGAAAGAATTAGTTCGTAGACAGAAAGTATGAAGTATTTTTTTATCTCACGGTTTAAGGGAAGACAAAGAGTGTATGCACCAACACCATTGTGATCGATTCTCAGGAATGTCATCCAGAGTCTTTAACTATTGGTTACGATAGTCGCGCCGACCTCAACCAAGTAGTCTGCATCTACCAACACAGCTCAGACTAGAAGTTAGGGAAATATCAGTTAAATTTATCTTGTCGTTGAAAGCTGACTTTTATAATCCAATGATATGTTATTTTGTGCAGTTTATTTACCATGTTTATAGAATTTAATTAAGTATCTTAACATTACTCTTTAATTATTTTATTTGTAGTCCATTTGCATTTTTCGATCCTTTTCATACATCACTTGGTTTAATTTACGCAAACTTATTTGAGGATCATATTAATGAACTAACATATTCCTCTATGCTTGCTGGAATGACTGTTTATGTGAAACACACTGTTGAAGGTATCAAGGTATGTAGCATACAAGTTTATTTTAATGTAATTACTGTAAATAAAGTTTGTTTTGTGTATGTTTATTGTCTGTCACTTCAAAAGTTAATTTGATTGGGATATAGACATTTAGGCTAATCAATAAAAAGATCATAGTGTCTACTTTTTATAGCTTGCATCAAAAAATGACCTTAAACAGATAACCATTGAAAACTAAGAAGAACTGACAGCTATTTTGTTCTAGTGTGTGGCTTTTCAGCATCACGCATTCATGATGCCACCAGTGTTCAAACTCAGGGCCTTCGAGTCTTACGAGGAGCACTGTACCTGTAGATCACTGAGTCGGTTTACATTTTTGAATTTAATCAATCCGCAATATTGTTCTTGTATCCACTGCTTTTGATAGTTAACTGTTGTGCTCTCAATGTAGTCGAATTCCACTAGTCTCATTTTAACACCGGGGAATCACCTTTCAAAATTAATCACCAGTAAGTGCATGATTTTAGTTCTTTCTGTTGTTTGATTTGCATCCTCTTAAACGTTTATTTTAATTTTTTAGCTATCATTTTTAGGATATTCGCATAAATTGAAAAGTTTTGTCAAAGAAATCGTAACAAAATTTGTGAATTATTACCAACCAGTTACTGACCGTTTCGAATGTATTCGTGAGAATATGTCTCGAGAGTTTTCCAATTTCTCAATGAAACCAGCTTATCAGCAATCCGGTGCGTATTTAACAAGTCTTATTTCAGATCATTCTTGGATCAGTGATGATTTTGTGCGCGCTTTTAAAGGTGAATATTCCTCATGGACGTTTTGTGTATTTCATTTCTTCCGTTAATCATAAATATCAATGTTCGATTATCTGAATTATCATACTTTACCATTAGCCTACAAGGTGTAAATGAACATCATGAAAAAGCATACACTTTACAATATATATATATATATATATATATATATATATATATATATATATATATATATATATATATATATATATATATATATATATATATGCTAGTTAGAGCTAAGGTTCGCTAAGATAATTCATATTTCTTATATTACGGTATATATTTGTGAAATCATGGTCTAAATTCATTTAACCCACATGCTCTCAAGCATTTTACAATATTACTTTCATGTTATTGAAAAGTATATCTTTCAACAATATCAGTGTCAGTAACAACGTAGAACTTCGTACGTACGTACATCAGTTCGAGTCACCATACCACATTATCACAGAGATGCACTTGTCGATTCAAATCCCGTAGTGGTAAAGGTAGTAAGAATATAAGCAGTAATCGGGAAGATTAGGGTTTGGAGATGTTATTTAAAGAGTATAATCTAGTGAAATAAATTTGGGAAGAGAAAAAAGAGACAAGGAGGAATCAGATTAAAATTTTGGAAAACTTAAAGAGTGTATGCACCTGCACCATTGCAAACAATTTTGAACCATGTCATCCAAGGTCTCTAACCATCGGTTGCTATCATCTCTCGGTCCCCAACCCGGTAGTCTACACCTACCAACATGACTCAGTCCACTTGTCAGTGACTTCATGGACTTGTGCCATGTTTTGGTCTGGCCGCCTCTAGCTTTCTTCCAACCTACCCCAATACCACTGAACATCGCACGTCGAGGCAGTCGGTCGTTGGGCATACGTATCACGTGTCCCAGCAATCTCAACTGATGAAGTTTCACCACTTCATCAATCACATACTCAAAATATTTCATCCTTATAAATGATTATAGTTGTCTATTCAAACTTCAGATCGTTTCAATCCTATTTTCAAACTATGCAATATTTATGAATTGGATAATAAGAAAACAAAAGATGTGAGAAAATTGAGATATGCTATACACTTTTTCAACCACATCTTTGTAGTACTAAGTGTATACGAAGAAATAGTCGGAAAGCTAATAGTTTTTAGGAAGGCTAAACATTTGCAACTTCCAAGTACTACATTGGGTAGATACGAATAGTCACTGTCTACCCTGTGACCTTTTCTCTTATGTCTATTAATAATTTTCTATACTATCCTGAATATCTTGATTGAACAGTCCTTCTATAAATAGTATCTTTGTCTGCTTAATATATTTGGTACACTGAATCACTCGACTGGTGCTTCTCTTTGGTCCTAACAGAAAAACCCAACCCGTTTGACTATTTGCATTTGATTAGATGATCTTACCAGTCAATTGTTCACAATAATATCCATAGCACCGTCTACGCTGTGCTTGATGTATGTTTAAATCTTAGCCTCTGATCATATTGATATGTACCAGTCATTTTGACATTATTAACGCTCATCACAGTGAATCTCACGTGATTCTGTTACGCTCATTTTTAAGTGGATGTTGATACAAAAACGAAAATTTGTTAAAGACTAACATATAAAAATCTTGTGATCGGTAATATTGTCGGCTACATTAAATAATTTTGTTAATAATAAATATGAGCTTACAATAAAGAATAATAAACGTTTTGTTTACAAATGTGTATGTACAAATAATATGATTACACTTAAAACTATTAAGTTTCAATACAAAGTTGTCGATCAATAAATTTACTAAATTCAAAGACGATTATACATACTGTTTATAGAATCTTGTATTTATATTCCTTTCAAATAGTATGTATACAGGATATGTAGTAAGGCTCTTTGTAGTTACCATTATCAGTACAACAATTTTAATCCATCACTTCTGTATATATTTAACAGAATATCTCGAGTGCTATTAGAGGTATGAGGATGGTTATCACTTCCCGGTTGCCCCCACTGTAGAAGGGTTCTTCTAGAGGTACCTGAAAAAGTAATCAGATTTGAGTTGGTTTTAATGACCTGAGAGCCTGACCGTAGTGCCCAAGGGACAACTGCTTGAGGCCGGTCACACACGACCTTTTTGTTGGTAATTTTTGTGTTAGGTCCGTTCTTGTTGAGACTTTACCACCGGAGACGGATATCCGTGGGATAGGGCAGGGTGTACATTTTTATGTTCGACCTTTCATAACTCCACCCTTCCTTTGTGGGAAGGCAACATTGTTGTTATGCTGGTCGTATGGTCACACTTCTGTGCAGTCAGCAATGAGACTTTGGCCTCGGACGTTGGGTTTGCTTCCTTTAATCTTACCGTTCTTCAACCGATCTACTTGTCATGATAGCCGTTTGAGGACCGATTGTTCTAGACAGTATAGCTCAACTGGTTCATTACGATAAGAAAACCCGACCACCACGTTAAGGTAGCAGCAACGGTAAGAAAATATCTGGGCTACCTGTTCCTGCCATCTTGGTATTTCAACAAGTTATCTGTTTTCTTGTTTGTTTTAACATATCATTATGTCTATTAGTCGCACAATCTATTTAGATGCGTTTGTGAAAAGTTTACGAAATTTCGCTGTACAAGTTATAAAAGAGCCTAATCAGAGACATCGTGGTTGCTGGCAATATGCATCAAAAAGGATGTACATTATTCAGATGTCGATTCCTGAATTGCTAACATCTAACTGGCGACCACTCAATATTTATCGCAAGGGTCGATTAAGAAGTAAGAAAAGGTAACTTGTTGAAATACTTTGTGCTGAGAATTCTATATTGTACCAAAAATATAATATTGAATAAAGACACCAATAATAATTGAATTTATTTGAATCTAATCTTATCAGTCAAGTGAAAATGTCTCTCATGATTACATTCTTAACTTAACTTTATTGTTTCGTTATAAATCTGTTTTCTTACTTTTGTTCAAAATCATTTCATCATGTCATTTATGCAATTCTTTAAATTCAGTACATCAGCTCATAGATTTCTATAAGTGTTAACTATGATCGGTCATTGTGTATTCAAATATTCTTTAATTGTCACTTAAATATGTAAATCCTTTTATCATCTATGAATTTTAATGAATATGTTATCTTTAGAGTAAAGATGATCTTCTTGTGGTTTAATTATTTCACTAAGCTTCGACTGAAATCTATGAAATATTGTTCCCTATTTCTGTATAATAATGAAAATACTTCATTTCCCGCCTAGAGATTACGTACGAAAGGTTAATTAATTTCATCATGGAATTTCATGAACGCATTTTTATTGAAGGCCTTATCTATGGAAATATCACTGAAGAGGTGAGTATACAATAATATGATGTATATATTCTAGAACAAATATTTGATCAAGCTTTCCTTATATGTGGTTAAAATGTTACGATTATCTTTATTTGTTTATGTCTGGACAAATACAACACAACAAAGGCCTTTGAATATAAACATTAAAACTGTGTTTTTTTTCCCTTCCAACAGTATGAGAGAGACAAATAGAAGGTTATTGGTATCTCAGAGATAGTAAAACACTATATATGCCACATTCTGAAATGTTTTCATAGTTATCTCTTCTCATTTTTCCCAAAACACGATATGAAACTTTACAGTGATCACGACTAATTTCAATTAACGTCTGAAATCACTCAGTCGTATCCACAGGATATTATTAGTATGTTTTAATGCAGCTATCGTTCATATCAAAAAGGTCACTGCCTTTTGTGATTGTTTGCTGCGTGTTCGTACATCGATTTTTGTGGTTTACAGTATGCCTGGTACTTGCGTACACAACGTGCTGTTTAAGTGCAAATTACGTTACTTACGCACCATAATACCTAAATAAATGGTTGCTCTGGTTGTCAGAAGGGGCATCGGCCTCGTGACTTCCGAAGGAACTCGGCTTTCATTATGAAACGTCATAGTTCTTATAAATGAAGACCTGACTCCCAGGGCAGAGTTTAAAAGGTTTAAATAATTTTTTTGGTTAGTGTTTTTTAGCCAGTTAGTTTTCTACGGAATGGGGTCGATAACCCCATGCCCGACCCTCCTCCGTTATCTGGGCTTGGGACCGGCAGTAGCCCTCGGAGGGACTCCAGGTGGAGTTACTTACGCATCATACTGTAAAATATATTGTTTGTGTCTGCTACAGATAGTAATCATTGACCACAAAGCTAAAGTGGGGTCCTTATATTCAACATTATTATTTATTGCAATGTTGACATGAAGAATTTAAACCACAGATGTCACTGCCGTTAACTCTTGTGAAAAATCGGGGACAACTTCTGGCAGCGGTAGTTTCAAAATGCTGATTACATTTGTAATTTCTGTAGAAAAGGCATAAACCTTAAATGAAGTTATAACTAAATTGCTTTGTTACCTTTCTCTCTAACGCTCTGGCGCGTACAAGGTTGAGGTGAGTCTGTTGTCACTCAAAATCCTCATTAGGCCATGCTTTAATAGCTACTGCCAATGAAGTTCTACTCACTGTCCTCACAGTGCAGGGGCTGTTGTGCACAGAAATGAGAGGATAGAAAGCGGATGCTCGGCGTTTGAAGCGTGTTAATTAATATGGAACATTCACCTTGGGGGAGTTAAAAAAACCCTTATTCTAAATAAATGGTGCGCATAAACTCCAGGATCCTGAGAGACTATAGCGTATTCCATCTATTGGGTAACTAACTGACCTCCATATATTGTTTTGAAGTTTTAGTTTGATGAGGGGTGTAATATAGTGCTAGTTTCCAGAGTTTATTAGTTCAAGTGAGTGGTTAATAGTATAGAAGTTAAGATATTTTCTATATTGAAAAGAAAGTAGTTTTAACAATTTGGTTTAATACTTCACTAATGTACTGTCTTTTTTAACTGGTCATAGCTACGCTTCAACTTTCCGTTTATAGGATGCAATAAGTTATCACGAAATGGTTCGGGACTTGTTGGTACAGAAGATGAATTCTAAACCACTTTTACTGTCTCACATCTTAACCTCTCGAGAAGTAATAATTCCTGAAGGTAATCATCTTAGTCCACCACTCTTCCAGAAATACAGTTTGTGATTATTTCTGACTATTATTCTATCTCTTTTACCATCTCGTTTTATTGCAATTTATTTCTAAAAGTGGTATTTGGGGATCCTATATTTTATAGAATTAGCTATATTTGTATTGTTTGCAAATTGTCAAATGGCTAACTATGCACACGAATTTTCAAAGTGCTCACTTCGTCATAGGTTATTAGTCTTTGACCATAAATGCCTACGTATGTTTGGACCATTGAGTAAGCAGTATCAAGGTTGAACGTGGCCCACTGACTAGGTAAAGACTCCGAATCGGTCGATGATTCTTGAATACCCATCGTCTGAAATAGCTGTGATTTGTATTGCATATGTCCAAACACATCTACCACGAGTAAGAGTAAGTTGGAAGGAAGCTGAATGTTGAACTGAACTGCATTAGTAGGTTCGGACCACCAGGTTTCGGTTCGCGCGGTTATCGTAATGGTTGGTTAGTGGCATTAGGTGGCATGGCTCAGAAGATCGTTGGTAATGATGCAGCTACGTCTTCATCTGCTAGATGCCGAATTTTTAAATGATTGTATACCTTTCTACTCCACGAATTCATTCTTTTATTATTGAGATTATGGATCGATTGATGTTAGACCGCCATTAAAAACATGGAAGCACTGGACTCCTCAGCAGTGCGCGTCCACGATCCCGCTTAGTCCCATAATAGGGCGAGACAGCTGTTCAGCGCTTCCATGTTTCCAATGGTGGTCTACATCAATCGATTCATGATCTCAGCTAAGAACTTAATAATCTCCACAACCCTATACTGATCATTCTTTTTTGTCGAGTCATATTCTTTATACCTAACCTTTCATACAAATAGCATCTTTACTTCTAGTTCTCTGGTATTTGTCTTGACAATTTGATCCCGTGACGATATGTTGTGTCAGCTTGAACTGATGCACATATGTGCAAGGTTCTACTTTATCTATCACTAATCGTCTCTTTGTTAAGGAACTCAGTCGAAACCTGGTCCATCAAACAGTCAAACTGTAGATTTTAATGAAATACTTCATGTGTTGTCATATTACAAGACTTTTACTGTAATCAAAACCTTTGACCAAATATTAGCTTACTCATAGTACTGCAAAAGGTGAAGTTATTTGTTATCTGAATTGTGTACATGATTTATTTTGTTGATTATCCTTATTCCAATTGTTTTTCCTATTTTATTTAGACTCCAGTTTTCTTTATCAACGATATATTTCTGGTCAACCGGCTTCTGCGATTTACTATTATCTTCAATGTGGTGAACAATCTACGCTTAATGATACATTGCTTAATTTGTTTTGTCAGATTATCAGCGAGCCTGTTTTCAATAAATTACGTACCGAACAACAATTGGGTGAGTAATTGTTGAAAATAAAGCACAAGAAAAATATTTTATCAACTTCTAAGTAGGAGGGGTATAAGTACCTAAGAATTCCGACTTTCAATCATTAAGTTAGGATTTCGGACCTCACTTAATTTGTTTCTGTTTAGGAAACTTATCAGTATCACTTTCACGTGCACAAATCTGTGTCTCACAAATGATTTTATTATTATTATTATTATTATTATTATTATATATATTAGTTAAAAGCTAAATTAGTTGCCATTTTTAGAAACTAAACTTATATGGAACCGATTGCGATTGTCATTAAATTGATTTTGTAGACAACACTACTAAGAATTGAGCAAAATAACATGGATTCATTCTGCTCAATTCTTTTTTCTTAGTCTATTCATGATAACAAAAGGAACTAAATGTATGATATAATGCTACGCTTGATATAAACTCGGAATGTATTTCACTGTAGTTTTATCAGATAAACCTCGTAATTTTTGTGCCTAATTTTAGCTTATGTTCAGTTTTATTAAAAGTTTACTTACATTTTATTAACCTAAAATTAACCATTCTATAGACGTTTTATTCTCTTGTTTTTTTCATTTTCACATTGAAGGTTATATTGTACAGGCTGGACTTCGACGATCCAACAAACTGCAAGGTTTTCGTATTTTAGTGCAATCATCTTATCATCCTAATAAAATTGATAAATGTATCGAAGAATTTCTACTTACTGTAAATGTGAGTGTTACTGATTGTTTTCCTTCCATAAAACTGTATACGTAATGAATTGTTGTCTGTTCTGTTCCATCCTGTCATTTATGCTCTCATACAATGTATACGCCTCCAATATGATGGCTTGTACTTACTTACAGACTCCTTGATACATGCTACTTACTTTTCCTTATATATTGGTATTTTAGAAACTATTAGAAGATATGTCTGATGAAGAATTTAATGTTCATGTGCAATCCCTTATGACACATTTACTGGAAAAACCGAAAGGTATGCAAGATCGATTTGGGCGTTTATGGTCTGAAATTGCTTGTCGACATTATAATTTCAAACGACGTAAGTTCATTTTATGGTTATTATTCAACCTTTATCTAATTTATTATTTTTACGATTACTGATCTATTTAGTTGTTCTGTTTTATACATAGAATAAGACTTTTTTTAAATGTTTAATTTGTGATTTAATTATAACACATAAACCAATTAGTAGGTGTTAATACGTTGTTTTTCATTAAATTAAAATTATTGTGAAAATTTTAATTGTGGGGATGTTGCAACTAATAGTTGTTTTTTTATTAAACCAATTCTAAATTCTGACCAAATACATTTCATATTGATTATTTTGTTGTATATATATATTACATAAGTGAAACTGTTAGCTATACTTTAACTATTCAAATCAGTTACTATTACTTGTCAAATAAAGAACTGATGAACCACGTATGATTGCTTGATTCATGTGTAAATCGTTTCCAAGGCATCGTTTCTTATTGTACATGAGTACAATATGTTTATGCTATATCTTTAAATTTGTTGTTCCAAGCATTTTATGCTTAGAATGCTAATCATCCAAAGTATTTGTTAATGAAAACGCTTTTTAAAGCCTTATTCATTAATACTTAATTGTTAACAGAATAATATACCAATATTTATTTAATGTTATGAATTATCTTCATTGAAAATATTACTTATAATTACAGATCTTCTTAATTTATATTTATGCCTTCGGTAATCAGTTTATGTTGGAATATGTAAATTTAGTGTTAACTGATGCCTCCATACTATCCGGATTTATAAATTTCTTATGTTCATAATATTGACTTTCAGTGGAATTCAAACTGGGAGTTTTCTTTAATCTCAGTTTTTACTAGAATTATCTACATCCTAACTTTTTCGCCGAAAACTTGAACCCTGTTTCAATATTTCTAGTCACAATAGAGTTATCTGCTAATCTATTAATTCACACTATCCAGTAAATGCTTCGCGAAACGACATATTTATATACTCAACATAACATATCTTAGATATTATTATTTATTTTAACACATCGATATTGGTACATGGAGGCATCAAATACATATGCACCACACAAATCTCATTCGATATGTGTGAGGGCTGTGATACTGCCCGGGTGCCCAAACCGAAGCAGGTGGTTTTCTTAGGGGGCCACACCCCGAGCCTTCGACCTGAAGGTCTGATCCACAAGGCAGTGGAGCATCGTGAGGAGATGCAGTCCCATGGAAGCCGGTGACCAACGATTGGTTCATACGCCATTTGTTCCCGCAGGATACTGGAGCCCATGTGCACCATTGGTTTGGAATCCGGTTAAAGCGCCGGACATTCGCTTTTCGTCCTCTCAATTTCGTAAACAACACCCTCGCCACGAGAAGGCAGTGAGTAGGACTTCCACGGCAGAGGCTATACACGCGTGGCCATGTGAGAGCATTTCGAGAGGGAGAGCGGACTCTCCCCACTCTCGGCCGTACCAGGGCATTTGGGGGCTATCTTAGATATGAACGTTTAATATAGATAAACAGCCAGCTTCAACTTATGTTATACTGATTAAAAACATAACAACGATTTTAACCGTCCTATTTACAGTGAATAATAATTTCTTTCCTTTATCTTAAAGATTTACATGAAGCCGATGTCCTGAAATCGCTGAAAAAGAATGATGTTATCGATTTCTTTAGAGTACGTGTAACTGAACAAGACACTTTTCGTTCCTACTTTTAATTTAAAATTTCATAAGCTTCATTTGTTCTTTTTTTTAAAAGATATGGTAAATTTGTAGCTACGTAAAATTATATGTGTAATCTCCGGTTTTGTGAATATTGTAAATAATCTATTCAACAGATTGAATTGTGGAACCCTATCCACCTGCTTATCGAAGTAATTCGGTTTTAGCTCTATCAGATTCAAGTTACAAACATTTTAAAAAATGCCAACATTCCAGTTTGCTGCTGTGCCGTAATAACTAGACTTCACAATAGAATAATTTCAATTATTTGGTATTTCAATATTTAGTTAGCCATAGTTTATGGGTAAAATGAATCGATTCACATAGGTTGTTCGATATTATTTTCTTCTTAAGTGGATATTCTGACACTGGTCGCTAGGTTGTAGTGTCAGCTGCTATGTCAAGCTCATATAGCTTATTCTAGCCTCCGGTTAGGCTAATCTATTCATTTTCCTTGCGTCACATTTTGATCTTGTTAATTACTCGCTTATCAACCCTGAATGTTTTTATATGAGCGTATAAGTGTACATCTTTTATCTTACCCATCACATGTCTAACTTCTTTTATCTGACCATAAATATCAATTCACAATTGGTTAAATCGAGTTGGCTCAAACGCCTTCTGCACCGAACGTCATTTTGCTTCGTTCTCTTCGCTTCTCCGATATTTTGTCTGGACTAACGATTATAAGAAATATACATATTCGAAATTCATTCTCGTATTTGACTTATTTAATTCACGTCAAGCTCTCCAGTTTAGTGACCCTATATCTGACTCATGTTGGATTGTTTTTCTAATTGTTATTGAAATATACGTATCACCACTCGTATATAATCATCAGCGTGAATCGTGTTAGTGAATAAAGGAATTAAATAAGTCAAATACGAGAATGAATTTCGAATATGTATATTTCTTATAATCGTTGGTCGTCGACTAGAAACTTATTCTTTACTTATTGATCATTTTATATAAAATTTAGAGGTATATGGATCCATCATCATGTAGAAGGAGAAAATTAACAGTTCATGTATTATCAAACGAAGAGCATTCTCATGATTCAGAATACAATAATCATGATGAGAAGGTCAGTATATATATACATAATTTGTAATCTGTTTTCATTGTTTAATTTCCATAAAATGAGATGGCATTTTATCAGTATTCATCGGAATAAATAGCAATAGGTTTTTGTGTATATGTAATCAACACTTCTGTAATTTGAATCTTTCGACCTACGAATCAATCAATCATCCACGAAACACAACATATCTCAGACGTGTATCAGCTGAAGTTGTGACACTGAATAGCAGTACAACGAATAGGGAATTAAAAAAAGTGAAATTACATAATGTTCATTTCATATCTTCACCTGATGTTGTATTCGATACACTATTGTTTCTTGCCCATGTTTTAATCTCAACATTGTCTCGTAGTTTTCTATCTTGATTCAGTAGTCTAAACAAATGATCTACAAATAACTAAAACAGACGTACAATCTCGTTGAACTTCTCTCACGAAAACTCTATAGTGCCTCTAGCATTCATTCGTAAATTTTACCTCACAACTTATTACACCTGACTGCTTATAGATGGTGAAGATTAGTTGTCCGGCAACCTCCATCATTTTTTTGGTAAATATACTATCACTGTCGGTCTTATAAGGTTCAACATACCATAGTTACTGTTCGTCGATATTTGGCAAAACTCAACAGATTTACCTAAAATCAATAAAACTGGAAAAAATTCATTTTGTGTGGTTAGTATGATAACGAATATCTGTTGTCCATATCACAATCCTGAATCTATTATTACGCAACGTTTGATTGGTGGCCGATTAGTATCCTGGATTGTTGCTGTTTTATTTTAAAAGGCGAGTTATTTGGTATGGATGTAACATTTATATACTCAAGCAACACTTCCGAGATTAACTCAGGCTTCCACTATTTGTGTCCTTTTCTAAGTGAGATGACACTTTTAACCGTATACTTTTTCTATGTTTCTGAAATACAAACATGACACCTATATATGGCTATTAATCTGATATTACTGTTCATAAATGAAGCTGTCAACCACTAATAATTTTTTTATCGTGTATGAGTAATATTTTGGTGAATATGAGTATCAAGCACATTTCTGAACTAAATTCTGCATACTGGTTACTTATCTGGTGAACAAGCTTCTTAAAAATACAGAGTAGCCATAGCACCTAATAGTAACATTGCTTGGTTGAATCTGTTATATCTACTGTTCACAATTGAAATTGCACAAAGCCTGGTTACTGTATTTCAACATGTGAGATTTTCTCGGTGGTAGATGATTTCATCATCTGTGTATTAACATTGTTGCGACTCGGTCGTGGCACTTGAGCAAGTCAGTAACGATAACTTTTGATGATTAATTTGATTGGTGTACCAAACTCAATCTTACGACAAGGTATCATCTTGTTTCGTTGCTTTCAAGACATGCATCACCCTATTTTAAAAAAATTTCGAAAATTTAATTGTGCGGCTTCCGAAATGAATGATATTCTTTGCTTTTCTCTAGTGCTTACGTTTTACCATATTTCTTTTTTGTTCGTTTATTGATTGGTATGTAAACTAAAATCTATCTACATTGACTTTTTCTTTGCTTTAGGTAATTGTTTTAAAGGATTACACCGAATTGAAACGTTGTTGTCCTTTAAGCGCTTTAGCGAGACCATTCATGATGTTCACATCCAAATGTGAAGGGAACGTACTGCGATTTTAATTCGGTTTTCTGTATTACATATTTAGGGATATTTAATATATGGGTCGTTCGGTGATCGTCAAAACGTGTCATTTTCAAGGTTTCATATTTTCTACATTATCTTTACTTTTCTCTTGGAGAAATCGTGGATTTAAATCAGCTTTAGACAGGTTTCAATTATAAAATCCCCGGACGAAAATTAATAAGATGTAATCGTCCCATTACTTATGTGCCCAGTTATTTGTTAAAACATTAAGTCTTAACTTTTCTTAGTGTCTTGATCAATCAAGATCTCTTCATGTTTTCAGTTTTCGCTTGCTGTACAAATTTCAAAAATTTCCCACGGTTGTTTTCAGGCTTTTATATTTCTCCTTGATTTTACGGTCTTTTCGTCTACGTATTCTTTTAATACACGTCTAAACTGACTTTGGTTTTTTTTCTGTATGATACATAGTTAGTACATGTTCATTGATAAGTCGTGACAAACGACTGACTGTAGAAACAATCATAAGAATATATTGTTTTCCATTTACACAGTTTTAATTTGAAGGTGTACGTAAGACAATGTAGCCATTTTTCACAAATGACGGTGCTCTTTATCTCTCTTATTACTAGTGAACTAAGTTTACTTGTCAAAGACAGTATCATATCTCATTTTCTTTTGTTCTAAAACTTAAGTTGAGAACTTTCCATCATGCAACTATGAAAGTGAGTGTATAGTCTGTTATATAAGTACATAAATAACCGTGAGTTAATAGTAACGAATCTATGTGGTGAATATCAGGACAGCATGTTATCGATTTGGTTAACTGTAAGTTTAGTATCATTATCCATAAAAATAACAAAAGATTAAAATATCAAGACGAAGCAAAGGCTTGTTTCACTAGCTTCAAATTCGACATGTGTTATAGACATTCGTCCTGTTATTACGTGATCTTGTGACTCATTGTGCTGTTTGGACCCTCATTGCCCAGCTTCTCAGTCTAAAATATTGGTGCCTACTCGAGACGCGACTGACTCAGTAAGACTGAGATGCATACAGTAGATTGATCCCTCAATGGTGACGGTTGTCATGCTCGTACAGTTCATAGTGGCTGTTTGATGAATGTCAACTCATTGTCTATGAACATGAGGATGCATGGACGATAGTCTGTTGTTCATTTCCAGTGTGACCTCTACGTAATCGAACAGATATGTAACAGAATATTTAAGACTCCATCTCACCTATGTAGACGATGAGAATGGAGGAAACTGGTGTTTTATTTCGTAGAAATCCCTTCGATCAAAAGAAAGTGTCAATATTCATAAAAAATTGAAGTGTGTGTAGTTTGAAATGCCATCCTACAAGAAGTTTGTGAAATGAATGTATTGATATTACAGGCTTCTGGTAGACGGAATTTGTTGATTTGGATCAGGGCTATTGTTAAACCCCAATACAATTGAAGTTTAACAACGAAGCTATAGCCACCAACACAGGACTACCTGTATATTCAAACGCGCGTCGAACATCTCCTGAAAATCTATAATTGGCTGAAAATGTTTCCGAACGTATGATTGACCTGTCAATAGTTTATTGGTATCGCCTTTTCACATAGTCTGCGAAAGGGATAGCAAAGACTGTCCTCCAGCTGTTGATTATCGATGACTTGACATGAAATACACTACCTTGTTTTCCAATTATTCCAAAAACATGGCATCACCGAAAACATTCAGGAATGCCAGATTGGAACTGATACTTTCGACTTTTTCGTCCACACTATTGACACTCAAGGTATTCGCCCTGAGAAAAAAAATCGTAACCACTCTGGATCATCAAGAAATGACCATGATGATGCAGTTACATAGTTTTTTGTCGACAATTCGTACCGATTTGCGGGTCCCATGAGACTTTTTTACAGGCCATTTCTGTAGAAATACGTAAGCCTTCAAAAGCACCCTTCAGTATCGCCGTAGGCGTGTCCGACTAGGCATTCTATTGGACCCAATGTGGACAGAAAAAAATAGATTCGATTGAGTTGCTGTTATATTGTCGTCATGAAAAAGAAAATACTTTGCACACACAAGGAGTTGCACGAAGGACATTTATAGCATAGGAATCACATGAATCAAGGATTATAAAGGCAACCTTCAAAACAAAGAAAAAGGGAACCACAACGAATGCTATCCAATATTATGCAGCTAACAATGATGATAAACGTCAGTTGTACGAGAGGTCGCAGTCGATTATAGCTAAGCGCCCATGATAGGATATCTAAACAATAAAGTCTGGGTGGACAACATGTATGAAGTTATAATGGGACGACATGGACTGACTTGGATGAAGGAACGAGGATGGAGATAGATTTGCAACTTTATATGACTTCAACATAATGTTTAATGGCAGTACAATGTTCACCCACAAACGCATACACAAATTTATATGGGTCTCACCGGATTTCGCTATAGTGAACTAGACCAATCATATTTGCATCACTAATGAAGACGTTTTAACCAGGAGAGGAGCATACATAGATTCAGATCACCACCTGGTGGTTGCCAAAATGAAGGTGAACCTAAAGAAACACTGGAAAACTGAGGAATCAGCTTTAAAAAGGTTCAATTCAGCCTTCCTTGGAGATACTGACATACCTAATCACTTCCAGATGGCTTTGAAAAACAGGTTTCGAGTCATTAAAGACCTACTCGTAGAGGAGCCTGTAGTGACATTTAATCCTAACCACACAAACCCCAAAGCTGAACTCGGAATAACTGGAAAAACAGATATCTAATATTTGACGTGGAAAGAAGGTCAAGATTCGACAAGGCTGGAAGAAAGAATTCAATTCAGTCGGATGGCACGGCTCAGCCTTACATACGTGGGCATTCTTGTGTAACTTATTACTTTTATTCATATTAAATATATTGTTTTGTCTCCAACCTAAATATGTTCTCCAGCTTATATTGGTGATTTTACGATACCATGAGTCAGTGTAAACGATGATGTGACTTCCATTTAAGACATTATACATTAGGCAGTTACATCATGGCAAATCTACAATTTCAGGATTATGCATGTCACTAGAGCAGTACTAACAACGAAGTAAACCGTAGTTCTACAAATCTATTATTGCGGATAACATGAAAGGGAACAAAGAAGTGTGAAACTATGGGCCGGTTCGGTATAAGTACTACTATAATAATATACCTAATACTAAAATTGCAGATAAACCATGGTATGACTGCTTAATCTCTAAGGTCTTATGTGGAAGTTACATCATTTCATACTCTGACTCATCGTATAGTGACAATGAACAGTATGATACATAGCACTTCTAAAGAACACATTTGGGTTAAGAATAGAATGGTGTACTTATTGTGAATAGTAGTAAGTCACACATAATTACTACGTCAGCAAGGCTGAACCATATTATCCAATTGATTCCTGCCACCTTCAACATTCTGGACCTTCTGTTTATGTCATATGTTGAATGTCAATCTTCTCAAGGGTTTTATGTTCAGTTTCGAGGCGTGAGTTCGGAAACAATAGCACTGCCGAAACACTAAATTCAACATGTCAGGGGGTTCTGGACCCCAGAAAGCATCACCACTATCTCTTCCGAAAACCTTGCCACGATTCAAACGAGAAAGAAAAATGGTATAGCAATTGACAACAGTAGAACAAGAAAGGAAAAAGGACAAGAAACAAGCCCAATACACAGCGATTGAAGGGGAGCATTAGAAGTGACAAGTGAATATACGTGGAACAATTAGCTACGGCAATGGACAAAGCTGCCATAGAGGGAAATATCGGACAGCTATGTAATATATCGAAGAAACTGTCTGGAAAATAAAGTAGACCAGATTTATTGAACGACAACACAAGTGGAGACAATCGAATGTATTTGAACGCAAAAGTGAAAAATATTTTAGTAGAATCTGAGAACCACACGGTAAATACTTCCTTCCTAAAATGTCGAGAATAGAGGAACATATAGGTAAAATTCTTTGAATAATTCTTGAATAGGCCAGTTCCGCTCACCGGACGTCGAGGCAGTACATACAGACCATTAGTGACCAAAAAATCATAATGCACATTAGGCAAATCAAGAGTGAGAAAGCAGAGGGACCTGAAAACGTACCATCTGGTGCACTGAGGTCAAGTGTAGAAGTAATTGCAAATATCCAACACATTCCATTCAGCGAGATTTGGGTGGAGGAATAAGTGTCGTTAGACTGGAATGAAGGACACCTCATCAGAATAACAGAGAAATGAGATAAGGGCGAGCGTGAGGAATACAAAGACATCACGCTCCTATCAATACCAGGAAACGTTCACAGCGGAGGGCTGCTGAAAAGAATAAAAGGTTAAATGGACGCTGAACTTCAAAATCAGTAGGCTAGATTCTGTGAGGGTCGATCGTGCACAGATCATCGACAAGCAATTAATTAAAATCACGTTTGAATGTGAGGATAAGAGAACATTATGAAAACTTCTTCGACACTATGGAGTTCCTGAAAAAATAGTCAACATCTTACATATATACGCACATTTATAAAAAGGTATCACACTACATTCGGTACCAGGAGTTTTCAAGAGTGCTGCTGAACCGGATGAAAGATTCAATAGACGCGCAACTTCGAGATCAGTAGGATGGATTCCGTAAGGATCGATGGTGCACAAACCAAATCGCCACACTAAGATTCTCGACGAACAATTAAGTGAATGGAACTCGTCACTGTAAATCGTCCCCCTTGACATCGTTGATAAGATAACTTTATAGAACGCTCTCCGACACCATGGTGAACCTAAGAAAATCGTCTGCATCACACGGAATTAATACGACAAACAACCCTGTAAAGACGTGCACAGAGCTGACAGGCTCAATCGAAGTGAGGTTCGGAGTCGGACATAGCTCCTTAATTCTTCTGGTGGCTGACTGGATTATGAAGACCCCCACATCTGAGAGGGAACACGGAATGCAATGGACAGCTCAAAATCAGTTAGAAGATCTGGACTTCGTATATGACCTGGCTTTTCGATACTATGCTCACGCGTAACCGAAGATGGATAGAACTAATATAGCAGTAGTCTCTGCATCAGGAAGTCTCAACATGCACAAAGTAAGAAACAACATCCTCAAATACAACACATGACACAGACTAAATATCACTTGATGGAGAAAGTCTGGAGGAGTTGAAAAAATTCCAGTATCTGAGTAGCACCATCGACGAACAAGCAGAGCCGATACAACAGCGATGTCGAGGATTGACAAACCCATGGCAGCATTCCTGCTATTGAAAAACAAATGGAATTCAAAACAACTGTCAGCCAATCCAAAGTCAGAATCCTCATTGCAAACTTCAAGACAGTTCTACTGTATGGAGCTGAGACGTGGAGAACTACTACAACCATCATCAAAAAAGTACAAGAATTTATAAACAACTGTCCACTGGGCAGATACCACCAGCAACAGCCCAATGTGGTAGAGAATAAACCAGCTTCCAATTGAAGAAGAAAGTAGGAAAGACGTTGGAAGCGGGTAGGACATACAATGCGGAAGTCATCAGACTGTATCACGAGACAATCCCTAACGTGGAATCCTGAAGGGTAGAGGAAAAGAAGATCAAGGAACGCATTGTGTCGGGAATTGGAAGTGGACATCAAAAGAGCAAACAGCAATCGGAAAGGATTGCCCAGGACATGGTCGGATGGAAAATGCTGGTGGGCTGCTTATGCTCCTCCACGAGGGTAACAGGCGTAGGTAAGTAAGCTAATAATGCACTTTTAGGAATCACGTGACTCCGAACGACTGTCTCCCACCGAAAAGCTAACACTTTGGTAGCGTGATTTCACCGACGGTCGAATGCTTCATTTTCAGCTGCAACCGTTTCATAGTAGATTGAATTTCTTCCACTCACTTACAATTCAATGAAAACTGACATCTGTTAAGCTGCAGCACAACTCGTTTACGGAACGACAGGCAGAATTACAGGTCCTCCATCTTCAATAAGTGTGTATATTGTCTCCTACACGAGGTTTTCAAACGCGATGCGTTCATTTAAACCTATTTCTACTGGATCATAGTCATTTGTCTTCCAATCCTGAGTCGGAAAACCGTCCCGAAAACAAAAAGAAAGGCAAGGGGATTCGGAACACCTGGACGACAACTGCACCTTAGATATCGTAGAAAGTTTTCTTGGGATCGAGTCATACAGTCATTCGGTTATTTAAGTTTTTTTACATCACTGTATAAAAAGTCTTTTACTTAAAATGCCTATACGAACGTGCATTTTTTATAAACAAATTTAGAAAGAATGTCTGAACGCCAAACGTTTTGAGCTGACACATGGCACATATATACATATATACCAAGCTTTTATCAACGAGACTCTAATTTAAGGACGAACTTTGAACGAATCCGAAATGACACTGACAATTATTAGTTAATCAGCAGACAGTTAGTAGAAAAAGCGAAAATATAATATAAGAAAGTAATGAATTACAGTGGATATTCTTCTTTCACGTGATTTGAAAACTTGTTAAGGTTTGATAAAGGTTCGGAAGTTCTGAATTCATAATGCATATGGTATAGAAGTCCTCAATAGGGTTTGGGTTAGGGGTTAAGGGATAGGTTAGGGTTAGGGTAAAGATTTAGGGTTAGAGTTTAAGGTTAGGGTTAGATTAGGTTCAGGGTGGCTAGATTCTGATTTAGGGACGAGCCAATCAGAAGCGTTTCAGCAATTTCATGTTCACGGAGACAAGTTCATTACGTGATGCTGAAGTACGATCGGTTTACAACGGATTTTAGAGAACATATGTTTATTGAGAGGCTACAACCCTAACCCTAAACCCTAACCTTGGACTCTAACCTTAAACCCTAACCTAACCCTAACCCTATGGACGAGTTTCTACACCATATGCATTATGAATTCAGAGCTTCCGAATCATGTAGAAGAAGAATATCCACTGTAGTTCACTACTTTCTTATATTTTCACTTTATACTAACTGTCTTCTGATTGGCTAATATTTGAAGTTGCTCTGACGCTTCTGATTGGCTCGTCCCTAAAATTAGAGTCTCGCATTTTTTTCTCTCGCTTTGCTTCCTCACGCAAGTACCAGTGCATTTCGACATACACCTGCATTTTCTCTTTTCTTCTTTTCCACTAACCCTTAAAAATATAACGAACCGACGTAGAATAAGCTGAAGCGAAATCCTAAGTGTACGTTTTTATTGTTATGCTGTAACTTTTGGCTCCATATACTAAGATAAAACGATCAGACACTGCTGAAAGTGGAAAAATATTAAAAGAGTGTTTATCACTCACAAGCTTGTCAGGTTTAAACGTCTGGCTGATCATATCTTAGTGTTATGACTAGCCCACTAGGGTAGGAGTGAGCCGAAGTAGCAAATAAATCCTCAAAATAAATAGTTTTATAAGTTTTTAACATTGATAATGGCCTCGTTGGGTTTACTGGACATATCCTACCTGAAGTCACTGAGCCACGCATCGAACGCTTCTCATGTATCGTCCATTGAAAACTTCCCAAATATTTCTTTCATTTCGTTCATATCTAACACTCTATTTGACTGGGCTGGTGTTACAGACATGGGCGATGTCACACCTATAATATATGGGGAATTCGCGGCACTACTAACAGTATTATTTCATGTATGTCGTAAAACAATAAAGAGAGGTAACTCCAACAGAAAAGTATGCAATCTCGGAGACGGTGATCCATCAGTTTACTACTGACTTCCCATATTAATGTGAACAAGTGGATTTTCTTACTTCACACACATGGTATACCTTCATGTATAAATGCGAGGTGATGTTGAAACAGGTAAAGAACCTCCATCTTCAGAAATTACGCAGAAACCTCAATCTCCGTTTAATTTCTAACTGAAAAAGGGTATCTCATCAAACAGTGTCTCACAAACTAGTGGATATTACTGGTTAAGGAGCAATATCTTCTTGAAAATAACATAAGAGTGTTTTTAAACATGTGCTTGACCTTGGACATAATTCAACTTAGACGCTACAACAGCGTGATTTATTATTATGAAACCAGGTAAGCTGTAGATTTCTAATAAATTCACCACTCTTATAATAAAGAATCAGGCGGAAATTTTAGAGGCGGACGCGGTAGAGGTGGTCAGAGGCATAGTTTTGGTGGTGAAAAAAGTGCTGGAGATGAAAGCCGAGGTGGAGGTAGAGGTGGACGTTTCAGTGAGAGAGGCGGGTTCAGAGGTGGACGTGGAGGTGACTTCGGTGGACGTGGTAGAGGACGAGGTGACTTTGGTGGTCGAGGTCGTGGGGGTTTCAATAGGGGGACACCACGAGGAAGGGGTGGACGTGGAGGAATGAGAGGAGGGAAGAAAGTGTTGATAGAGCCCCATAGACATGAAGGTATTTTTGTTGCTAAAGGCAAAGAGGACTGCTTGGTAACGAGAAATGTTGTTGTTGGCGAGTCTGTTTATGGTGAAAAGCGAATCAGCGTTGAGGATGATGCAGGTGGTAAAATTGAATACAGAGTGTGGAATCCCTTTCGATCGAAATTGGCAGCAGGCATAGTTAACGGGCTTGATCAGATTCATATCAAACCAGGGAGTCGTGTTTTATATTTGGGAGCTGCTAGCGGAACTACTGTCTCCCATGTTTCTGATGTAGTCGGCGCAGATGGAGTAGTTTATGCTGTGGAATTCTCGCATCGTTCAGGACGTGATCTTCTGAATGTCGCTAAGCATCGAACAAATGTGGTTCCAATAATAGAAGATGCTAGACATCCTCACAAATACAGGATGCTTGTTGGTATGCATATATTAAAGGTTAATATGTTTTAGGTATGGTGGATTGTATATTTGCTGATGTCGCTCAACCTGATCAGTCTAGAATAGTAGGGGTCAACGCCGAGTACTACTTAAAAAATGGAGGTCATGCTGTTATATCCATCAAAGCCTCATGTATTGACTCGGTTGCTGCTCCTGAGGTTGTGTTTGCAAAGGAAGTAGATACACTACGAAAATTACAATTCACTCCACGTGAACAGGTTACTCTTGAACCATTCGAACGTGGTCACGCTATGGTAACTGCTCAGTATCGGTAAGTTTTTATTCTACATATAATTGTTTTTCTTCAGAGCACCGAAAAAGGTTAAGACTGAACAATAATAGCGTTTACTTGGTTTGTATATGTAAATAAAACATTTCGTTGAGACTTTTCGAGATTGTACAACACATGTAATAAACGTCTTACTGATTCGTACCGTTAATTTTCTAGTGATTACTGCGTTGGCCCAATGATAATTCACTAGGGATCACGCAGTTGAATAATTAAGTTTCGTATCTTACACGAATTCGTGCAGAATTACAAAGTGGCATTCTATTCTCTTTACTACTATGCATTAACTTTTCACTTAATGACAGTATGCAGAATACATACATACGTAACAGGAACTTCGTGACTTGAGTTTTACTAAGAATAAACTAGCGCAAAGTTTTGTACTTTTAATCGTTTCGAAAGTTCGTTGTCACTGGGTATATTGGAGACTTCTGTATGAAGAATACTCAACTTTCTCGAGTCATTGATGTTTCCACCACAATGCTCTTCTACATGGGTACGTTTATTTTTCAGGTGTAAATCTCGTCGTGCAGTCTGTTCAGTTTCTTTATGTGATGCGATGTGTTAATTATATTATTGAAAACGATGGTTTTTGGTGTCTTAACAACGTTTGATGCGCAATATTCTGGCCGTCTCCATATCAGTACTTTTGCTTAGACCAAAACAGGCTAGACAATGCTACATGACGAGAGGTATTTGTTCTGGAGCTAAATAGAGTATATTTGAAAGCTTAATAGGAAGCGAGACTGTGAGGATCTGTTAAGATAACTTCAGAGATCTTAACCGTTAAAATGTGACAGCCATTCGATTCTTAATGAGGACTCCACCAACCAAGTTATCCATGGCGCTATTGGTTTCTGAATAATATCCCGGATGCGTTGTATAGGCTTGAAATCTCAAATGTACGTTGCTCAAAGATACGAAGCGTATGACTAGTTGGGCCCTCCATATAGTATGAATAATTAGATCCTGAATTCGGATTGAGAAGCGTGTTTAGGATTATCCTTGCGCAATGCAGCGTAACTTTAGTTTGCACTAATTAGTTGCCGTAGTATAGGTTCAGAAATGTTTTCGTATCGGCATGTCACTCGTTTAGTGGTTAAGACACTGATTACTAGTTTAGGCTGACGTCCACGCACTTTGTTTCTGAGAGTTAAGTGTTCTCTAATCCCCTCACGATTAGTGGCACAAAATCGTCTGGATGAACTTGGTACATGTTTTGTGCATTAATGTTCGTTACCGTGTAATTGTTTGAGAAGCGGTTTACTAGTCCACGATCCTGTAAATGTTTCGCACAACAGGATGACGCGCAGGATCGAGAAGTTAGTACTATTGATAAAGACCAACTAGTCTGCATTTATAAACTTCCTTTGTTGTAGCAGGTAGGTAAAAGAATTTGGATTTAAGTCGATACTGAATTTTGTGAAGATTATATATGGCAGGTCCTAACACAGACCATCGGACTGAATTTATATAACAGGCAAATATGCTTACTAGTTTGACTGAAAATCTAATTCCAAAACAAAAGGTTGGATCAAGGAAAAAGTAATGCACCCCATTGGCCATCGATCAGACTATTAGCTTGTCTCCAGCGCACTATTGTTTGTCGAGTAGGCGATGTTTTGTATATCCTATGCATTTCAGCCGATGAAAGTTTAACCCTTTTAATCGACCTAGTATCCTTTAATAACCCATTACACCTAACTCCAGACTAACCCGATTGACGTTTCTTTATGTTCAGAGGGGTTTGACGAACCTGAAAAATGAGGTTATCACTACACTAAATTACTTATTGCCAAAATAGCCGCAAAATCAAACCAGTTTTAAGTCACCACTTTAAATTCAAAGGAAAGGGAGCGTATCCTGAACACTAGTTTGCTGATTCTTTGTTAATCATGAATGCTACTTTTAGTTGAAAAGTGAACTTCCTAGTAGTAGTTAATCCCCAAAAGTCAGACATAAAAACTGTTACGAAAAAGGAGATCAAGACTATTCCATAATATTTAACAAACTGTTTACAGAAGAATGGACAAAACCTTGATATCTGTCCGTTTTAATTAAAGGCATATTTAAAATTGCCGCAAACAATTTATGTCAATCGAAAGCTAGTTTCGCATTTTCAAGGTTCACTTGGTTAACATGGCTGGTTTCAAGTAGTTAAACTCTGAGCAGTAAAAAAAATGCTAAAGTATCACAAATAGTGTACAGATCTTTCGATGTAAAATTTAGATGTTATCGTCATTTATAATAAGTCAAAACAGTAAGAATTTGTAAGCTGAATGCGCCCGAGCATATACAGTAGAAGTCCACAATTAACGAGGCGGAATATATTTAGTCATAATTAGCGCCACAACATATGATGTGAAATCAGTTCCCTGATAAAAAGATGTAGTTTATTTTTCATTTATTGTCAGTATGTTGATATAAAACAAATCCCATAGACATTTACGGCGGACTAAATACTCGGAAACGGTGATTTAATTGTTCCTGCACGTGAAGACGGCTTGCATTACTGAATGCGCCGTCGCCCGCAAGCTTTTGGCAGCAGAAAACTCGCCGAATGCGATTATGAAGCAGAGCCATACCACACATCAGACATGGTTCAAGTGAAAAGTATGCATCAAAACCTGTACACAAGTAAGAATCAGAGTACTGATTTCCTGTATTCTGTTTTAATTTAGCAACAGCTGATACAGCAAGTAATGCTGCATGATCTAACCACGATATATCTGATGTTATCGTAGGTGTAGTTGATTCTGCTAATGCAATATTCGATTCTGGATCAACTATGATGACTGCACAAGCCGGACCATCAACGCCTGCACATGATTGTGGGTGTATATCACTTAGTTCTTGCGCTTGTTTTGACAAGGTAGAAACACGTTTGAGCCATAATGAATGCCTGAAAAAGATAACACAAGTATTTGTATTTTATATAACATAACGTGAAGACCAACCAGTAGAAGACAATTCCTTATGAGAAGTCTTTGGTCTACTTTACACCACTAAAGAAATCGATATCGCAAATTTTGCTAAAACGAGAGATTACCATAGCATGTTTGCCAATGCCGAAGTAAGCGCCTAGCGTTTTACTCAAATTTCAGCATAAGTTGCATACTGAGTTAGGCATTACGTTTCCATTGAAAAACGGACTCTTATTTTATTGCACAACACATAACTTTCCCAGGCACCAAAGGTCCTAAGTGATAATTCGTACATCTTCATCGTTTCATCATCATACAACACTAAACTTAGTAATAACAATACAGTATGAAACCCGTTTAGCACATAAGTACACCATTAGTATCATAAATACATTGATGTCCAATCTAAAAATTCTAAAAACCAAACAACCTACTTTTTTAGCTCTAATTCTGAGAAACATGATAACGACAAGCTTCGTCCAACATTCACTAGTTCCTCAAGCTCGGGACAGGCTCGTAAAGTGGATGGCCAACCTAAAATAATTGGTTCATTAAGTGAATTTTTGAACGATGAAAATCTCTTCTCTTGTGATTCATTTGAAAATGAGTAGAGGAGCTGATGCTTGCGAGTTATTGGTGCATGAAGTGGTATCCAGCAGGGTGTTGGGGATGTGCTAATAAACTGATGATCGGATGAATTCAATTGTAGTAAGTCGACCATAGAGTTTAAAGTTTCATTGGCATCTAGCCATGTATAGCTGCAACAAATGGAGGCAAAAGAAAACACATATTTGAATCTTCATTATAATATAGAAAATAGCAATAGTAAACTATCGGTTCATCACACCAAATATGAGACAATAATAAACATTGCACCCTAAACTGCAGAGTTAGTTCTTTAGAGAATTTATTAACAACTAAGGTAAACTAGATTTTAGCTCACAAGTCCAAATAAGTATAGTCTCGCATAATATGGAAATCATCAAACAACGAACATTACGTTTAATTGATTTTCTCAGAGTTCTAATCTTCCTGTTGTTGATACGAACTGCAAATGATCACATTCTGGCATATGTACGTCCGCTTTTTGTCCTCTCACTTCTTTAACCAACACTCATGCAGCGCGCAAAACGCTTCCCGCAGTGGCTATAAAAACGTAGCCATAAGAGCTTTTCGAAAGGAACACAGAACTATTTTCATCCCTGATCAAACCTTAACTGCTCAATTATTGGTTAAGCATTATTAGTTTTTTTTAAGTACCGAAACTAATACTTTCGAAATTATACTTTCATCATACAATAAAAACGTAAGAATCAATTTAAGGTTCCAGATCCACTCTATTTACTTCGATTTAGAAGGCCCGTAATACCACTAGCGCTGCGATAAAGTGTGGGCCCGAAACCAACCACATGAACCAGTGGTTAGTAAATGAATTACAACATGAGAAACAAATACTAATTGGCACTTGATACGTGCTGATAACGTTTACAACACAAACCTTGATTTGGCTATCTGCAAAAAAACATAAGTTGATTTATTTTCATAGGATCGGCAACTGTCTATTCGTTTAATATGACTGAGCTCCCCAGGGAGTGGAACAAATGATTGTAAATATTGATTTATTTTACTTAGATGATGTTCAGAATGAACTGCAACACACCAACCTGGTACTAAATGTGGTCGACAACATTCAACTTCATGCGGAAGTATTGCTACTAATTTGGAGGCGATAATGCAATGGTCGTTTCGTTTCATAATATGATGACCGTCTAGTCGTTTGCGTTTAGATGCCATAGAATTGATCTGTGATGAAAAATGAAATTGACGTATCTTCAAATGAAACATAGGCATTATATGAACTAGTCGTTTTTTACGAGATAAAAGAAAATATGTGAAATAATTAAGGAAATTAAAATACTTGGTGATAAATAGAAGTAAATACCAACTAAGAATTCATTACTTAAAGATTATTGACATAAAATTGTCAGCTGTCTATCACACTTGAAAATTCGAGCAAATTAAGTAAATTGTTTCCACAGTTTACTGAATTTTAACGACAAATAACGGTCTCATAATGATATGGATTACATATCGATTCGTTGAATGTAAAGCGGTCACTTTTTTAATGTCAAATCAAATACAAATGAGGTTTTCGAATCTTTGCATTAACAGTGAATCAGTTATCACTTAATTTTCCTCAAAATTGTTTATTCTTTATTCCAAATTACGTGATTATTCAATGTATTCTTTATTGGTTGATAGATTAGTACAATGTCGATCGGTTATGATTATTGTGGCAACCAACTATCATTGGAACCTATATACGTGACTAATGTTGACTCCACATCAATTTGAAAAGACAGTGAAATAAACAAAGTATTCTCTTAAGTCTAAACGAAACTGTTTATACATATGAATTAACGCACTTGCCGCAAGACCAGCTTTACTAAACCTACGGGACATGAAAGCAGCACACAGAGACCTTCTCATAGGTGTCACTCCACCAACGAATAGAGAAATCAGCATGGCCATCAGACAAATCAGGAGTGGGAAGGCAGCAGGATCTGACAACATACTAGCTGAAGTACTGAAATCAGACATAAAAGTAATTGCAAACATGCTCCACATTCTATTTAGGAAGAGAAACAAGTGCCCACAGACTGGAGAGAAGGTCAACTCATCAGGATACCAAAGAAGGGAGATATGAGCAAGTGTGGGAAATACAGAGACACCACAATACTGTAAGTACCCGGATATGTTTTCAGTAGTGTTGTTCAACCGGATGGAAGGTTCAGTAGACATTCAACTTCAAGACCAACAGGCTGGACTCCATAATGATCGGCCGTGAACAGACCTACAACTGAAGAACATATGGAACTCAAAACAACTGTCAGCCAACACCAAAGTCAGAATCTTCATTACAAACTTCAAGACAGTTCTACTGTATGGAGCTGAAACGTGGAGAACTACTACAACCATCATCAAAAAAGTACAAGAATTTATAAACAACTGTCCACTGGGCGGATACCACCAGCAACAGCCCAATGTGGTAGAGAATAAACCAGCTTCCAATTGAAGAAGAAAGTAGGAAAGACGTTGGAAGCGGGTAGGACATACAATGCGGAAGTCATCAGACTGTATCACGAGACAATCCCTAACGTGGAATCCTGAAGGGTAGAGGAAAAGAAGATCAAGGAACGCATTGTGTCGGGAATTGGAAGTGGACATCAAAAGAGCAAACAGCAATCGGAAAGGATTGCCCAGGACATGGTCGGATGGAAAATGCTGGTGGGCTGCTTATGCTCCTCCACGAGGGGTAACAGACGTAATTAAGTACTTTCGGCTGGTTTAATACACTTCGATTTATGTAAGTTTTCGTTAGCCTGAATGTAGCGAGAACATAGAACAGAAGCAGGGTAAGTGAATGTAAAAAATATGGTTTGTGAAACTCAGCCACTATTGATTTAATTGATACAGAACTACTTACCAAACACATGTTCGTGTTAGGTGGTCGTCAGCTTGAAACACTGGACCTATGCTCCAGATTAGTTGGGACTTGTAAACAAGGCATCCCTTTAGTTGTGAAGGAACTGATGCTTCTTGTGGGTTTTAAACCCACATTACCTAGCTATACAGCCTGAGATGTTACTATTGAGCTATTAAGGCTTTATACGAATATTCGTCAAGATTAGAACGAATAGTTTGACAGTAATTGAGCGCCGAGCATAAAGAAGTCATTATATGTGAAAATTATATTTGAAATATTCTCAGCGATTGAAATTTAACTAATTCCAAGGCTTTAATTGACACGCTACAAAACTGAGATATTTATAATTGATGGATTGCTGAGTAGTGACAAATGTTACCTTTGTGTAGTATTTTAGCTCTGACCGAACTATAACGATCAAGTTGCAATGTAGCCACCAGTCTGAGTGATTCGACGTCGAGTGAGTTATTTTGAAATGTCAGGTGGTCGTAGGTAGTTGGAAGGAAACCGAAGACCTAGTTTTCGTGTTATTTGGTGATGTTGAGTCGCTTCGATTATTGGCCGCATTGTAACTTGACTAATTAGCATTACAGGAATAAACAAACATAATATTGGTCACTGATCAGTCAAACGTACAGATTTGTGTCAAGGCTAGTGATAGTACCTGCCTAACCGAACATTAAAGTGGAATGGGATTCGCATTTGCAACTATGTAGTTAAAGGTCAAGTAATTAAATCTTGGACCCGATGGTAGCAACTAAAAATGAATACTGAAAGCAATCTAATAAGCTGTGAAAATGACAAAAAAATTAGACGAACAACCAACTTGTGAGTTATCATTTAACTCCGGTAAGAAGTAGATGTCATCGTTTGACTCGGCTTTACTGTCCTTACTGTAAACTGATAAATGATTATCGACATCTTTAATATCCAATCCAACAAATTTTAAAAGGCTGGTCACTCGTTTTACATAAACTGGATGTATTGATATGAGATTCTCCTCAGAACTAATTATATATTCCTTTATATCTGGAAATAATTAGATAGAAATGCACACTTATATCAGTGTTTCTACTTTGCAGATTAACAAGTGACACGAACAAAAGTAAATGATATCATCATTATAATGCACCACAAACACAACATAGTTTGAAAAATCCTGACTTGCGTAATCTTCCAGAGTCCAGCTAGAGTTCTAGAACACTCGCGCCTGAGCATCCACGAATGGTTATCATACCTTAGGGAACTGCATTCATGGCTGTGATGCGCCTCCCCACGAACAACAGTCCATTAACCCTCAACAAATTTAAGATAGACGAAGGCCGGACATTAAGCATTTGTTGGGGCCCTTCAGGAAAATATATAATAACATTGACCAACTTACCATCTCCATCGAATAGGCTGTGGGGATTTGACGACTATTTTACGACCATTTCTCCAACATACAAGTTTTATATACGGCTCCTGATTCTTGTGGAAATGCAAATTGTGAACCGCACAATAGTATTATGTTGCCTTTCGTGTACTGATAGCGCTCTTTAACGCTTCAGGCGATTGGAACGCTACCATGTACAATGTAGTTGAAATAGACATTATCGGTGTCCGTGACGACATTTGAAACGATAAAGCTAGTACTTTGTAAGTTATCAACGTTCGTAGTTTGGGGAAAAGGTGAACATTGAAGGAATATTTACCCTTTACATTACTTTTCAAAAATCAATAACCAGCAGCTACAATTTTAAAACTATTCAAGTCATTTGACCAAACAAGATAGAAAATTTCTTTAATGAAACAAGGCACAAAAATTGCCATGTTGTAGATGCTATTCTTTTTTCACATTAAAAATATCGTATTTAATACACCCATTAACATATACAAGGCTAGATCTCACCGGAATAACATAACATTACCATGATCAGACCTATGTTAATTTCGAAGACTGAAAATATCCTACATTGTGCCTTTTGCGCTATTCAAACTTCTATTTATTTTTATTCTTCGAAGAAGTGAATTATACTAAATGATGAAACGTCGAAAGTGTAGTTTTTCTAGTTATTAGGACTTTACAAATAAATTATATCATAAAATTACATGTTGGTTTCAATGACTTTGTGTTTGAAAATAAACTGTTGACGAAATTTATGATTCTTATGTTTTAATGACGTAAAAACCCATTGAATGGGACTGCTTAATTCAAAACAGTGATGAATAATATTTTACGTTGATATCTTTTACTAATAGTGATATTAGGAGAGTAAGAAAGTACTTATCAGTGAAATATAGGGTGCCTATTCTCCCGTTGTCGAAAATAAAAAATAATGAAGCTTGAAGGAAGTACTTTCCATAACAACTTTACCAAGTAAAGGATTATGAATCCAGCTTAGAATTACGCATTGTGTAGCGACTAATTATACTGACCAACTGAAATATACGTAATGGTGATCAAACCTGGGACCTGCTGGTTGACAGCCAAGTGCTTCAACCACAATGCTATTGCTTTATCTTTTGTCGGATAAGAGGCTTTATATTTGTGGATTTACTAAAAAAATATGTATAAACGTACCAGCATACTTTTCAAGTAAGTGATGAAGACAGGACACACAATTTTTGCAGCCGCCAATGTTTACATTTATCTGTAGAGAAAAAAGTAATCAATGGAAACATAATCCAGAAATCACATTTAGGAAATCGGACGCTTTTTGGCTCATGGGTAAATCAGATTGACAAATTACTTGCGAAAGCAGACTTTAGAAAACGTGTCAAGAAATATTATAGTTATCGCGTAATCATTTCATAACCAGTTTCACAATGTTATCTTATATTAGTCATCATCAACACAGAGCCTAGCAAGAAAGCGTTACTGAGGTTCTAAACAACACAGAGAGTTGAAATTGACAAAACGAACGAAAAACAAGTCAAAATGTTGGTAGTGTGGTGTGAGCTACTTATATTGACATAAGTAGTATATAACGTGCGTTAAAAGAACGTAATGCTCGGCAGCAAAAGATGGCGAAGACCAAGAAAGGTGGAGCAAGAACATAATGGAATTTTTAAGAAAACTTATGAACAATGGAATGGGAGACAATGGATTAGTGTTTGCAGCTTGAACAGTACAGTTTGATATGATGTATTGATAATTTGCAAATTGACGATTGACTTTATGGTATTCAGATTTTGTTGAGATAGTCTGTAATTTTCGTGCTAAATACATCCGTTGTCCCCACCCGTGTTCTTGTTCACTACAGTAGTACTGTGGTGTTTGTCGACATAAGTAATATGTAACACCAATCAGAAGTTGAATGCCTGTCAAAAGAAGGTTTAGATTGAATTGAAAACAGAAAGAGAAACATAAAAGAATTAAGAAATAGAAGAATCATGACAAATGTAAAGGTTAATCGATGGAAAATTTGAAAATGAAGAATTCAATGTATGGCTTTCACATTTTATCACAGAGCTCTGTAATTTCGCATCAAATAATAAACTGGTTGTCCTCACCTGAGTGTTCGTTCACTACAGTACCAACGATAGTAATAAACAACAGACAGAATATAGTTTGTAAAAAGAATGGAGAAGGTATACACAAAGAATTAGTGAGAATTTAAGATTGAATGTATCTGTGACTGGTTCTGAGCCATGTCACCCAACGTCCACAACCACTGATCGCCGGTAACTGTGAGAATCTGAACCACCTACCACCACAGATCCGTTCAACAGCCAGTGATTCAACGTCCTGATTTGGCAGTTTTTACCAACTCACTCCTACACCAGTTAATATTGCATTTTAACGTAGGTCGCGGTTGGGCATATATAACACATGTCCCAACTACCTCAGTCGATGAAAGCCCACAACGTCAACAAACGAGATGCTATATTGGTCTAATACTCTCTACTAACTATAGTATTGTTTAATCTTGTTCCACAATATGCGAGCAGTGCATTAAAGACACCTGTGATCAAAAGCGTGGAGCATTCGACTTTCAGTTGCCATGTTTCCATATCATAGAGTAATACAGAACAAACCGTTGGATTGTACTGGCCACTTTGTTGAAAGCTGAACATTCCTGTATCCCATAAGTGACACAAAATGACAAAAGCTAAACTTGCTCTCTAAACTCATTCAGAACATTCATTAACCAGCAAGTTGCCGAGAGTGACAAAAATTCCAAGATAAGTGAAATGTTTGCCTTATATGTAGTTGTTTAATTACTTTGGACGGGGAGGAATTTATTGCTATTCGATACCATCTAGTATTATTTTACCGGCTATCTAATTAACAGAAATAAAACTATCATTTATTTATTTCGAATCGGCTTCTTAAACTAGTTTGAATATGACCATTTGATCAATATATGTAGCTAAAATAAATTCCAGTTGAGGACCTAATAAATGTCATTCAGATAAGAAAACCATTTGAACAGAAAAACAACCATCATTTTTGAAAAGTTCCAATCACTTTAAAAATCCATATGAATAAATAGTTAGAATAACTCTTCGAGCGTTATGTAGTGATATAATAGCAAATAGAAAACCCCAACACACTCAATAAGATTTTCATGCTTATAAATATCATGATACGGTGACTTGTTGGTAAACTTTCTTCGTTAATTCAAAATATTTCTGCAATGAGAACGATACGATGATTGACTAACCAGTATAATCAGTGTAGAAACCAGATACAGCAAATACAATTAAATTGTTTACGATGGTTACAAAACATTCGACTAAGTAATCAAGTACATGTAGAAAGCTTTGAGACGTATTCGCGCGAAATATGATACAATAATTTACTTCTCAAATAAAAGTTTATTAGTGAGACTAAATTTCCATTCAAACAACAGTTCTGTGAAAAGATTGGACAAATATGTATGCACATGGCATTTACTTAATCGGAATGGTGCAACATATTCAAATCTAACTCAATGTGAAGACAAACAAAGGATTTACATAATCTTATTTTCAACATTAAGGTTGTGGTAAATATCGGCATACTATTAACACTACTAAGCAGTTTTTGACATTATTGATTAATGTTGTATTCAAGTACATGAACAAATATCATAGTCAATGTTAATCAATACGATAACTGTTTTTATTTACATTGGTGGGATTTGGTCAGTACTGAATTCTGACTAACTGCAAATGAACATAGGATATTATTTACACCTTAAAATATTACTAGGGGAAAAACTATTGAAGCAAACTATTATGCAATAAGGCGGTAATACTGTAGTGAACGAAAAGGCAAGTAAGGTAAAGCAATTTGTTTTATGCAAAAGGACACAGTACCTTTGTAAAATATGAAAATCACACATCAAATACATCAATTGCACATTTCCTTAAAGTTGTCCTTTACATACTCCATTCCTCCGATTCTGTTGTTATTCTGACAGCTCTGTTTTCCTTCCTCTTCACCTTATTTCAGTCCTCTGCTGGTATGCATTTCACTTCAAAAACCTGTCATATACTACTAATATCTGTCCGCGTAAGTAGAGCACACCACAATATCACTTTCGATGAACTTTAAATAAACAACACTGACCAACAAAATACAGACATACTTCAGTCCAATTGTGACTACAATTAATAAATCTCAAAATACACAAGCTTATCATTTGTGCGCTAGTTACAACCGGGTGTTCACAAAGTAATATGAATGCGATTATATTGAGTTTCTTATGAGTTATCTTAAAACACCACACATATTTGTTGCAAAACTTGTCTTAATCATAACAAATATTCGAATAAAGTTAACTCATATTGGAAAGTGTACTCAGTATAAAAGAGATTAAGAAAATGATCAGTGCAAAAGAAATGCAATACCTTTGTGTATTCGTCTGACATTTTGCTGCCTGTAGTTTGAATAAAATTAGGTCGATAACTTTTTCAAATATAATTAAGAGTAAAGAAGATTAGTGCAGTAAAGTAAATTTATATTAGTTTAATTGTAACCAATTTACAACAAGCGCTAAAGTTTGATTTAATTTGCAATGAATCCTTCATTATATGAATCACTACTGGGACTAAACTTCTGCTGCCTGAGAACACGTTGATTACTATCCATCATAGCGTATACCAATGCTGTTCCAAATACTGTATGACCCAAAAGCAAACAGGTGCCAACAGTTCGAAACGAGTTACTATAGAGTTTGAACATTCTCCACATACTTTTAACATCAAGCAGGTCAGGTACCGGGTAAGATCGTGTGATAAGTGCCGAGGCTGCGGAGGAGAGAAAGCCAAAGCCTAGGGGTAGGACCAATCCACACGTATTCTGAAGAAAAAATAAGCGACAAACTCTCAATGAACTTGTATAATAATAAGTTGAATATATTTAACATTAATCTAGAATGAGAACAATGTTATAAAACAGATGAAATTAGGATTAGTAACAGTAATTCGTAGGCCAAACATTTTTCACAGTGAAATGATTGCAGTAAATTATTATTGTTTATAAATACTATTGTTTTGTGTTGTCACTCATTACAACAACAATGACTTTGAGTAGACTATACATTTCGTTCCAATTATTTTAATTTCCAAAAAGGAGCAAATTAAGAAGTAATTGAATTCCATCCATTTCTCTTTTATGTCACACTTTACGTCAGCACAGTGAGAAACTAACAAAATGTGAACCAAAAGATGGGAGTTTCACATGAAACTGGGTCGTGCAAACACGTTTTGGTCTGATGTAGTTGGCTTACATATTCACTGGAAAGTATGGTTTAAACAACAGTTCGACCATTACAAAACAATTATAACGCTTGTTATAAAATAAAGAGAACAATAGTTGATGGTTTAGAGTAGATTGATTAGTTCGTGGCCTAATGTTAGCGGGACACAGGAAGGATTAAAGCATGCTCCGTGCACGATTGCGTTGGAGCACACTGATTGGCTAATTGTTATCCAAACACCACTAGTCGATACTTAGAGAACATCCTAAAATCTTCTCATGTTAAAACTATAAATATACTAACGTTTTTCGTATTGCGTTTCTTACTTTCATCTATACTTGTTATTTGGAATATAATCTCTTCCCTGTTCAATTGCATTCTGATTTGGGGACTTGTCGAGTGAATTGATGTCCGAGAATACTAAGCAGTAGAAATAGGTGGGTTGTAATAAGAGAAAATTATAATACCTAACAAACCGTTTTCAAAAGTTTAATTTAATAATCAACACAAGGAATTTTAATCCCAATTTGACAATTTATTTGGCAGGCGTGGGAGTATGTTAGAGTGTAAGGCATCCAAATAACGTATAGCAAACATTACATAATAGTTAACAAGCTTAACTCTAACCGCCTTAGTACAGTTAAGAAACAGTCCACTCACTCTCGAAATGCTGACATGACCACAACTGGAGAAGCTCTACTTACCACCTCGCTGCATAGGTGCTGTTTAGAGAAATGAGAAGACAAACAGTGCTTGGACCGGGTTGGTGGGTACTACAGACCTCCCAAATATGACAATGAGTAATTATGAGGAAATCAACTTACTTGATCTCCTTCTCTACCTACTCAGAAAGTATTTATTACCCAACTAATTCAAGTGCTCTCGTTTTACTTTACTACCCCCTCCTACTCCTTTTTATTTTTATTGTGTTTATTTGTTTTTGACTCGCTCACAGCTCGTCTATGGTGCGAAACTTGTCTTGTGCAAATGAACTCAAATCTGACTGGTCAAATGTTTAAATGCCACCACCGGATATGATTACTGATACTGACTTTCGGAAACTACATGTGCCATTCAAAGTGACCAACGTTCACACACTAATGCGGATTGAACAACAGATAGATTTGGCTATGGTCTTCCAAAGTCTTAATATCGACGTTTGTTGTCTATTCGAGACTTATATTCAAAAAGTACCACAAAATCACCCTCCATCTGTTGAATCGGAAAGCCTGTTTTGCGTGCGCTTGACCAGAGACCCTGTGGCATCTTGATCCGGTTTAGCTGGTGATCGTGTTGGAATTGCACTAAGCGCCAGAGTAGAGGTAGTAATAACCGACTGGATCTCCATTAACAGTCGTGTATGTGATCAGAATCGGTGTGAAAACAATTTCTTCTCGTTATATCTGCCTACACTCCGACAGATTGTAGCACAGATGCGACTAAGTATCAATTCTGCCACAAATTAGGTGATCGCAGTAAAGCGCGTCCAGCATATATCTTAGCTAGAGATTTAAATTGGAAGGTCAGGTGTCTGGATACAGAGGAAAGTTATCTGGGTGGCTAATGGATACTCGTTGGTTGCAGGTCGGATAACAGCGATCGTTTCCCGCAGCTTTGCGCAGACCGTGTTTCTTGGTAGAACCGACTTTTGGTATAGTCATCAGCGAAGTACTGCCTGGTGTCCTCCCTATATAACTTAAGCCTGGACTCAGATTAACCGCATTACGATCAGCTGCCGCTGGTGTGGTTGTGTACAAGACTGTGGCCATTTTTGCAGTGCGTACCTGGACTCTGATCATGTCTTGGTTTGCACCAATCTTATCCTACGTCTCACTGACCAACTAATTCATTGTCCCGAATTGATTGATGTAAGTAAAGTGGCTGCAGCATCCGTTGTAACCAAATATCAAACCGAGTTAGGTTTAGGTTTAGCTGCCAAGTCACCATAAATTATACATGACCACCTTGTACTAAAGTTCATCACTTACTAACTGGCTTTCCATTCATCACTTTTACAACAGAAACTTAATCATAACATATCAAAAACCCTGTTTTGCAATAAGGGAAGATTGATTTTAAATTAGTAAACTAATTTAGTTATATCGACCAATTATTCGAAAATGTTACACCTGTAGTAAATTTGTGTTTATCAATGGGTACGTATTTCTTTGTGAGTTGGCATCTCACTGCCATATTTTAAAAGAGGTATTAATTGAACGTGATAGCTTTTAAAAGTCATTACTTTTCAACTTATAAACTAATTTACTAAACCAAGGGATTAAAGATTACACTTTGCGGAACCATACCTCATTGGCACGGTTAACAGGACACGAACGATAAGAATACTAGGTAAAATCTCCTAGAGATATATAGGCTCTGCTTAGCCAACCCATTAAATGTGAATTTTGTTTCAATGAAACTTGATGGTACATGTTTAAACTTACGATTTTGAATCAATATCTTGGAAAATGAATCATATGGACACTAAGCTACTGGCAGCACTTGGTCTAAGAAGCAGAACAAACTATACGTGCAAGAAATACATGAACACGAAATATGTAGCTAAGTAAGAACGGAGAAATATCTCTAAAATAATTATGTTAAGGTTATGAACAGGATAACTCACCATTATTAGAGCTTCACGTATTTGTAAGCAAATACTACAGTCAGGATATAACATTGAATTAGAGGGTCCAACAAGAATTTGATTAGAAACAAAACGGGTAAAACAGTGGTGTGCGATGCCAGTAGGAAGAAGTACGCATGGAACCAAAGACAAAGCAAGTCCAACTCTAGTGAACATATTAAAAAACGATCTTGAGCGATAAGTTACAAGTAAACTTGAGAAAAAGGTAGCTAATGTTACCGCTTCTCCTCCAAACTTAAGAGGTAACACTTCTAGAGGTTTGTTCCATGAATTGATTATTTGAAGACGCAGAGCAAGTGCCTCAGAAGGATTTAACTGTATGGCACCATGAGGTACAGTTTTAGGGTTATAAACGAGAACTCCTTCAGTACGTTCAACCGACTTATCCATACTTTACATCAAACGATAGGATTTATTTGAAGAGATCTAAAAACATGAAAATAAAGATTATTGACAGAACATTTTGTTTTTGAGATTAAGCTTGTCAAACTGCAAACATTAGTCTGTAGCTTAACGGAAGTAAGACAATTTTCCCTGACTAGTAAATCACGTCAACCTTCAGTCCTAAATGTGAACACAACCTTGTGAAAACTAAGTGACTGAATATGTTGGTGAAATGCATTTAAGATAGTTGGAAGGAGTCGATATGAGTAAATGACAAATATAAGACGCTGAGCATGTTTCATTAAAATTATATTTACCATTAATATTATATATCTATGGAGGAAAGTTCATTTATGTGCATAGTAAGAATTAGGTTCTATCGAACTCTTATATTACGCTTTGTACCGATACAGTGACGCAACTAGTCCTACATTTATCATAAATTTCCGTTCTAATTAACTAAACCAGTTTTCGACCAGAAAATGGGAAGGGAAAACAGAAGTACTGAGGATTCGGTGGTTTGTTGCCATATTACACTCTCTATCTTCCCATGAGATTAAAATGCTTTATACCTTTATTTCTACGAACTTACTCTTTTTTCCTGTTTTATATCTCTGAATGCAGTCGTTATATATATATATATATATATATATATATATATATATATATATATATATATATATATATATATATATATATATATATATATATATATATGCTACAACTGGGGTAACTAATTGTATGAATTTGGTGCTAATGAGGTATGGCAATTTGGACCAATGCATGTATGTGCCTGGTGCTACGTTGTAACTGACTGACTGATATTATTAGGTTTATGAGGCCGTCAGTTACACTGAAGCATTCTCAATAACTAAGAACGAGAAAACCGTCGAGATGTGTGGAACAAGAAAACAGACTACGATGTGACGGCCAGATTTCGGTAGGCTTGTGTCTAGCCTGAAGGTTCCTCGTATTGGATGAGAAAGGGAGGTGTGCGAATCTATAAATGGTTCAAATAGTTGTGGACGGAATAGAAGCTTTCGCTTAACGGGCTTCCGTGTCTAGTAGCAGTGGATCACCAATACCTCCAAGCAGGAACCTATGTATATTCTTGATAAAAGGTGAAAAATTTGTAGATCATAGTAAAACATTATTCCTAGTCCTTAAGAATAGGTCAAGTTGCCTCTTAGAGTACTCCTGGGAGGTCGCTTGCACTAGTTCATTCGGCAGCGAATCCCGGCGTTTAACTACTCTTAAGGAGTAAAAGTTATGTCTACAGTCCGTTCTGTTGTATTCTAGTTCCTGGGTGTTACACATTAGGTTTGTGTTAGGGCTAAGTCTAAGTGTTTAAGAGGATGTTCAGAGGTGTTAAAGATACTGTAGGCCATTAGAAGGTCACCTCTAACACGCCTATACTCTAATGAGTAAAGGTTTAGTGATTGGAATCGCTGTTCATAAGGCTTGAATTTGAGTCCCCGAAATGATTTCGTGGCTTGTAGTTGGATACGCTCTAGTGTCCTTATCCTTTTGGAGTGAGGGAGGACATACTATTCTAAATGCGGACAAATAAAACTGTTGAAAATTATGTGGAAAGTTCTATCGTCAAAATTGTCAAAAATGCACTTCAATGTTACCAGTGCAAGGTTTGCTCGAAAGGCATTTTTGTCAGTTGGCGTAAGACTTCAAATCGTGAGGATGAAAGAACAGGAGAAAAAATGAGACGACCCGGTAAGTAAATATAATGTAATTACAGCTAATCAGAAAAGTAATCGACAACAATAAGATATAACCCAAGTTTGCGATTAAAACAATCTAACGGTCAGGAACGGTGGTCGGTAGCGTCATGTTTCGAATGCGCTAAGATTTGAAGCCCTTCAATTGACAAATTGGATGAGTAGAAAAATGAGCTATTAGATTTCTTGTTATCTGTAAAAGGAAATCACATGATTTTAGATTGTAAAGTGTGGCATTTTAACAACTCTAATATGTCATTTTTGTTTTATGATTTGTGTAGTTAGGACTGAAGACCTATGGCCTATGTTATTCCTTTTCTAATATGCTGCAGCGGTAAATAAATGCCCAAACTAAATAGCTCCGTAAGTTTTCGACATTGGATGCTGACCATATGTTTTAGTGGACTCATCTGCATCCGCACCAGATCTTGTGTGGTAACGTTGTGCTCAACATCTACCACAATCGCTAGCCAGATTAGATCAGAGAATTCCGATATATTGGTAATCGCCAAATACACTCTTCTGATCTCCTCGACTATGTCTTTTGATTTATCTCGGTGGGTGCAAATTATATTAGAAGGTGTTGCTGTTAAAAGCGTTGTCAAACACCGAATACCTGTGCCATCTTCCTTGGTGAGACCGTCGCGATCTGGTACACCTAATTGCAACTGTGAGTCTCTTCCTTTTTGGGATTTTTATATATTATTGCCTTATTTTTTTTAATTTTTATACATTGTGCTATTTCTTCCCGTGTTTCAGGATATCTATGTATTTTTCCTTCGTATTCTCGTACTTAATATTCCTCTATGATCGAACAGACTCCTAAGGTATTTAAGCTTAAGACCATGTCCCCACCCTCGTTCCAACTCATGCCTTTCTGGCCCGACAACATCGAAGCCTGGCTCTACTACGCAGAAGCCGACTTCCACGAACACGGCGTGAACGACACACATTCGCAATTCCTCGCAGTAGTCAAGGCACTACCGCGGGAATTCAACAGGTACGTAACACCTAGTATGTTTACTAGTGATGTTTCGGAACCTTACGAAATCTTAGAACGTTCGATTCTTAAACGAGAAGACCTAATCGATCGACAAAGGTTAGATCAACTCTTCAATAACATCGACCTGCAACACGGTTCGGCGACGGACACGTTGCAACGAATGAGAGAAGTGATAGGCCTAAGAACTTTCGACGAAGGCCTGTTCAAACACCTTTTCTTGTCTAAACTTCTCCAACAGGTGCAAGCGGCTCTGGTCTCTTTTCAGAACCACGCCTTAGACGAGCTGGCTGCATCTGTCGATCGTATCTTAGAAATTACGAAATCGTCTACTACCGAGGTTTTTCCAGTCAAAGAAAAGCCTCACACGACTCAGAATAACATAACCGAGTTATGTCATACACTCACGCGTTATCTTAATTCTCGTAACGACCGTAATCGCTCACACAGCCCACGTAGAAGCAGTTCACTTAAGCGATCTGTCTCCAGACCACGAGAGACGGATAACCCTGACTGGTGCCGGTATCATAACCAGTATGGAAAGTCTTCCAGAACTTGCAGAAAACCCTGCAATTTTCCCAACACGAAACCGACTGACTCGAAGAACAACTCGGGATACTTGCAAGCCGGCACGCGTTAACGGCAACTGTAGCCGGCGAACATAGCCGTCTGTTATGCGTCACAGATGTGACAACGAGAGTTTGTAGTGGCATTGGACCATAACCACACTATCCTCAAAGCTGAATACGAGATTACTCGGAAAATAGGTATTCAATATTTAACGCGAAGAAATACCTAACGATGGAGAAGGCGCGAATAATGAATTGAATAGACTAGAGTTGATCGAACGGCATGGCTCGGCCATGCAGGCGTGGTCTCTGCTGAATGTTACCTTATATCTTCTTTTCATATTAAATATATTGTTCTTTCTCTAGCCTAACCTTGTTCTACATCATGTATTGGTAATTGATACGATACAGTGAGTTGGTGTAGTTGATGGTGTGACTTCCACGTAAGATCTTATAGATTAGGCAGTCATATCATGACAAATCCACAGATTTAGGATTAGGTTTATTATTAGAGCAGTACTAATATCATAGTAGACCATAAGTTATACATTGGTGAGCCCAACTAAAGAAACGCAACCTATTATTGCTAACACCTTAACCTTCTCAATCGGTTTTTATTTTTGTAAACCCAGTATTCTAATAGTCCTTTGATTAATGGTCACATATATTATCGTAATGTTATATCTATTAGTTCACATAACTTACTAGCTTAATCGATAATAAAAGTTGATCATCTATATCAACTAATTAGCTTTGATGGTTCGTTAACAAGCTTTAATAGCATTTACCTGCTTCAGCGACATAAACTTGTTTAAACATCAAGCTCTAGCAAATATGACCTGTAAATAGCGTAAATATACATTGGCTAACAATGCAATCAAGGATTGAATAGTTATCTGGATCTAATTCTTAGTGTTTCTTCGCTTAACACCTCATCCTGTTTTAAACTATGCACTATCCTTTTCTTCCGACCACTGCCTGCCTAATTTCATATTCTCGAGTTCCATTGCCAAACAACAAGGATGACACTTCTCTAAAAACATACGGTGAGTTTCAGCCATAAGTTTTCTGCAATCATAAGTTGGTGAAACTCTATTTTATGGACGACCTTTGAACGAATTTTTAAGTGACCTTGAGAACATTAGCCAATCAGAAGAGAGTTAGTATAAAGTAAAAATATATTATAAAAAACTGATGAATTACAATGGATATTCTTCTTTTACATGATTTAAGAACTTGTTGAGGTTTGATAAAGGTTCGGAAGTTTTGAAATCATAGTGCATGCGGTATAAGAACTCGTCCATATAGCTCCATAGTAATCGTCCTCTGGAGCCGTGGTAAGGTCTTAAAAAATACTTCAGCCTTGACCACATGCCTTCAATATTGTTTGTATGGACCACAGTCGTTGGATCAAATGATTCATGTACTTGTGTCATTTTCATTGCGCATAAATCACGACAATATTCATACCACTGAACGGCGGAAGTTTCCGTAACATCTGCAAAAGCCGCAGATAATGTTACTGGAGACTTTATGATCCAATTTGCAACGATTATCATGATTTGTCTTAGCCTTAGCCGTGACCGGGCAAAAAAAGTGCCAGTTCGAGCAGATTTTTTTCTCCAACATAAAGTAAAACGAAATACAATGTCATCACGGTAGTCAGCACATCGTGTTGCGGTCATTTGATTGCCGCAGTCACAAACACAGGAACTTCTCAATAGTCCCATCTGCTGTAGT